ATAAATGCACACTTTGACACTGTCTTATTGGCTGCAGCTGCCTCCAAAGAGTCCAAGGAATGTGGGAATTGTGAGAATTCTTTGAGAAGAACACCTATGAGCCTTTTTTCATTCCATGGTTACTTGCCTGGGAGCTTTTACAGGACTGGAGTTGATTAAAATCTGTAGGGTGGAAGCCTTCCAAGTGTGGTGCCTGACATCAGGTCAAAAGCTGCCTAGTTGTGAGCAAGAAAATTTCTCCCTGAACTTTAACAATTTCAGGATGATTCACAAAAATGTGTATGGCATGTTTTCTGAGGAAAACTTTATTTCGTGATATTTATTTATTTATTTATTTATTTATTTATTTAGAAAATTTCTATGCCGCCCCATTCGCCGAAGCCTCGGGGCGGCTTACAAATAAATCAATTAAAATACTATAAATTAACAATATAAAACAAGTTAACAATATAAAATAAGTCGCCCTGGCCAAAGAATAAAATAAATACATACTATTAACAGTTAAAATGACTTTTGAATAAAAAGGTCTTCGCCTGGCGCCGAAAAACAAATAACAACGGCGCCAGGCAGACCTCTCTGGGGAGCGCATTCCATAGATTGGGCGCCACCGCAGAGAAAGCCCTCCTCTGGGTACTCACCCTCCTAATTTCTTTTGTTCTTTTGTTCAGTTTCTGGCAGACGGTTCAAGTGTATTGCTTCAGTCTACCCATATGCATTAATTGGCCTCGAAGTTGGGGTTTCCTTTCAAATTAATTATTTTGTTTTTAAGAACTGATCTATTCATGTAAGGCTATTAGCAAGAAAAGCTCCTCTGGATGGGTTTGAGGCTGAAAGAGGCAAAGAACTCCATGGCAATGTTGCTTGGACTCAGCCCATTTGAACAGTATTTGGGTTAACAGCAAAGTTCTAGAGATGTATATTTGGAGAGATTTTTGAAGGCTTGAGGACTGATTTGTAAGGCACACAGGTGAGTTCACTGCGGATTTATGCCCATGTATGAAACTTCTAGGGCCGAACTGTCCATAGCTGAATCTCCCAGCCTACTAGTCTTCTGCTCCAAAAGTTGCCACAAGGGGGAAGGATTGCTAAGCCTCCAGCTGAAATTCCCACCCAAGAGATGGGAATTAGGTGCAAAAAATCAAAGTACGCTCCCCACACTGCCTCTCCTTTCTGGAGCCGATAGCAGCTGAGTTGGCGAAAGCAGTTCAGAGTGGGACCACAGTACCTGGAGGCATTTCGGTTCCATCTCCACATGACTGGAATCCAGATTGGTGGTGGCCACACCTACTGATGCCCCAGGAGATAATATCACGTCAGTCTTTTAGTGATGTTCTTTCATCCTCATGTGTGTGCATTTAAAATATATGTTCTACATACATTTTAAAATCCAGGGGGTGATAGTATTGACATTTAAAATGTAGCACCTCTGTAAAGCCCCTAAAATCCCAGTTCTGGTCATAATTTCGATCCACCGCTGAACTATTTCTAGCAAACTAACTATTTCGTTTCCCTCTCTCGCTCTTACACACACAGTCACAGTACATTTCTGTTGTGTCCCAAGATCAACTCGGCATGGGTAACCAGCGCACAAAATACATCAATTATTCTGCATTTTTATGGCATGTATATTTTGCAAAAGAGCAGTTGAGGCTAATGCTGTGACGCCCAGTCGGCTAAACTTAGACACTGCATTCTTGTAGAGCTGTCAACAGTTGTCTCCTCAGTCTGGATCCCTCCCTTGTCGTAACCATCACCCACCGGGACATGTGTGAGTCACACACTTTTGGTTGCCTGGGCTGTGAATCAGAACACCTCTGTCAATCTTGGACACACATCTTGGACTCTGCGGTGGCTCTGCGGTGACTTGCTGGGCTACCAGCCAAGTTAGCACCCCAGTCAGGCCTTCAATAGGCTTCCTCCTCCCGACCAATAAGGCCCTAAGAGACATTAACTGTGGATCAACACAACCTGTCTTTGTTACAGCTTTGTTGATTGGACAGGCCAGTCTTTTCCCAATTCCAGGATTCCACCCAGACATTCTGCATAGCCGGTTCCACAAACTGTAGGCAGGACGTCTTACGGACAGTTAAAATTCAAAAGTTTGCTTGCTGTACTTCAGTCCCATTGGATGCCTTGAGGCAATTCACACAGATCAGCGATATGGAAGACAGAAACTGATGAACCTTACAAAGAGATGATGCCGTGGGGGTCTTGGACTGCTGCACACCCTATATGTCCAGGGGAGTGAGGACAGAAGCGATAGAAATGTTTGATTCCGTCTTTGTAACATTGCTGAGGCCTTGACCCAAAGGGCACTCCACAAGTTGTACAGAAATTCAAAGTTTTGGTGTACTAATGTAACTCTAGTGTAACAGAAATGGTTCAGCTGAAACAGCACCCTTAGTTGTGATAATGCTGAGAAGACAATAGTTGGCACTGTCCTGCTTTACTGCTCACTCTTAAGGTAAGTGTGGAAGTGATATATGGATGGGGATATGCTGGAATGACCAAGCCTGTGTTTGCACTTAAATTGGATTTGTGGAGGGCTGCTGCCGGTCCTTATGAAGGAGGCGCAGGATCCCCTGTATTTTTGGGTGAACACTTTGATAAAGAGCTTTTGTTTTCTTGTCTTGCTGGTGTCTCTTGTTGTCTCTTGTGGTTAGACACACAAATCTTTAGGCCAGTCGGGGTTAAAGCTCCTGGTCAAAGGAAGAGGTGTTCAGCTGAGTTCAGCAGAACTATGCACACATATGCAACAGTGGGTGCTATCAACAACACACTGCCCTTATACAAATCTATGGTATGAGCACAGTTAGAATCGTGTGCAAAGTCCTGGTCACCACACCTAAACGAAGGATGAGGATACCGCAGAGCTGGAAAAAGTGCAGGAAAGGTTTGACTGAGAGCCAGTGTGGTGCAGAACTGGGACTCAGGTGATCAGGGTTCACGGAGCTCACTGGGTGAATTTGGGCCAGTCCCAAATGCTCTCCCCAACCTACCTCACAGGGTTGTTGTGAGGGTAAGAGTGAATGGAGAATTACGTAAAGCTGTCTTGGGTTCCTTGAAAAGAATAAAAGGTGGGATATAAATATAATAAACTAAAAAGACTTTGGAGCAATTCCACAATGAGGAAATTTACAACATTGGAGATTGTTCAGCTCAGAAAAAAGGTAGGAGGAGACATGGCAGAGGTGTACAAAAATATGCCTGGTGTGGAGAAAGTGAATGGGAAGACCTGTTGCTTCTTTTCCCATACTGCTAGATCCTGGGATGATCCTACGAAGCTGATTGGCAGGAAATTCAGGGGAGATCAAAGGAAGGAGTTCTTCATAGAGAGCTTAGTTAAACACTGGAACTCACTTCCACAAGATGTAGTGATCGTCACTAATTTGGATAGCTTTAAAAGAGGATTGGGCAAATTCATGGAGGTAAAGGCTACTAGTCCTGATGGCTCTATGCTCTCAGTAGCAGAGGTAGTATGCCCATATACACCAGTTGCTGGGGAACATGGGCTGGCGGGTGCTGCTACATTCAACCCTGCTTGTTGGGTTCCTGGGAACAGCTATGACACCAAATTATGTTCAGTAGCACTTAATTTCAGGATCCAAAGAGGGAAATGCTGTTCCACAAAACACAAATTAATGAGAGCTGATGGTGGCCACTGGCTTAGAGATGGCTATTTAAAAATGATGAAGGCAAATCTATAGAGGAGAGCTTGGAGGTGAATCCAAGTATGTTGAACACAGCTACTGCCCTTTCTGAAAAGTCCAAGCTCCTAAAGGGAGAGTCAGTACCACCAATCTTGCAAGATAGGTACTGGTTGCATAGATGGCTTCTCTGTGGTTTAATCTGGTGTCAGTTACAAGTACCAGTGTGTGGTCTGTCTGCCTTAATGAATTTCCCAGTTGAACATTAATGTTGGAAGTAGGATGTCTGGATGCCCCATTCTACACTGCTTCAGGTGCTGTGGAGACAAGCTTGTATTACCAAGACACTGGGCTTTGGAAAAGACTGCCCGGCTGCAGGGCAGCCTAGAAACCAAGTAGTGGGTGCTATTCAGCCTTGCTGAAATAACTGAAACTGAGATTTTGCACTCTGCAATTTTATGGTGTTGTGTACAGCAGTGTGTAATTTAATGGATTCCATTTTAGCCAAGCAGTAAAGACAGATATCTACTTAAGAAATCTTGCTGTTTTGTTAAAGAAACTGTTTTGCTTCTTAATAATAAACTACATGTTGTTTCAATAGTTCTGTCCATGCTATCATTTATACCCAGATTAGCAAAGAAAATCTAATCACTGGGAAAAACAGACTTGGTTTTAAAGCAGTTCACCCAACTCTACAAGTTAGTTCTGGAGTATCCAACACAATTTAAAGTCTCTGGTGGCAAAATGTATGTGGAAAAAGTCCTTGTTGGCAGATTAAACTAGCAAAGAACTATTTAGCTTTGGTCAAAGCTGATTAACCATGGTAGAAACTTATAACCTGATGGAAACCTTCAGAAGTGTATGTATAAGTACTAGATCAGGAAAAGCCAATCTGGTTCCCTCCAGAAGTTTTATACTACAACTCCCATAATCCCTGATCATTCATCAGGCTAGCTAGCGATGATGTGAACTGTATCTGGAGGGGACCAGGTTGCCTATCCCCACACTGCATCAAACAGAATGACCCAAATTTTCATGCTCTGCTTGCAAGTACCAAGAAGCATCTGGGTGGCTCCTGTTACAAACGGAACACGGGTGGCTTAGACCAGGGGCAGGGAACTTGTGGTCCGCCATACATTTTGGCCTATAAGGCCCACCATTGGCTACACTGGTTAGGGCCGAAGTGAGTCACAGGGAAAAATATCTGGAAGCCCACAAGTTGTCCAGAACCTTAATCTGGCCCAAGAAGACAATTGTTAAAATATGAAACAGTGTTCGGTACTAGCAAGTGTAGGGGGTAACCACACCTACAGAAAGAAAACTTGATTTCAAGGAATAATAAAATGAATGAGATCATGTATAAATCAGTTTATTTACAGATTTTATTCTCTTAAAGTACATCTCAAATTAACAAAAATATTTACACTGGTGTACACAGGGACTACCCTGTTTATTTTACAGTTCATAATTACAAGAACCTTAACACCCTGTAATCTACTGAGCCGTGCTGCACGGGGTGTGTGATTATTGGCTGAAACTGACCTGGAGACCAGTAAGATGAGGGTATTTACACACACACACACACACACACACACACACACACAGACACAGACACAAGGGATCACTTTAGTATCTGCACGGTACAGTACACAGGGAAGATGTGTCTCCCCAAAACGGCTCTGCCAATGTATATAAAAAGGCTCTGCAAAAAAAATCAAGGAAAACTCCTATTTACTCCAATGTATTACAGTACAACTTTTCAGTATGTTTTTCCTTTTCCACATAAGATTTCAAATTAGTTGAGAGTTTTGCTTATCCACATTGAACAGTGTTTGTAAATAATACCAAAACAAAACAAAACAATTCCAAACCTTATAATTTACAAATGAAACACTCCGCAAGTATCAACTGTTTTTGCTGCTGGAACATAAGTAGTCAGATTCTGTTAAGGTAGCAAAAGCGATTGAAAAAGTATTTGTGGTGCAGTTACTTCAATGGTCTCTGAATGCTGTGCTACTGAATTTCTTTAGTGAACACACTTTTATTCAAGTATTGCAAAAATGCTAAGGCCACAATTTCAAAGATCATCAATGGGTCCTCCCCCCGCCCCCACCACACAGGCCACAATACCTTTCTGTTGTCTTATGAAAGGTTAAGACAGTCAAAACTCCACGGGGCAAACCTGTTGTGAATCTTTCCTATTCAAGCCTCCTTTGGAAAGAACGGCATTGTGCAAAAACACAACTCCCATTCATCAAAATGAGGTTTTAAAGAGGAATGATTTGGGGGACTCTGTCCCAACCTCTACATTAGGAACAATTCTTTCTACAGAGAGAATTGTTAGGCTTTGTATTTGCATAATTCTGGTCTTTTGTGCATCTTGCCTTTTCTTGGTTTTTTTCTTGAACTCTGAAGGGAATGATGACAACACATTGAACTCAATCTATATTTTCTAGCTGTGCTATAGTTTTTCTTGTTTTCAGGCTTAAAATCATCAAGTCCCATATTCTTGTCCAACATGAATTTAAAGACATAACATAATTCAAGTGTTTTTCAGGGTACCCTCTTCCAAAACATGGAAACGCTTCTGTCATCTCTTAAACTGCTTCAATACGCCATCCTGAACTGTGATCTGAAAAGAACAATTTCCCAGAGTCCCCAGTGGACTCCAGATTAAAAGGCCACATCTCATTTAGTATATACAGGATGGCCACTGCCATGCCTGCACACACATCAAAAAAAGTTTTCCAAAAATGACATGTGTTTCATGTTCTCACATCACTGAGTGACAAAGGCATGTATTAAAAATATACCACACAGTTTCTCGTAGTTGCAAACATGGGACATCTCAGGGCAAACTAGAGGTATTGTAATGCATTCCTACCATAGGTTTTCACTCCTGCGTCTTTGAAATTAAAAGAAGTAGAGTCTAATCTGGCTCTAATTCTTGGAAAATCTGCAAGGATAACCCAACACCTGTAGTTGTAGGAAAGGCTATTTTATGTATGTTGCTGCTGCATAAACGTGGAGAAGTTGCAACTGGTAGTCTGTGCTTGGTTCACCCAAACCAAGAGATGTAAGCAGTTTTACAAGGCAGATTTCCAGCCCTTTCTATGCTTTGACAGATGGGGGTTCTCCGTTAAAGAGCCCAGAGTTCAAGGTAACAGCTTTAGGGTGCCTAATGCATGACTATTGCTATTTTTCTGGTAACCTCAAGAATGGAAATACTCTATTTCATCTATGCAGCTATCAGCTTTATGATTTTCCACCTCTGTTTGGATGCCCCCTTGCTTTGCACATAGTATCTAGACAAGTAAAAATAACGGGTGACCCAAATATAAGACACTCTCATAAAATGGCATCACATCTGTTAAAAAAAAGAAAGAAACACCCATTCCTGTTTAGGAGTTAAAAGCCATTAAGACAGTTCCAAGGTTCAGTACGATGAGTCCATCAAATCTTAGTAGCTTGCTGCACCAGACTATTTTTAAGTTGGCACCTAGCTCATACAGTACAAAAGACGTGTGTACAAGCATACACGCTGGGAATTCTCCCCCTTGCCGATCAGACCAGTCACAAATTCACAAATGAGAGGCTGAGGGCATGTCTGAACACCAGCCGTTTTCTCTGCGCGGCCCCCGGATGACAGCAGCTTACCTTGGCTGCGTGCGTTGTGCAAAAGGCAAAGAAAACACAGCAAGGTTTCCAAAGAAGACACCACAACAAGGAGCACTGGCTGAGGTATGCTTAGCTGGAAGCCCAAGGAACTAAATGAGATGCGAGGGAAAAGGGCGTAACTCTCCCCGTGTACACCTCTTGGTTCACACAGTCTTTGGAGTGCCTCCTCCCACTCCTTCTGAGTGCCGTCTCCACACTAAGACATGTCAGAAGAATTTGAATCTGCTCTGATTCAAAGTATCATGTCAAGTAAAACAGATTTCAGATTAAGGCATCATCATTCAAGATTCTTTGTGTCCCCTTGGAGAAACCCTGGATGGGGGTGGGGTGCAGTATGTGCCACACTGTTTCACACTGGCTGTGTCCCAAGTGACACGCAAGCACTCGAGGAGGCAGGGGAAGAGTTTGCAACATCCCGTTTCAGGTGCTCCCTCTTCAAATCCAACCGTTTCAGATCGTATGTACTTCTTTAAACCCCTAACCTATCCCAGGATGAGGAACAAGCACTTGGCTCTTTGCAGACTCCCTCTGCCTCTGAGATGGATCTTTTTTCCTTTTACACGAAAAATGTGCATCGCTATGTTTAAAGGACAGAAACAGCCCCAGTACAAGATGCCTTTGACAGATTCTGGTGTTTTAAACCCTATATAGCAGTGCAGACAGTATAGCTCTAGACATATTTCTAACATACAGGTACAATAAGGTAAAAGGAATTTACAAAATGGGCCCAGAGTCGAGCACTGGGCATCACCCTCTTTGGTACAGACACTCCTAACCCTACCTAGTTCAAGTAACGGCTCTGCCAGTACGTCGCCACGGGGGAGCGAGCAAGGGAGGAAGGAAAGGACCGGAAGGCCTACGTTTCGCAAGCATTCTTTCCAACTCTCACATGTCAAAAGCCTGAGAGAAGCCAGAATGCCCAGAGGAGCAGCGGTGGCTCACGTAGGGGAGAACAGAGCGCGGTGGAAAAGCAGGAAGTTAGCCCAGATGATGGGTATTTGGTGCCAACTTGTCATTCCGGCCTAAAGTAGCAGAAACAAATCTTTAGCTGAATACAGAGCACAGACTCTTCACGCTCTTTGTGCATGAATTGATCGACAATGTCCGTGTCCACATTTTGAGACAGATGGCAACGTACAGAACAGAATAAAAGCAAGGAATGGGGAACAGATGTATGGTTAGGCTGTAGTATACATCGTTAAGATGGTTAACAAAATATCAATTACACTTATAAACAGACTAGAACAGCAGTTATTAAAATGAAGAACAATGTTTACTAAGGACTTAAGTTTCTAGAGCTGGGTGTCTGGGGCTCCATCCCAGCGATTTATAAAACGTATCTGATTGGTGCTGTCCCTGAAACAAGACTGTACACCCAAAACAAATGAACAAAACCAACCAACAAACGAACAAGCACCACAACCAGGTACCAACTGCTCTTACTTCATGCTGAATTGGTAAGAAAAGCATCAACTGAAAAAAAGCTTTTGGGAACAACTCCAGTGTCAAGTCTGCAAAGGCAGCACAGGGGAGGGGCATATTCTGTCATCTCAGCCAATCTTACAATCATCCTGTACTCCAGTAACAGCATTGCGAGGACTAAAAAGAGCTTCCACGTCACAGAGGCACCAGCTTCTCCTGCTTTTTGTTGATCTGGTTGAGGAGATCGATCGTCTCTCTAATTAAGGCTTCAAAGATTCCATCGGCCAACTGCATCTTCACCTGCAGCTCATCCTCATCATAGTTCACCCACTGAGCTTCTTCCTCATGTAATTCCTGAACCTGAATTTAGAACCGGAGGCAGGGGGAGTTGCCGTTATTAAATATAGATATATTCATGTATATTCCCATGGATTACTATCACTCTGCATTGATATCCTGACTCTTTTCAACTAGTGAGGAGCCCAAAATGGCTTCCATAGCTCCATTTTAACCTCACAGCAACAACCCTGTGAGGTTGGTGAGGCCAAGAGGGAGCGACTGGCTTAAAGCCACCCAGGGTCTCCATGGCTGAGAGGACCCTAGAACCTGGATCGTCTGCGTCCCCAGTCCAACACTCTCAGCACAATGCGACACAGGCTCTCTCTAAACCTATATATTGAAATAACTTTCCTGTAAGAACCTGCAGCTGTCTTTACCTTCTCTACAGCAATGTTCAGGAAAGCAAGTGCGCATCATAACAAAATTGCCTGTTGTACTGTAGTTTTAAATCAAAGCTTTAAAAAACTGCTGTAACCAACACTTAGCAATGGCTACCGTTACTGTACACCCCAGAACTTTAGTCTGGCTTTTGTTTCATTTTTGTTCCACCCAACACCACAAACATCTCCAAAGATCAAATGTTTAAAAGAAATTCAAAGCAATGTAGGATACGGGATCGACCAAGGATGGTTCCTCCCCTCAAACCCTTAAAAATCCTGCTACATTCAAAAATACCTCAGCATGGAGGACCTGCCTGGTGCCAGAGTGACAGGCTTGGCCTGAAGCAAGCCCTCATGGGAAGACTGTTCCCCAGTTAGAGGACTGCTGCTGAGAAGCCCTCCCCTTTGCTGCTGCCCCCAAGCCTCCCATGAGATTTGGAGGAAGGCCCTGGATGTTGGCCACGGTGTCCAGGTGGACGCTTCTTCTGATATTGCATCCCCAAATGGTTTGGCTGCATCGGATGAGGCTTTAGTCAGGTCACAATTTTTTAAGAAAATCATTAAAATTAAATACAAAATGGCTAAAATTGCTTTTATATATCTGTCTGTATCTCTCTCTCTCTCTGTTGTACATACATATGTATGCTTTTATAACACATTTGTAAGGTTTTAATGCTTGTGAATCACCCAGATAGCTCTGGCTATGGGGCAGTACAGAAATATCCTAAGTAAAATGAGATGTTGGCTTTTCTGGGCCCTGTGCGGAAGGGCGAGTAATCCCACGGAGATACCTGCCTTGGCAGCCAGTCATTTTAAGCCTCCCACAAGCGAGAGAGAAGAAAGTCAGGGGCCAGCTCTTCTTTGGCCACTGATGGCAAAGGCGCATGCTTTGATCAATTCAGCAGGGGAGGAGGGGGAAACGGGCAAGCCCCATGGCAGGCTTGGCTTGCAAGGCTAGCCAAAAAATGGTTCTTGCTATATGTACAATGTATACAATTCTGTAGTCAAGGGTTAGCAGTCTCCACCAAGTCCTTTCACTATTTTCTGCTATTGAAAAGAATGGTAATTCAGTGTGCTTAATTTTGACTGCATAATACCAATTACTTCATTTCTATGCCACCCCACAGCCAAAGCACACTTTTAAACAGGCCATAAAACAGATGATAATACAAGAAACTATCATAAAATAAGAAAAAATTAAAATGTTTAGAACAGATAAAAACAGATAAAAAACAGACAATAACAAGGAATAACAAAAAATAGATAAGTGCACAAGAACAAATATTTTTGCTGATAAGCAAATGAACTCTTTTTCCCCTTAAAGTATAACCAGAAAAGCTACTAATTTCTGAATACAAAGTATTGTTTTTCAAAAGTCCACTGACCAGTATATGATCCACTCTGTCTCTTTTTTTGCGTCCAAATTTCATCATTTTCTGCCAATCAGTTTTGTTGTTTGGCTCTTTTTTCAAATTCAAGAGCTTCAGCACCTCCACCGTTATGAAACTCTAGGATAAACACATTAGATAAGAGTAGATGTCAAGAGTAGATAAGTTATGTCAAAAAGGGTTTTCTTTTCATAATGCCCTTTCTACAAACATGATCCACAGGTGGAAGAACTCTAAAAAGGAGCTTTAAAGACATGAATGCAGAATGTACAATTAGATGATCAAATGGGTCTCCTGAGCTTTTTTTTTTTTTTTTTTTTTTTTTTGTTATATTAGATTAAAGAGTAAGCAAATTTATCACAGCATCCAAGAAGAATGGAGCTATGATTTGGGAATGGGGGGGGGGAGTAATTAAATTATAATAAAGCAATTTTGACTATGAACTTGTCCGTGAACCATGACACTTAACTTCCCAAGTTTACATCCTAGAATACAGACATGGGTTGTCATCCCTGCCTGGTGGTATTTAGATGAGAGCTTAGGTTTTCTGGCAAGATCTTGGGGTAACAAGCATTTTACAAGCTATGAGCTTTCCTCAGCCTGACTCCCAACACTGCCTGGGACATACTCCAAGCCAACTTATAAGTTTTATGGATAGGTAAATAAGGAAGACAGCAAGATGTTCCCAGCCATTCACAAAAACATCATGGGAATAGGCACCTTTATTTCGTTTTCAAGTCGTATGCTGGAATATTTTAGCAATCATCTGCTGAAGAGGGCTTGGCCTTAGCTCCAGCTTTCCTGGATTAACAAGGACCATATGTTGTTGTTATTGTTACATGCTGTCAAGTCACCTCCAACGGATGACGATCCTACAAAGGAATGCCTTCCAAACTGTCCTGCCCCTTGACAACACTGCCCCTCTTGTGAACTCCAGCCTCTTTTATGGAACAGATCCATCTCATAGTTGGTCTTCCTCTTCTTCTGCCTCAAACTCTCCCTAACATTATGCTCTTCTGTGGTGAGTCTTGCCTTCTCATCATGTGCCCAAAGTAGAACAGCTTCAGTTTTGTCATGTCTGCTTCCGGGCAAATTCTGGCTTAAATATACCATCAACCATCTCTTGGACAAACTGTAAGGACTGGCTCTGCTCTACGCTCATAAGAACAATGAAAACTATGAAAAGAAAGCACACAAAAGTGCTACAGAGCACTAAACAAGGAACATCTTTGCTTCTGTCATGGTTATACGTAACATGAAGAATCTTTGGATTTGGTAGTATTCTAACTCAGGAAGATAGGCCCTCTCATATGACATGCCACAAGTACATAACAAGAAGCAGAAATATGAATAAAGCCAGTAACTAAAGCACATGTCATCTACAGACTACACATCAAGTTATAAAACATTATCAAGGAATTAAAAATTTGCAAAATGGATAAACTTTAATTTTGATGTATAGAAGAGAGACTGGAGGAGGAGCAGAATCTCATCCCAACAGGAGTATAACAAAAGGGGAAGCTAAAAAGGCTTTTAACCCTACGCACCCTGACACTGGAAAAAGCCCCACATCAGTTAACAGATGGTAGAAATGACTTCCATGCAAAATGTATATGGTTGTGATGGGAGACTGTGAGTTTTCAGACAAACATCCAATTTTTCCTGTAATTCCAGATGTTTCTATACAACTTGTCATGGAACTTACATATAACACGTGCCAGGTCATTAGTTTCATTCTTACCTTGATCTCCTCAAGGTCATTTGGATCCTTTACCCGACGGAAATAACCAGAAGTGATCCTGCAGGGTTTCATCCATATGGGCTGATTCAAATTTGGATCTTCTGCAAAAATTTCTCCAAATATTTCTCTTGTCAAGTCAAATACAGCCTTGGCAAACATAAACAAAGGAAATGTGTGAGTTCTTTTAAAGCAGACTCCAAAGCTAAGACATTTGCCGTAACGCACGTGGACTGAAATTTTGTTTGCGCTGGGCCTGTTCTCCACTCTAGAGGGTCTCCCTGAAGGGGTAGCTACAGTTTCTACAACGTCTTTCACATGCCCCATCCCTCTCATACCCCCCTCTGCACACTCAACGCGCCGTTTCATGACATCTCCCATCACTAACCATGCTAGAGGCCAGCAGAGAATTTCGCAGTCAAAGGAGTGCATTTTCACACGGCACAGAGCACACCGGTCCCCTTAACTGTACCTGCTTGTAGATGTGTTTGCTAACAGCTTCAATGCCGTCATCCACGGGGGGCTCATGTATGTCGCTGGGAAGGCTGCTGATCTGAAGACCCTGCCCCAGCTCTTTGCACTTCCACAGCTCTTCAGCCGCCGCACGCACGAGGTCTTCCACCGCCCCAGCAGTGTGCGGCACGGCCAAAGGCTCTTCACATGGCTTGGGCAGCACTTTGGGGAGCTCTGTTTTAGGCAACACCGCCGATTCTTCCGCCTGCTCCTGAGGAACCTTGCGAGAGCTCAAGCCAAAGTCCTCATCAAACCAGTCCTGGTCATCTCCTAATGCACTCAGGAATTCTCGGCTAAGCTCCAGTTCCGCCAGCCTCTTGGCAAGCTCCTCCTGCCCACTGGCACCGAACACAGGGCTTTCCTGCACAGTAAGAGGGCAGTATTAGAGCGGCATTAGCTTTTCCATGTGGTGTGTTTCATGTTTTGGTTCACAGTAGCAGGACAGTCCCCTTTCCTCTTAGTAGTCATGGAGCACACCTGTATGCCACTCTAAGCCATCCTGAAAAGAAGCCACACTGGGGAGGCGGGTTGCTCCTTACCCCAACCGAAGGCTGCCCACTCAGTGGCTTTCTGTGCCCCATTTTTCCTTCCACCCTTCAGGCTGCTCCCAGGCTGCACCCCAGGGCCTCTGCAGGAGAAATCCTCTTTTCCTCATTCCTTACACCAACATCCTCATAAGCACAGAAAGGTGTTTGGAAAGTTTTAAAGCATGTTCTTGCCAAGAAATGGAAGCACATTTCCCCTCTGTTTTACTGCCCTGTAGTGAACGTGGCATACCATCCATCTCTGCACCCCTCTTGCCCGTATGACATCTACCAACAGAGCCCAGTGGAGGGATGCACAAAGGCTGGAAGCAGCTGCCAGCTGCAGGAGGGAAGATGGGGGGGGCTTTGGAGGGGGGGTAGATGTGCTTACTTCAGTGAAATGCAAAATATCCCAAGAGAAACACCCTGTTTTTCAGAGACTAGGTAAACATGGGACCACATTCACCATTTTTGTTTGTTTGTACAGGGTCCTTGACAAGTTCACAAGCTATCCTGCCCACTACAGTGTTCTGTGCAGCCGGATTCTTCTATTTCATCTTCCACGCAGGTGTGGCTCAATCAAGGTTTGTTATTCCAGGGTCTTGGCTCTAGCGCAAGACTGCAACAGCGCCTGTATAGTACTTACTCAAGCATACCCCAACTCTCTCTTGTCAGTGTTCTGTGTTTTGGTGCTTCCATTACTTCCTCTCCCAAAATGATGGAACCTGGTGGAAGGTTTAGGACAAATACAAGGACTTCTTCATGCAAAGTATAGTTAAACTATGGAACTTGCTCCCACGGGAAGTAGTGATGTTCACCCATTTGGGTGGCTTTAAAAGGGGATTGGACAAATTCACAAGGGAGGAGGCTATCAGTGGATATGAGCTGGCTATGGACTACCTCCACGCATGCCCGCATACACCAACCGCTGAGGAGTTTGGGCAGCTGCTTGAGGGATCCTGTGGGCAGCTGGTTTGCCACCATGTGAACGGTGTGCTGGACGAGATGGACCACTGGTCTGATCCAGCATGGCTTTTCCTATCTTCTTAATAATACCTTGTCTAAAAAGGCTTCCTGATATTGCATTGAACTGACAATGTTTGAAAAGCCTTCCTGACTTTTTAAACTACTACATTAGCTCTGGTGGGAGGATCTGCTTCCCTTTTCAATTAGCAAAGCAAACAAAATGTCAAATCGGCTTGTAACACACTCGACCTGAAGACAACAACCAGCCAGATCTGCAAGCCCAAGGAAGTCTTTGGCTCTCTCTGCCTGGGTCTATCCATCACACAGAGGGAAACATTAAAGCCTGTCACTGTGGGTGGCCACAGAATGACTTAGCATGACATCTGAAACCAGAGTGGGTTTCTCATTGTGGAGAACCGTGCACAAACAAGCCATCCTGAGAACCTGTGGCCTGCAGCAGGGCCTGCAGCAAAGGGTTAACAAAATGACCCGTTGCACCAGGAATTATTGCTGGTGCCAGAAGGAGGGGAATGTTTTATGCACTAGAGCTTATCGAAGGGATGAGCCCCTGCCAAGGACATCTGGCTAGTATTACTGCCCTGCTCTTTAAAGGTGTAAGTTGCTGGCAGCTGGAGAAGTAGGAGGGCCCCAGGCCTCTTGGAACTGGCCGCCAGACTTCACCCCTCTTTTATCAGGGCAAAAGAGCTAAAGCTCTGAATCTATGAGGGCTCTTTTGCCTCCCTCTGGGCTCCAACTCAGTCCGAAGTATTTCTCTTTGACCAACCTCTGAGACGGTCACTCAAAGGAGACTCAGTGCCTAAGTAACATTAGAATAGGGCCTGTCTTTCTTAGTAAGGTCACACAATAAGGAGTCCATTTGCCTGAGAACTGGGGATGCTAGATGGGTCTGGTACCTATGTATTTTGCTGCTATCCTTTTGGCCTTTCCATTTTCTGTTCTGCATTTTAGTCTCCTCTCCCTTCCCCGCTTTTCAATACACTTTTGTTTCCACTCCAGTTTGGTGTTTGGGCACACTGCGATGCCCAATCTGGTGTCCAGACTGTGGGGCTGAGTTCTGGAGTTGGGCAGAGATTAGCCCAAAGGCCTCCTCTAGTCTTATTTCTGCTGGCTTATTGTCAGAGTGGCTTTTTGCTATACCTAAACTTGGCAGCATGATTCTTTTGTGGAAAGTTGCGAACAGCTACCGAGTTAGCCAGAAGAACAGTAAAAACCCCTGCTTCTCCTTACAGTCTTGCTTTTACTGCCACGACCATGCTCCCTCATCCCTTCTCAGCCCAGGATGAATATTTATTTATTTATTTTGTTGGAGAAAGAACACCAGAGGATGTCCCAAATGCATCCACACTTAAAAAGGTTAAATATGAAGTGTTCCCTAGGAAGGGAAGCACTGAAGAGCAAGATGACATTGACGAGACAAGTGGCAGGCAGCTGCAGGAGAAGTAGGGCTGGGGGGCTGTTCTTACATCAGTGTAGGTGGCCTTTTAAAAAGGAGGGTGTTTGCTAGCAAGAGAAGCACCAAATGAAGGATGACATTGACACGGTCAAGAAATTGACAAGAGGGAAACAGAAATATGTTTAGCTAAACAGCTAAAGCAGATGATCTTTGTTCTAGTGCAAGAACCCTTCTAAACAGTTTGCAAATGTGTTCTTGCATTCATAAGAGCTCAAAACCATTATTTCCCTTTAGCATTGGATGTACATCTGACAGCTAGTAACAGAGACCAGTGGAGGAGAATGACGAGCACAAAGGGGTGGGGCTGGCAGCTGCATGAGAGATGCACTTTAGGGGTGGGCGCTCTTTCTTCAACCTGAGGGACATGCCAAAGAGGACACACATAAGAGGGGGATATAGGTATGCTTGGCTACATTCAGACAGGTGGCCTTTCATTTTTCTGCAAAAACCTGGAAAATAAGACTCTGCAAATGCATTCATGGGATCTCAGAAATTATTTCCTTTTTACAATCTCATGTAGGGGCGGGGCATGACGTTTCCCCTGTCAGCCAGCAACCCCAACAGTCCAACTGGAAAAAATATGCTGATAAAGGGAATGAGGAAGTGAGGATTTCTGACAAAACAGCTCCTGAGATACTTGCTTACAGCAGTGTGAAGGACTGAATAGAAAAAACGGCAGCAAGCTGCCAAGTGGGCGATCTTCTCTCAGAAGCAAGGCACAAGCCACGGACCACGGCTTCTTCTCAGGGTGGCCTCGTGTGACATGAGAATGTGGTGTTTCTCTCTCACACACACTTGTGCATACACTCCTTGATGCAGGACACATGTCTTCTGAAACAGTGGCGCTCCAAAAGCACTTTGTGGTCTCACATTAAAGTAGTTAAGAATTCTAGTTGCTCACATGAGCCCACAAAATGTACCATAATGTGCTCAAAGGCTGGTTACAAGAAGCAAGCCATCAACGTACCACTAATTACAAGCTATAGAGGAAGCATTACCACAGCATTAATTTCCAAAATGCTTTTTAAAGCTGTACTTACTGGTCTGGGACACATATCTGGGGAGGAAACTTCTTCTCCATCATCCAGTTCAGAACTAATTAAAATGTTCTGCAGGTCACTGGTTGCTGACCTCTCTTGGATAGCATAGAGTTCTTGATTACTAAATTGGATTTTCTCATTCCTAACTTTCTTGATTTGCTGCAACTGATTGACTGTGTCCTTCACAAAAGTCTGCAGGAGACTCTCAGCCAGCAAGCCAACCTTTTCCTGTTGATTTACCAATTCTTCCTTCTCTTGGCTTGGGACTCTAAGTTGTGCTTCTAACTGGCTTCTTTCTTTTGTCAACAAGTCCAAGAGCGGTGTTGCAGACTTTTCCAGAACTCCAGGAGAAAGACTATCCGACTTTTCAGTATATTCCTGCCAAGATGGCGGCTGCTGCTTCCATTTTTCAGGAAAGCTGCTCTCCAAGGTCCCTCCTACTGCGATAGCAGAAGCCTCTCTACAAGCATTAGAAACAGAAGCAGATATAATACAACTGTCATCAACAGAGGACTTTAGAGAATCAGCAATACTCGTTTCTTGATCAAACTCTTCACTAGCAACAGTAACTAATGGCTCATGGTTTCTTTGGGACATGATCTTTATAAAACCTTCAGCAGAATGTGAACCCTCTAAGGCAGATGTGCCTCCTGGAAATTTATCCTGGGAGCATTTCTCACTTGCGTTTCTTTTCTTACTTTCATCCTCTTCAGCACTCTCTCGGTCTTTCTGATGGTGAGCTGGTTCATCTTTGCATAACAAGTCCTTATTTAAATCTACATAATTATCAAAACTTTCTGAAATATGAGATATTTTGTGTGGAGGAGCAAAAATACCATGTTTTTCTTTACAACTGAAATACTGAATGCCATTGTAAGCACCATTATTGTTTCCTTCAGGCTTGTCCAACTCCACACCAGCCCAAAACCCTTTAGCAAAACTTGTCAGGCCCTTGAATCTCAGTATCCCAGGTTGCACATTGCTCACAAGAACTCTTTCACCAATCTTGAAATCTAGCAAAGCATTTTCTTCTTCTTCTTCTGCCTTTGAACTGGATGCCCAGAGTGATAAATCAACATTAGCTCGTTCTTTCTCCACATCACTGCGCTCCTCACTTTTCATGAGTTCGGTTGGTGACTTCAGTTCTAATAACCTCTCTGAATGAATGCTGCCAGCCACGGATAGAGACTTCTCACTGAGACATTCGCTTATTTCATCATCACTTCCAATACTAGCAGATCTACTCCTAGGAGTTTTTGTACACCAAGATTTCTCTCCATGTGGTCTATTATCCTTTCCAACAGACAATGCAGGTGCCTCAAAATCATCTTTGCAATAGTCAGTAAAAGGTGTCCCATTTTTTGACCTCTCTTCCCTTGATGAGGACTCTTCAAAACTGTTAGAATAGAATGGCTCTTTGCAAATGGAGATCTGTTCCGAAGCCAGGAAATCACCTTTCTGCAATTCTTTGCTCAACTTTTGTGAGAACTTGAGTGATACAGTATCTTCATCAAAGCATTCTCCAGCCATTTTTCTTTCCTGTGGAAAAGGCAAACCGACCTGCTTCTTCTCCAATAGCTTATCTGACTTTAGAGTAGCTGAAGGTGAATGCTTTTGTTCAATATTAAAGGCAGAGTCATCCGATTTTTCAGAAGCTCCATGAGCTACTTTTGCTTCATATTCTTCAGATTTTGCAGATTCCACTTCCTCTTGTACCACAGATTTGTTAGTGGATACGAGAGAATCACAGCTTGTTGTATCTTCAGATTTGTTCAGTGACACGTGGGATGTTTTGCTTGTGTCTCCTAAGTCTTTGAAAAGAGCTGATGAAGCCAAATTATCCAACGAATCACCAGATTCTGCTCTAAATTTTTTGGGGACCTTGAAGAGTAGGGATGGAATGTGGGATTGCTCCTCTGTCTGTATCTCTGCTTCAATTAACTTTCTAGTGTACGCTGACAGAGATTTCTCAGAATGTGAGACAGCATCTTAAAAGAATAAAATAAACAGAGTTACTTAAATCAATTTGCCTAATATTTACTAGTTAATCTCATTAAAGCTGTTAAGTCAAAAATGCTTATGTTGTAATGGGAAACTGCAGTACTGAATAGCAGGAGTGAACTATGCCATCAACAGGTCTGTCTGTCTGTCTGTCTGTCTGTCCGTCATTCATTCATTCATTCATTCATTCATTCATTCATTCATTCATTCATTCAAAAAGGCTCTTTTATATAAAATACCCCAAGATGGTTAACATAAAACACACAAACACAACTTCTAAGCAACTTCCACACATTTAGTGTCAAAATGGATCCTTCAGTTCTCATAACCAACTTCAGTCCCAATATCCAATCAGGTATCAATACCTCAGCAGAGATGGTGGGTGGGTTGTGTGAACACACACACACACGACCACTTAAAGAACCACGGTAACAGGGAAGCAACTTATTTTTCTTCTCTGTGGTCCTGGGTTTGGATGAATATGTTCCACCTGGCTTGTTTAGGAAGGCAACAACAGTAGTGTCCTCCAAAAGCTGCATCTCAGATGCCTTGAATGCATTCCACACCATTAGGTGCTTCAGGTAACTGATATGATACAATTACTCCCACAGTGGCCAGCCATCCTGTACCATCCATGTTCTGCAGCGAGCTCCCAGCCTAGAAGCTCTCGGTTCCTCAGTTGCCTCTGTGGTTCTCTTCCACAGGACAGCCTGAATCCTGTCCAATCTCTTCCTCCTTGCCTGCTTAGCAAAGGTGTAAGAGGGCCGGCATTTTGTTACAATGCCCCCAGGAGAAAACAAGCACAAGGAATGCCCATCTGCTAGGGGAAGCTTGATGCCACATTTAAACACATTTGTAAAACATGGCCTTTGGAGCTATGCACCCTGTTGATGCCTGTGAGATCAACTAATTGCAAAGAAAGAAAATGAAGATTAAAAATAAAGATGAATGGGAATGAAAAATATTTCATCAGGTAAAAACCAAAGTCTGATAAAGCAAAATAATGTCAACCAATAATCTTCCTCAGAGACACTCTTCTGGGGCAACCAGAAAGACATTCAAAGAGGAACTGAGCAAATAGATGGGAACCTGCTACAGACATTCACAACAAGAATGTGGGAAAAGGGTTCCCACCTGAATCCCTCAGCTCAAAAAGCTGCCTAAAGAGACTTTATGAAGGCCACATGTTTCTTGTAGAACCCTTGCCTTTGACTTCCTGGGATTGCTGGCCCCAGGGACCATTAATGCTCCTTCCCTGTATTTAGAAACCCCCGACTTTGCTCACTTGGGACTTCGGGAATCATATATCCCCCTGCATAGGTTATTTAACTCACAATGAGCTGTAGTGTGTGCAGCCACCCTTTTGATTATTAGTTCAACCAGGGGGTGCAAAGTCTCATCCAAATCTGGTCGTCACTTAACTCTCAAATAATCCACAGTGACTGGGATTGGACTACAGGAGCACAGTCAAAACAGCTGTGCCAAGTATAGCAGCTTATCACAGGTTAAATGATAATTTTTGTCCATGTTGTGCAAACCAGGCCTTTAGCTTTAACTTTTGTTTTCCAGGCTACATACCAACATGCTCTGCAATGGATTGCAAGGATCCTCTAGAGCGCTCAGAATCAGGTAGTGATTTCCAACTTTTGCTTGTCTCAGACCTGAAGAAACACACACATTCATATAGACATAAATAATACTGAATTACACTTACCACATACTCTCAGAGTATGATGCACCATAAAACAAGGCAGGGAATATAGAAGATAATTCACAAAGAACTGGAGATAATTAATTTCTTGATTTTCATCCGATTTACTTAACGAAGAAGAACAATGCCCCTTGTCTACTCAATCTACACCCAGACTAGGATTTATAATCAGGTTCCAAGCATCCCAAAACAAGCATTCTGTCCAATGGGCTACAGAGTCTTATTTTCAAGTATCAATATTGGGAATGCAGTTCTTCTTGGTGTGCCTGCCAGGGCCAGGGTGGCACCTGCTCTTCGGACGAGGACAGTCAGGCCTGGGCAAAAGGGTCTCCAGACGCCAAGCTGGTGGAGGAGAGAGAGCTTATTTCAAAGACACCGTCTCCAGGTGTTCAGGCAGACCCTGGGGAGTGACAGTGTTTGGAAGTGCTGGGAGGGGATGTGGGAGAGGAGCAAGAGGCGCTTGGCCTGATAATGTGATGTCAGGAGAGAAGGGCTAGCCAGCCAGTTGGCCTGCGTAGCTCTAGGAGGCCAGCCCTTCTCCGGCAAGACACGCTCAGGAGGGTAGATCCCAAGGTTACTGAAAAGGAGGATTCTCAAAATGTTTGGGTTGATAGAACTGCTCTGTGAATGCTCAGAAGCTCTTCCTCTGTTGGTTTTTATTCTGCTGACGATGTGTTGGAAATAAAGTACTTTCGCCACAGAAATGCCTGTTGACTGAAAAGAAGAGGGGACCCAGCTTCTCTCCATTTAGGAAAACAAGCTTCATGTTCTGAATGCTTGCTTGCATGCACACCTTGCCTATCGTGCTAGAATGTGTGTTTGAGGGGCAAGTTCTACATTTTTTAGCCATCAGCTGTTGTGCATCTGAGGGGACACATCATGGCAGATGAGGAAGTTAAAGAGTGTGCAGCTATCACTAGACAGGATTTGACCCTGGAAGAGAGGAGGAAAGGAGAAGAAGTCTCTCTTCAAGTGCTTTCCTAATCTGGGATGCATGGATTGCCGTACTAGAAGGCAGGCGCTGCAGCAAGCGGAACATCTGCATCCAGGGCATGATCCTGAATAACCATGCTGACTTGGCACATATATCACTAGAGATCTGACTGGATAGGGAAACGGGGGCAAAACCCAACCCAAATTAGCCCCCCCGCCGGGTTAGCTGGTGCAACACTCTAGATTTGATGGGAAAGTCATAATCTATTGTGCTTCCACATTTCTTTCCAGGTAGCTTATTCAAGCAATCCATGTTGCTGCTTACTCTTCAATGAAAAACTAAGGCTTTTTTTTTAAGCAGGCTTTTAAGACTTTTTTTTTTGCTTTTCCCTTTTAATTATAGTTTTGATTAAGTTTTAGTTTTTCAAAAAAGAAAAGAAAGAAGGTGGGGTAGAAATTCTGAAAATAAGCAAATATTCTTTTTAGTCTGGAACGTACCTTGACTACATAGTATTTGACATTGCATACTAGACAAAGGGTCAGTATGCACAACATGACAGCCCATCATTTTGTATATTCAAACAACCCCTACATAACCATAAAATAGACCAGGGCTGAGTTTTTAACCTAGGCATAGATGATATGTGCCTTTGGTTGCTTCTTTGGCCCTCACATAACCTGTGTGCCAGCTCTGCATGACACGGCAACACCATGTGGGGGTTCAACATAGAAACAATGCCTGTAGATGCCATAGGCTATTGTGGGTTAAATATTCCATGACACGCTGTACTGTGTCATCCAAGCCAGGTCAAAGCCATGCTATATGGCCTGACTGTTTTACAATAAAAACTCTTCTCAGTACATTTTTATTTTCGTCTCGGTAAATGGCAGCATCCAGTGTTAAGCTTGCATACATGTAAGGTCATCCTTTTCGTATCTGGAAGATGGAGAAACCTCTTCTAACTATATAATGGGATACACCCAAAATGGCACCAGTGTAATGCTAACTTTAAGCAACTAACTACCTGTGGAGTGGAGGTGGCTTGATCTTTGGTTTCTCTGTAGCTGAAGATGGAGTTTTGATTTGAGGTTTGGCTGTAGGTGTTGCCTCCAGATCCCGACTCAGTTCTGCTTCAGTCTTCTTGATGAATTCATCATAAGTCTGATGATACATGAAAGCAGTTAGAGAGAATCTTGTGAGTCTTAAGTCTCTCACTTTGAAAATCAGCCAACCACAAATATAAAAGGAGAATGGCATTATTGTGTACATGTTTCTTTTGCTTACATTTACTTATAGTTATATTGAGTATTTGGAATATAAACAGTTGAAGAGTTGAAATGTACTTAAGTTTATTCACATCCATTAATATTATTATTTGCATTTCCTTTTCCTCTTTTCAATGCCACTATATTACTATCTAGAGTCAAAAAAGCAATCTTACAGGAACTACAAAATTTAGAAAATATCTGTTTCTTGCAACGTTGATTTAAAAGGACACATGGGAATACTGACTTGTAAAAGACCATAAAGTCTGCAAAAAAAACCCCAAACCCAACAACAACTATGTACACCATTTGAGTCTAAACATGTCTTTGAGATAATTTTCACCTCTAATTGTTTAATCAAACTGGCCTCCTGGGCTTTCAACCTCTCCTTGTGCCTCTTTTTCTGTTCCTTTTTCAGTTGATAAACTACAGACTTTCTTTTTCGTAATTCATCCTTCAACGCTCGGATTCGGCTTTCAATATCACTTTGATCAGATGTTGTTTCTGATAAGATAAATGTTAATATTTTCAGAGATAATGCATACTTGCATGATACAAGAGCTTGCAATATATTCTAGATCATTTACACTGTACTACCTCTTCAAAACCTATCTTTTCCATGCTTAAAGCCTTATCTTCACCTCAACTATAACGATGTCTATGGCACTGCATTTGCTTATGCTCATTCCTGTCATCCATTTTACCTCCCTTCTCTTTGCAACCTCTCCGAAGCAGGAAACTCTCTCTTTTGCTCATTCTGTAAAGTGACAACTAATTTCATGGCAATGCACATAAAATAGATAATGCTGCAATCTTCATAAACACAGGTGCAGTCAAATCTTGCTAAAATATCAACTCATGCAAGGACTTCAAAAACTTCTCACTTCATTTCAGTAAAAATGCGTAGATGTTTTAAACACAGAGCTGTACCAAAAGGAGAGTGGAGAACTAGACATCAGTATTTAACATAATGCGCATGATCATTAACTGAAGTTTGGTACAGCAATACTCTTTTCATAACAATACTCATCTTTGCAACAAGCAACATTTTAATAAGAATTTAATTTGACTGCCTAAAAGTTGAGTTTGGCTGACCATACTTGAAATATGGGTTACTAAATTGGAACTTTAACGCTTACCTGACTGAGTCATAGATAAAGACTCATCGGACCAACTGTAAGATAGCGCGTCCTGGGATTTTGTACATGCATGCTGCTTTCCTCCAGCTCGATGCGACCCTTGCTTTGTCAGGGATACACTACTTTTTGAAGGAGACTATCCAAAGGAAAGAGAGTAATCTGCTTGTAAACCTATTAATTTTAAAATGCATGCCTTATGATATCATTTCCAATGCATTAAGTAGAAACATGGGAAGCATTCTGTGGTCCTGAATCTCAAAACAGGACAAGCTACTATAATCTGTGCGCTTTTACAGCCATTTCATCTGCAACTTTTAATTGGAATTGAATAATGGAAAAGATGGCGTGAGGAGAAGGGTGAAAGGGAGACAGAACAGATGAAGCTGAAAGTGAGGATAACAATGGGAGAAAAAGGGAGATAAAGATGGACAGGGGACTGGAAGACAGGCGTGGTGCAGAGATCACGAACAGCAATGGTGTGTCTGCCCACGTATCCATCCATCTTCTCAGTCAACCACCCTTCTCCTAAGAGGATTCAGTCACTGATGTGCAAATACACACTCCTGCCCACCACTTCACCTTCCAAAGGTTCTATCCCAAACTCATCCTTTATGTGGAACTGTAGTCTGTTACATACCATATATAGATAGGGCTAATGACCACAGGCAAAAAGGATAACAAAACCCCCATAGTTGTACTAACTATATTATGCCAATTGCCTTAGCAGGGCTTTCCCCTCATAGATAGAATGCAAGCACTTTAAATAAAACAAGAAATATAATTTGTGGGCACATTATATGTTTAATCTTGCACAACAGAGAAGTGTATGGTACCTCTCAACAGAAACATTTTCGTCAATCATAATTACTTCCAAATGGTACTTTGCAGGTTGGTGTAATTATTTTTATAATAAACCAGGTTGACGTTCCAGTCTAATCTTAAAATGACAAGACTTTCCAATTTTCAGGCAAGCAAGATATCTGAAGGGAGATCTTGTTCCTCAGCTTCTTTTAGGGCATTAAGTTTATGGCTCCTGAACCCTGGGAATATTGGCTTTCTCCTTTTAAAGAAAATTTCTGGTTCCTATGACTACAGAGATGGAATTGCTCCAAGGATCAAACACTAACTAAAAGTTGGATGCTGTTTTCGATTCTCATGTGTAAAGTATAAATCTTGCATGTCAAAGGGTCATGTGAATTCCTGCGGATTGCTCAAGAAGTTGTCCCTACTGGCATGGATGTTTAATCTGCAGATTTATACTTGTAAATAATAAAATAAAGCAAGCATTAGCAAATTCTCCAGAGAGAACGGTGATGGAGTTCCAGTTGTTTTCAAGGTAACAGGGTGATGCCCCTTGTTCTCTACCCATAATGCATGAACAAAACTGGGCCCCGCAGCAAAGGCCTAGGGAGTGCGAGGGGCTGCCACCTGGCTCAGAAACCGGCACACTAAAGGGAAGGTGCTGCATGTGCCCTTGTGAGGGTGGTATTTGTTCTGACGATCCCGACAACTGTGGTGACTCAGAATGTATATGCAGTAATAGAGGAATTGCTGGACACATGAAGACAGCCCAAAGTGAGGTTGGCTGGTCCACATATGTAGTGCCTCCTTCTGAGTGTGGATCTGTGTGTACGTGAAGAGAAGATACGGTCTGCCAGGCTGCTGCGTACGAAGAAGAAACATAACTACTTGGCTTCATGTCATATCTTTCAACAAGATTAGGAAGATCACCTAATGTACAAAAAGCTGCAGGAACCAGGAGATTGTCTCTTTTCATGAAGAAAGATGCCTTGAGAGAGCTTGTTGCTATATGGACCATATAGTAAAGGCACAACACCCAAACCAGGCCTGTGTTTAAAGGCTGGCTAATGCAGTACAGATACCATGTGAATGTTGGCACTGGGAGTTCACTCACATGCTTTCCAGGGGAGGCAGCAGACCCTCGTTCCTGCGCATAAACCATTTCTTCTGTAAGTGTGTGATCAAGGCTCCCAAACTGCTCCTGAGCCTCAGAGACCTTTGGCAGCCCAGACTCCACAGCCAAGCTGCCCAGGTCTTCTGGGATGGAGCTTTCGCTGTTTAAGCGAGAACAAGCTGGCACAGAAGATTCTTCTTCACTAGCTGTTTCTGAGATGGGAGTGGAGAGAAGGGTCAGTCAGACAAGAAGCCCTGCTGCCTTTATTCACACAGATGGACAATTCTGATGATGTATTTAGGAGAACAAGCCTAAAGCTTTACAAACCCTCAGATAAGGATCACAGAGGCAATTCAAGTGATAAGTTAAAAAAAACAAACCATAATAGGCATCTGATAACTCCAATTAAAATACATTTAAAAAAATGCATTATTGTTGCTTATAATACCCTGGTGAACTCTATAATGTGACGCGAAATACCTGATGATCCCACTGTTAAAAAGCACAGGCCTTACAGCAGCCTTCCCAAGCCTCCTGCCATCCAGATGTGACCGACTACTATTTCCCAGTCAGCCACAGCTATTGACCATAACTGCGAGGGAGGACTGGCAGCATTTTAATCCAATACTTCTGGGGGAGACCCAGTTAAGGCTGCTCAATCCTTGACCTCCAAATGTTTTTTCTCCTAATGCTTGGAGATGTAAGTGAAAGGGAAAGTAATGAATAGTTAAACACTACAATTCCTGCATAAACTGGGTTGCTGCCGCAACAAGTATGCATTTTACTAATGTTTGTTTAATTGATTCCTTTATATTCCACTTTTTTTCCTTCAAGGAATTCAAGGCAGCACAACTGACTTCCTCCTCTAAATTTTATCCTTGCAACAACCCTGAGAGGTAGGTATAGGCTGAGTGCCACTGAATGGCCCAAAGTCACCCAGAGAGCTTTTTAGCTGATTTGGGACTAGAAACTGGATTGTTCAGATGCTGGTTTTAATTTTAATCACTATACTACATTGGCTCTTAGTTTGGAGCCACTGGATCAACAACTTGGAAATTCAATGTTAAATTCAGCATAATTTCTTGTTGTCTTTTATAAGCTAGGAAGACGTACGGTTGGAACATGCTGGATGTAGGAAGATACCCAGAAACAACATGGCACAAGTACTTGCACCAGAATCCCAAAGGCATTTTTTACTCAAAGCACCCCACTGGGGGGAAGCGTGCTAAATTAGGCTCTTACTTAAAGGTAAATTGCTAATTTTGCTACCTTTCTGATCAGATTTCTGGTCTCCTGACCCCTTTTTGTTTCCTTTGACTTTCAACAGTTCCTTGTCCCAGGCAGCCAATGCTTGCTTCTCTATCTGACGTATCTCTGCTTCTTCCGCATCTAAACGACGCTTCCACTGTAGTAATTCCTCAGCATGCTGGCGACGCTGCATTAGTTTTTGCTCTCGCTTAGTCAGGAATCTGGTCGAGAAATAGTGAGAAAGTGGTCATCAATGAACCAGTATGTTAGAGACAAGGAGACTTTCATTTTAAAGAGTATTATTCAATTATTGCCATGAGTCATTCAGAACAGATGGAAAAGTCTACCTGTTTGGGTATGACTGAGGTTAATGCCTTCCACTTCACATAATTTTATACAATTTTCCTTTCTTTGAAAAAGAGTAGCCCGAAAGTGATTTCATGCATATGTAAAGTGTGTACTTTAAAAAGGGCAATCTGTAGTTATTAATGGAACTCCCTACTGCTGCCAAAACGATTCTGGCCTATCGTGTACAATCTTTAACCAGAGCCATGAGCAAGCAGTGCAGAATGACATGATGCATATGACACAGAAACCCACTAAGGATAACTAGCCACGGTGGGTTGTCCTGATGTCTGAACCAACACCACATCCAGTAATGTGGCTTTTTTTCCAGCAGCAAGCCGCACTGTCAACCTGTGACTTATTCAAGGGTTGGTTCTCACCACGGTGGGTACTGATGCTCTGGCACTATTTTCTCTGGTTTGCCATCCTTTTTCTTTTTTGGTTCTTCCAAAAAAATTGTGCAAAAGTTACCTAAATCTGTAACTTGAAATGCATTTCTAGCCACATGAGGCCATTCACCACCACCCCCTAAATGGATAATTGTGAACCCATTATAAAATTCAGGAGGTCTCTTTCATCAGCAACTGTAAGCCAGGAACTATACGTCAACCCTTCTTCCTGGGGACATTCCTTGCCCAGGACATGCTGAAGTAGCCTCCTAGAAGGCAGGTGCTGAGTCAATATTCACCTGTCATCAATTCATTCCATTTCCCCAAGTTACAGGAGACTGAAGCAATGAAGTAGTTCTTCCTAAATGTTACCAACTCTGAGAAAGGGGCTTAGGAAATGCAAGCATTACACAGTCAAACCATGAGAAGAGACTGTGTTAAGTTAAGATGGTACAAACTGCAGACAGAGCTGGGCATTTTGGTGCTCAAGGCAGAAAAGCCAAAATAGTACCTCCCTAAGGCGGCATATGCATATATATATATATTATATTTGCCAAGCGGCAAATTTTAGGGTGCCAGTTAAAAGGCAGCAACTTACCTAGTCACTAGTGCACATGCATATATATATACGTGCTAGTGACTAGGTAAGTTGCTGCTTTTTAACTGGCACCCTAAAATTTGCCTCTTGGAGACAGATTGCATCATCCGGCATAATAGCAGAGCCACCACTGAGGAATGGAACATGGAAGGAAGACTGTAAAAAAGATTACCAAGCTAACGTCAAAGTAGACACTGAAGGTAATTAGTACTGTGGCTTTCCACTAAAGCATGACACACACTGAAACAAATTCAATGCCCAGTACTTCTTGGCTAGTCGTTCCTGAAAGTTCTACACAACATGGCCACTGTGTCCTGTTTGACATCTGACAAAAGCAAGTGCGGGTGGAAGGATGAGAGCGTCTCCTCCTGAAGAGACGGTTCACTACTTCTCCTTAGCATCATGAAGACGTTTGGCAGAAGAGACCCAAATATATAGTCACTTTTACCTAAGTTCTGGTAATTTCGAGTATCCACAAAGGAATAAACAAGCATCAGCTACAGCTCCACCCCAGGGTACACAGGTATTCATTGCATATAAGACTGGATTCATTAAAAATAGCTAGTCTGAAGCTCAGAACTAGAGAGGAAATATTGGAAAAGAGTGAAAGCTATCTTTTGAAGGCTCAAGCCTCCTTATGGACAGGACTTGGGTCAAGTAGCCATCAAAAGGCCAGAAAAAGAGGCCTGGAACCCCTGATGGCTTCTTCCGGCATGGCTCTCCCATTCGCCGACTTCTTCTTATCCCAATATCCATGTCTTTTCACCACTTTATGCCATAAAACACCCTGAATTCTTTGGAGGAAAACAGAACTGTCAGAACTGGAAACAAGTTTGATTTATTTGCATTATTATTCTGAACTCTGATTTGGGCTCACATTTGTGGAGAAAGTGGGACTGTTGCTTTTGGCAAGAGGAATCTTTACCAAGTTGCGACTAAAGCACCAGCACTATTTTCAAATCAGCTCGAATGAGAACACAACATATTACTTGTACATGATTAGCTAATTCAACACTGGTGCTCAGGCTAAGTGTGTGCTAAAAGATTGCATTAAATTCCAAAGTCCATGCCTAACATTCATTTTTCCAATACATGAACTATTTGAGAGTGGGGAGACTGCCAGCCACAATATGCATCAATACAAGTTTTAAATCTTTATACAGGAGAGGGAAAGAATTTTGCAAAAAAACCACAAACAAAAAACCCCATCCTTATGAAGAGCCTCCTAGTCATGTAAAACTGAACAGAGCATGCTCCATCAGAGAGTCTACCACTGAAAAAGGTAGGAAGTTACCTGACCAATTGGTTGTAGATATACAGCTGGAATTTGGGATGGAGGTTGGGAAAACAGACACTGAGAGAAGCCCAGTGATGAGACGTAAAGACAGAGAAGAAGTAGTGAACAGGAGAGCAGTGTCTACAAAATAAGGAGGAAGAGTTTTAAGCCAAGAGAGCAAGAAAGAGACAGAAAAGTGAGAGCAGAGGAGAGCAACTAGTCACAGAGTCTTAAATGAGTCAACTGTTTCATCTGTCCAAAAATGGAAGACTCCAAGGGCAGCAGAGCATAGCCACATATGAGCTACAATCCTTCCCTCCCTAACAAGTGCTTGACACTTCTGTCTTGGTAACCATGCCTTACTTTTGCTATGCTAGAAGAGGTGCTTTTCTAGTTGCTAAGATGGAAGAATTAATATGCAATTCTGTTTGTTCATTCATCTCATGACTGAATTTTAGATTTTCTGTTCTGATCATCTGAAAATCTGGTTCAATCTACCTTATAGTCTTATTAATATTAATGAAAGCTCTAATCAACGATTCTAAGAATTAACTCCTCCAACGGGAGAAGAAAAGCTACATCTGCAGCTTCAGCACACAATACTGCCTGACAAATGATATATATGGAAATCTAGTTCATATGCTGCCTCCCTCACTACTGGAGCTCACGTAGCACTCATACTTTCAATTTCAGGTTCTGTTCTGTAACAGCACAGCATGTCTACTATGAAATGCCAACATGATAAAACTATTAAAAACGAACAAAAGTACTTGGCTGAGAAAGTTGTTAGAAAATAAAAGCGAAGCCACTCACAGGTACTATGAGTTACAGAGGACAGTAAGAACCCACTTAAATGGTAATTTCTGTTTATGATGGGTTCCTTTGTTAATAACTGAATAAATATGCCAGGATTACAAGGGGTTAATTCTTTGACAGAGCATGCTCCAGTTCACATGCAAGCCACAAAACTATTTTTGTCTTTAGCCAACTATCAGTCTTGATACTTGTTACAAACTTGGTCAGATAAAAAACCCAAATATTTGTGGAAAGATCAGGAGCATCATTCTCAAAATTGTCCTGATCTTTTTGGTACTCTACAAAATATTGTGCTAATTCTGCATTTCTATACTGATTTTTCAGTACTAATCAGTACTAATAGTACTGAATATTGGTACTGTTACTGAACCCACACATGAAACTGTGGTCTAAGCTGTTCAGCTTTATGCATATGCATATAAAAATATCACTAGCAAGAAACACTGAAAATACGTTTCTTTTCAACAAAGAAGAGAAAATGGCCATGCCTCCATAACCTCTGGGTCCAGTGACAGGAACTGTTTTTACGGTCAAACTGATATGCTCCCACAGTCAGGTGGGATCCAAAGGGCACAAGGCATGTGCCCAAGGCTTCAGTGCTCCTTGGGGCTCTCTGTATTTCCATCAACTGCAGCCCAAGGCACTAGCCCTGCACTGGATGCCTCTCCAGAGGATATTCTAATTTGCAGGGGCAACTCTCTAAAGACATGGGATGGGAGTGAAAAACCTGGAGCACACGCACATACCCTGAAGACCTGCAGGCTGATTTAAATCCCTCACTAAAAGCAACCCCCGCCCCCCAAATTCAACATGTTCACAATTATATGCAGTAGTTCTCTGCCATCAGGCCTGCCAGCGCTTCCTTTTGTCGTGACATCAGTGTTACTGCTCTGAATTCTCACCAGTGAAGACCTGTCCAACATTACAAAGGACACACAAAGTATTCTTCAATAGTTAGCTTCAAAATTCAATTCAAAAATTCTGTTCTTCAGAATCAGAAGAGAAAGGCCACTTCTTTGTCAGCTGCATTAGGACTGATATCACATTATACAGAAAGCATTATGTGTTAAAGTGAAGTGTCTGCCTGTGCAGAGCTCAAGGACCTTAATCGTGGCACTATAATGGCTTTCCTAGCAGCAGAGGGCCCACACAAGTAAGTAGGAGACAAATGCTGGCATGCAGAAGGCTGCAGATCCAACCCTTGGCATCTCTGGTTAAAAACGTTCTTTACATAGCAGGACAGAGGAATCTCTTCCGTGCCAAAGACCCCAGAGAACCACCTCCTGCCAGGTTAGACAATGCTGGATTACAGGGAAAGATAGTCTTGCACAATCATTCACATGTTCAATTCATACTACTAAGGCACGAGCACAAACGGCTAAACTGAAATGTTACTGTGCCTGTAGGAAACAAAAGCAACATTCATATCCAGTGATTGTTGTCATCCATAAAACAAAATGCAGATAGTTACTTCTCATCCATCCGGCTGCGCATTTTCTTGAGTTTCTGCATGATGCTACTGGTCTCACAACTAGAAATGGAGGAAGGGCTGCAGGTCTCAGCGTCTGTTGGCAGAGGGCTCGAAGAATGCGTTTGCTTTGCGTCATCCTCACTGCGATGTTCCTGTGACAAATAATAAATCAACCAGTATAACAACAAGTTTTGTCAAAAGTTCAAGTGGAACAATGATAATCATGTAACTTTAATATCTCGTCTCCTCTAAAAGAAAACGTTTCTAATACTTTATTAAAAATGTACTCTTCATACAGGGAGAAGAACACCCAAATCTGTTAAATGAAACAGTGTACAGATTTGTTTGAAAAGGATGACACATCCTGTAGGTTTCATGGTAACACCATTATCAGTTATATGCACAAATTAATCAACATCTTGAAAGAAAACCATGGGAAAACTAGGCCTATTAAGCATCAACTGCAGGTCTAACAACACCTACCAAGAGTGTTCTTATATTTCGGTAAGTCATGTAGTTACCATAACACCTAAACCGCTTTCAGGTCTATTTATTTTAGAGTTTATGACCCTTCTTTCTTTCCCAAGGAATGTTCGTTTTCAATTTGAGGAAAAAAAACCAATCAGGTTAGTTTTCAAATGCATGAGTTCAGTTCTTGTAGTGCACTTTACCAACTTATTTTCCCCAGCAGACTTCAGTTTTTCCTGGAGTTTCATAGTAGTTTGGCGTATTCGCTCAATCTCTTCCTGCTGCTTAAGGATCAGCTGTCTCTCCTTCCGTGCTGCCTTATTGGCCTCCTGAAGGCGCTTAATTTCTGCCTTTATGGATCAGCACAATAAAGCAAAAACAAAGAGAGCGATATATTACTACTGGCTCACCTCTTACTTACCTACAGCTGCTTGCTTCTGCTGCTCTTCTGCTGCCTTTTCTGTTCTTTATTGCCTGGCGCTTCAACCACATCTGCAGCCTGCCCATTCCTGTAACTCCAGCAGCTCCATTACCTTTCTTGCATTCATTGCAAGTTACTTGTCCCAGCATTTAGATCTCTCAACTTTTGCCCCCTCCTAATTTTCTCTTCTTTTGTTTTGTGTACCTTCTCACACTCTTGGTTCAGCTGAACCTAACCTTGCTAAAGCACAACTCTCTGTTCTTTCCCATACCTGATTCCCATTATGCACTGGCTGAAATTTTACTCTGCTCTGCTGACATTTTATTTTAAAATACAGAGTTTAATCACTGAAAAAGTTACACACACACGCACGCACACACGAAAGAACAAAATATGTTGGGCTACTTCAAGGTATAAAGCTATTTTTTTTTCATCACCCTAACACTTTGTTTTATTCCATTAGGACAAGAACTGAGGCAGAGCTTTCTGCTGTCATGCTGGGGAGGCATCTAGTGGTGGGTCCCCTCTTTCTGGTGGAGAGTGAAAGGACAATGGTTACAATGGCTGCCTTTGTTTCTTAGTCCAGACTAAGGTGCCTGTATTAGTCTTAAGATCCGCAAAGTTTTGGAAGCAGGCTATTTGAAGGACCATTTCTACTTGCCTGCCCAAGCTTTAAAATCAGCATATGAGGCCTTGGTTTCCAGTCCACCAATAAGGCCTGCAAAACTGGAGAATGAGAGGGTGGATTTTGAGGTAGGCCCCTGTACTGAATATGGCTTCTTTGCCAGCCTTTAATAGGATTTTAAAGACTTATTTATTACAGTTGAATGTGATGAACACTAGTGCACTGTGCTTTTTCCTGTTGCTGCTTTTCCTTAAGTATTATTTGTTATTTCAAATATTTGAATGTGTTTTTATGTTCTGCATTTTATTCTGTACTTTTAATGAAGTTGCAATCAGCTTTGTGAGGGGTATTACAACAAAAAGCAGGCTATAAATCTGCTAAATGAATCGAGATGTCCCTGAGTGCTTGTGGCGTGCAGTGCTCTTGAGTTGCACAGTCAGGACTGCCTGCCTCTGGACCACACCGGTTCCTAATTCATTGAGCAACCAGCAGTCCATCCATACAATCAGGCTCAAAAGTAACTCTTACCTTCTCCTGCTGTAGCTTCAAAAGAAGGCCACGTTGTTTCTTTCGGATGGGTGGCATCTTGTCATCTTCTCCTTTATCTCGTAAACGCCTAGAAGAAACAACAGTAGAAAAAATCAGTTTCTCTCACTTCTTTTGCTGCTATAAATAGTACAATCTTTGCGGATGATAAAGAACCATGGATGCTTCCTCTAGCCTCTTTAAAGTTGAAAGACGACAGAAAAAACGTAAATCCCGCAAAAGGCATACAGAAACTGGGTTATAAGCCCTCCTATGTTTTCCAGGTTCCCTTACTTTTTCTGATGTTCTAGCCAGGCTAGCTCAGCCTTGGTCTTCTCCTTCAGAGCTTTTTCACGCAGTCGGAGCAATGAGGAGTGATGAGCTGCCCGCATTTCTTCCTCCTTCATGTACTGCCGCACCATTTCCATTGTAAATTTAGAAAAACTGTCTTGCCCTCCTGAGAATGGTAGACTTAGCTCCTGATTTTAAAAAAACAAAAAACAAAAAAACAGAAACAGATTTAATATGCAAATTCTCATCTGACCTATTTCTCTTCTTAAAGGACATAAGTTTCAAAAAGTTAGTGTACTTTTATTAACACAAGGAGCCTTACTAAAGAGTATGCCCTCCTTTTTGATTAAGAACCCCTCTTTCCCCAGGCAAAAACGGCTTTAAGGGTCCTGGAATCCCAAGGGGGGAGAGCCCCACTCAGGCTGTTACTGAGCACGCACGTTCTTTGAAAATGCATGCATATGCACTGCACACGGACTGCTTCTCTCCCCTGGTCCCCTCGTGCCGCACAAAGGCACCATACACTGCACAGCTCCACATAAATACCACTAGCTTCTCATGAAACCCCAGAATGATTCCTCCATCAAGGCCAAAAGGGTGCCAAAGTCATAAAGGCAATAAACTAGCCTTTGGGAGGGAGCAGACGGAAGAGCAAGCTCTGCAGGAGGAACTTACCTGCTGAATATTGGGTTTCTCCCTTTTCAAATATGGTTTATGGAGCTTAAAAAGCTTCCCTCCCAAAAGAGATGCAAGGGTTCACAGCTTTCCAATTCCACAAAGTAAACATGAAAGCCCAAGAACTGCCATGTTGATCACAGCAAAGATCCATCTACTCCAGCATACTACAAGCCATTTATTTATTTATTTATTTATTTATCAGCTGCTCCACTGCTAAACAACTCCAAAGTACTGAACAAGATATAAAATATAGAAATATTTAAAATATCTGAAGTATATCAATTTTACTAATATAATCTTGTCTAAGCTTTTAATATGGGAAAGCTTGTTCAAATAAGAGTGTCACTAGCAAATGCCAACAGCGGAGGCAAGCTAGCACATGCTGAACACTAGTGACAAGGAACGTGGCCAAGAGACACAGACAATCCACTAATGGCTCTGCTTTTTCTCTGACCAGGCCTCATACCCATACAGATTCACTAAGAACATCGCATCCAACCCCACTCAGTGACCAGGCAGGCTGTTAACAGAGACAGCATCTTCTCAAATATCTTGTGCCAAGTAGTACCAGATTTCATACAGCAACAAAACCTTAAAAACTGGTCTGGTAGTAAATGGCACTGTGCTTTTGGATTATGTTTCTACCTGACTGAAATCTTGGATTTTGACTTTGGCTGTGCCTCACAGTTCCCTCTGAAAAACCTCTGCTTGATTGGTAAAGCTTTATTTGATCATTTGCCTATTAAAGTTACTTTAATATTAAAGTTTATTAACGTTTTATTTAAAGTTATTACTTTGAATATTAAAGTAATATTAAAGTTACTTTTTCTTATCCCTGTTTTTCTGGGCAAGGAACCACACACAGTTAAAACAAGTTAATACCAGCTATAGCTGATAAAAAGGCACTCCATGTTGCTGTTTCCATGTAGAACTCCAGTGTCAAAGATAGATTCAGGAGTACCTCAAATGACAGAACTGTTCTTTCAAAGGGAGCAAAACCCCATCCAGACTTGGGAACCAATCCCCAACAGGACCTCCAAATTACCAGATTCAGTTTATTAGCCACCCTCCACCCCATAACTGCCCTTTCATGGATCATTGCCTTGTTGTGGCAAAGGGGCATGTATGTGTAGCTGAAAGAAGGTATGAGCTATGCCATGCAGATGGGCATGATAAAGGACCAAAATGGCAGGGGCCTAACAGAGGCAGAAGAGATTAAGAAGAGGTGGCAAGATTACACAGAGGAACTATACAAGAAAGAACTTAACGTCCCTGATAACCACAATGGGGTGGTCACCGACCTCGAGCCAGACATCCTGGAATGTGAAGTCAAATGGACCTTAGGAAGCCTGAGCAACAACAAAGCTAGTATTCCAGCTGAGCTATTCAAAATCGTAAAAGATGATGCAGTAAAAGTGCTACACTCAAATTTGGAAAACTCAACAGTGCCCACGGGATTGGAAAAGTTATATTCCAATTCCAAAGAAGGGCAATGCCAAAGAATGTTCAAACTACCACACCACTGCACTAATTTCACATGCTAGCAAAGTTATGCTCAAAATCCTACAAGCTAGGCTCCAGCAGTATGTGGACCAAGAACTACTAGAAGTACAGGCAGGGTTTTGAAGAGGCAGAGAAACTGGAGACCAAATTGCCAACTTAGGTTGGATCATGGAGAAAGCTAGGGAGTTCCAGAAAAACATCTACTGTTGCTTCATTGACTATGCTAAAGCCTTTGATTGTGTGGATCACAACAAATTGTGGCAAGTTCTTAAAGGGATGGGAGTACCAGACCATCTTATTTGTCTCTTGAGAAACCCATATGTGGGTCAAGGAGCAACAGTGAGAACTGGACACGGAACCACTGATTGGTTCAAAATTGAGAAAGGAGTTCAGCAAGGCTGTATACTGTCGCCCTGCCTATTTCACTTATATGCAGAGCACTTCATGAGAAAGGCAGGGCTAGATGAATCACAAGTTGGAATTAAGATTGCCCGGAGAAATATCAACAACCTCAGATATGTAGATGATACCACTCTAATGGCAGAAAGTGAAGAGGAACTAAAGAGCCTCTTGATGTGGGTGAAGGAGGAGAGCACAAAATTGTCTTGAAACTCAACATTAAGAAAACTAAGATCATGGCATCCAGTCCTATCACTTCCTGGAAGATAAATGGGGAAGAAATGGAGGTAGTGACCAATTTTATTTTCCTGGGCTCCAAGATCACACAGACAGGGACTGCAGCCAAGAAATTAAAAGACACTTGCTCCTTGGGAGGAAAGCTATGGCAAATCTAGACGGCATACTAAAAAGTGGTGACGGCACCCTGCCAACAAAATGCATATAGTCAAGGCTATGGTTTTCCCAGTTGCAATGTATGGCTGTGAAAGCTGGACCATAAGGAAGGCTGAGCGCCAAAGGATTGAGGCCTTTGAATTGTGGTGCTGGAGGAGACTCCTGCGGGTTCCTCAGATCTCGTGATCAAACCAGTCAGTCCTCGAGGAGATCAACCCTGACTGCTCTTTAGAATGCCAGATGCTGAAGATGAAACTCAAATAGTTTGGCCACCTAATGAGAAGGAAGGACTCCCTGGAGAAGAGCCTAATGCTGGGAACAATTGACGGCAAAAGAAGAAGGGGATGGCAGAGGATGAGGTGGCTGGATGGAGTCACTGAAGCAGTCGGTGTGAGCTTGAGTGGACTCCGGGGGATGGTGGAGGACAGGAAGGCCTGGAGGAATGTTGTCCATGGGTCACGATGGGTCGGACGTGACTTCGCAACTAACACCACCACCCCATAACTGAATTCAGGCCCTGATCCAGGACCTGGGTGGCCTCCCCTGATTCCAGTGTCACAAGGAGATGCACAGTATGTCATCAGTACACTCACTGCCCTCATGACCATTCTCAGCAGTTTCATTTGTTCTTAAATAACATTAGGAACAAGATGGTATACTGAGGAATCACACAGTTCAGTTGCTAAGGAACAGCCATCCAATGTTTCTCTTTGAAATTGACAGAATGCAGCCATTGCAACTTACTGACCTGGTTCACATAATACAATAAACCAGAGTACAGTTTGAATGTGGGTTGCTGTTGAACTGTGGGTTCTTGTGTTGTGTGAATCCAGTCCATAGTTTGTTAATTACAAGCAATCCATAGATTACAACACAAGAACAAGCCATGGATTCTCTTTGTAGGTTGCTTTTGGCTAGCAATCCATGGTTTGTTTAACAGCATTGAACCCAGCTTTCAAAAACAACCCAAACTCCCCATCTTCTAGCTTGTCACTGATGTAGGAACTCTGTCTTGAATACTCATTCAACTCACAGAATTGATTCATGATACCACCAAAAGCTGGTGAAAAGTAAAATTAATGGGGTCATACCTTCTCTGACCCTCCCTCAGAAAAGATCAGGACAACCAATGTAAATTCAGTCCTGCATGCTAAAGGGAATTCAAATTGAAATGGATCTAGTAAATCAGCTTCCTCAGGGAGTGCCTGCAGTTGAGTGACTGACATAAGTCTTTCAAGTGCCTTCCCCAAGAAAGGCAAGTTCAGAGTCAGAAAGCAATTGTCAAATGTGACCGATTCCAGAGTGAGTTTCCTCAAAAGTGGCAGGACTACTGTCTCTTTAAGGGCAGCAGGAGATGCACCTACGGATGCATTTATGCACTCGGGATCCATGTGGTCATACCACCCTTGATAGCCAAGAATGGCCAGGATCAAGAGGGCATGTGGTCAGCCACACTACTGCAAGTTCCCTCTCCATGTCATCAGACCACCACAACGGAAAGTGCCTCCACAAAAGAGCACATCAAGGCACCTCAGGTGACTCTGCATCAACAACAGAGCTCAGCTCGCTGTGGAAGCAAGTCATTTTGTCCTCACGGTGCCTTGCAAAAGAGTCTCTGCAAGTCATTGAGGGGCCTAGAGGAACATTCGCTGGAGAGTGTCAGCAGCCCTCAAACCACCTGAAAGTACGAGGATGCAATGGAGACAGCACAGCCCATGAAAAGGCCTTCCTACTGTTGGTCCCCAAAACTGGTACAGGGCGATATAATGTCTCTGAACTAGAACATATCATTTAGACATCTTCATTTATTACATTTTTATTCCACCCAACAGCCCAAAGACTCTCTAGGCAGTTAGGGTCCAGTGGCCACTGAAAGACCTATACAATCATAAATCTGTCGCTAAACCAGTTTTAAAGTCATCTAGCTCAGCGGCCATCACCACATCCTGTGATAACAAATTCCATAAATTACATGAAGATTTTTTTTCCTGTCCTGAATTTGGTAGGGCCTAGAGATAGCACAGAAACAGGTTTACTTTTCCTCTCTCAGAAAAAACTGAGCAGGTTACTTGCTTCTACTTTCAGGTGGCTAAAGAGAAGGGGCACCTTGCCCAGGTGGGAGGGGACTGAGTTTTCAATGGTGCATTCTCAAAGGGGGAAGCATACTGTGTCTAAATTGGCATAATCTTGTATGTCTAAACAGTTTAAGCACACACCCACGGAGGCACAGAGTACAACAGAGGGAAAGGGCACTCCTGTCTTCACTGCACGAGAGGGTGCTGGTTGGGCTCATATGTGTTTTTTAAAACTGACTGAAAAGCAAAGCTTCAGCATGTGAACAAACAGGGGCTCACTGCTCATCCCTGCTCCAGAGGGACAAAAGAGGGCATTCTCAACTCTTTGGGACCACCCCTATGAACAGAACAAGGCAGGACTGGATCGCACTTGTGACTCCTTAGCCAGGAAGTTCTCTCTTTCTGCCAGAGTGGACTGGAAAAAACAGGAACTTCCTTCAAAATATGTGGAACCCGTTGCAACATAACATGCTAGTGGCTTACTATTTAGTCATTGCAGATTGTGCATATTCTAGGGTCTTTAGCTAGCTGTTTCAAAACATTTCAAACTCTAATGCTAATCTCTGAATGTGCTAATGTTTCAGTTTGTGCTAATCTCTGAATGTGCTAATGTTTCAGTTTGTACGTTACAGTGTTGCATTTGATGCTGGTCTTTGTCCAGAAATGTGGTTTAAAAATACGTTAATCATATAAAAAAAACTAAAAGAAAACCTCTTACCTTGCACCCCAGAATGCTCTTGAGCACCAACACTTGGCGTTTCAGGGTCCTGGGGCTAAGACCTTTTGAGGCTGTCCCACAGAAATTCTAAGATAGATGACACATCTTTGTGACTTGTAACTTTATTATTGCTAGTGCAGCACTCCAAAATAGGTTTTCAAAGCAGTGCCATAGGCCGCTGGCAGGCTGCACTTAATGTCAACAGAGTGCCCAGCACTTCAACCAAGTATCCAGATTTCTCCGGTCCGTGCTGAGCAGCCTCCATGCTGTTAGCTAGGACATGTGATGTTAAAGATGCCAAACTAGGCCCTGGGATAGTGATTGTAGCCACTCTGGAAACCCCCAGTGCGTTGACAGACAGCATCATCAGCCTTCCAAACTACGGTCTCCTGGTCAGTGTGATGCTATCAAAATGACTTCTGCTTTCTCTTCCTCAGTAACCAAGTGCAACCAGGCTCTGCCTCCTTCCATTGGGCAGGGCAGGCCCAAAAGACTGGGAATGCTCACATTCCTGTATCCATGCCGAGGGAAATTTCATCTGCTGAATTCCTGCCTATTAGTCACCTGTTAAAAGGCACATGAGCCCTGCCAAAGAAAGCTACAGTAACCTTAAGAAGGGTTTCTATTAGTATTCATTCTTGAGGCAGCACAGAGCAAAAACTCAGATTTACAATCTCGGTGGCATCTAAAGGTTATGACTACATCAGGAATAAAATTCATGTAAAATTAGGTATTAGCTAAGCTCCCAAAAGTCTATGCAAATACACATTTATGTAAATCTTACTGAAATATATGGGTTTAATTTTCTAGGAAACTCTTTAGAAAAAAGTGCCAATATAGATACATTTTGGCGGAGACTAATGGGATAATATCCATCAAGTAATTAGAATTTCTACTTTGCTGCAGGTTTTTTCACTCACTTTTTTTTCTAGTGAGGCGGCTGTCTTTTTGCTTTACAAATGATTGTTAGTAATGTTACTGCACAATTGTGCTGTGTGTGTACATGCATGCAATTTTTAAAAACAGAAGTTCACAAACAGGGCCTGAAAACAATGAAATTGGCCAAAACATGCATAGCCAAAGAGTATGAAACTATGAAAACATACTTTAACAGGTGATAAGGTGGTCTTTCCAGGAGAAGCTTCCTCATCAGAATAATCTCGGTGATCTCGTTTCTTCAAATTAAACAGGCGGTGACTCTCGGAAGGGAGTAAGGACCGGAAGGACTTTTCTTCAATCTCATCTTCTGTCATAGATTCATCAAATTTTAGAGAATATTCTGTAGCAACAGAGGCAGAATCTGAAGAGAAAAAAATAGAGCGAGAGAGAGAGAGTGCACACGCGCAAGAGAGATGTATTCAAGTTAATGTTTTCACCAAAAAACAAGACATTATATGAAACAAGTTTTGTCCCAAAGGTGCAATGTGTGCCTTACCTAAGTAAGCAATGCATATCTTTTCATTTTTATTTTTACCCTCCCTTTCTACCATGAAAATTGGCACTCCAGGCAGCCACACATAATACCCAAACTTAAATAAGTATTGATTGCATGACCAAAAGTGGAGATGTGCAAGGATGAATGAAAGCAGTATTTAACACCAGCAATGCAACATTTGCAAAGCACTTGATCATATGGTGAAAAGGGCACAGTCAATAGGGCTGCACCCTAAATGTGTTATAGAGAATAGACCTGGTTCAAGCGAGACCGAATGTGGGGAAACACACTGCACCATCGTTCAGACAAGGTGGAAATCCTGTCGGCCAGCAACCCAACTTGTATACCGGTTCGGAATAGCACATCACTCCTTCTGAAGGGTCACACAGGCAGCTTTGGCAGGGCTCTTGACTACAATACAGCTCCCAGATAATAAAGTGGTAGCAGTGGCCAGAAAAGCCATGGCCCAGCTTTGGTTAGCAGGCCAGTTGTGCCACTCTGGAGGAAGGGTGAATCCGAATCCCTTGCCTTAATCACCACACGTTTGGATGACTGCAACATGCTTGATATGGTGCTGCCCTTGAAGGGTATCCAGAAACATCAGCTAGTGAAAAATGCCATGGTCGTAGCTTTGCCTGGGGTGCATTTTACAGACCACATAACAGCACTCTCAAAACCGCTGCACTGGCTTCCAGCTCAGGATGCTGGTTCTTGCCTATAGCGCCCTGAAAGGCTTGGGCCAGGCTATCTGAAAGACCACCTCCTTCTGTATGCGCCTGCCTGAAATTTGCTCTAATCATCTGATGCTTTGCTGCGAGCCCCATCTCCTAAAAAAGTAATGTTGATAGGCTCTCATAACAGGGCCTTTCATGCAGCATCACCCCAGTTTTGTAAGAATTGGGACTAGCCTCCTCCTTGCTATGAAAATATTGTTCCACCAAGTTTTAAAGACTTAATGCTACTTTGTTTTTATCATTCCTTCCCGGTTTTAAAATGTTTTAGGCTTGTATATTTTTCTCTATATTTACTGTGCATCACTTTCAGCACTCATTGAGTGAGGCAAGATCCAAGAATATCCTAAATAAATGAACAAGCGTATCATCAATTTCTAAAAGAAAGAATGTCTCCTAGAGCAATGAAAGCAGGAACAGCCAGCCAGCAGCTCCCAGAACAATGGAAGTGGAATCAACAGTTGGCCAGGGCTCCATGCAGCAATCATAGTGTTGAATATTAGGCTGCAGGTTCCCCAGCAGATCAGGATGCCAAAGAGGCTGGCTAACAAGAAGAAGGCCTATGAAAAATAACAGCAGACACTTGAGCTGGGGGAAGACAGGCACATGCAAAAGCAAGTAAAACTATTTCACCCCTTTCTGTATTATTGCTATGGGAACCCAGCAGAGCCATTAAAAGAGCAGGGTAAGAATACAAAGAAGAAGAGACTAGAGTAAGACGTGGGGTGAATGTCAGTTCCTTTAAGTTCTTTTTGGAATTCTGACCTCTCTCATCGGGAATGGATGGAATACTATTACTCTGCAGGGAATCGTTCACAGCCACAGGAGCTTCCTCTTCAATGGAGGTGCTTGGCTTTTCACGCCGTGAATGTTTCTTCGTCTCCTTTGAGGATGGAACAGATGGGCTCTCCTGATGGCTACGGCGGCGGCTGCCACTGCTGCTGTTGCTGCTGCTGCTGCTGCTGCTTTATAAACAGGCAAAATAAAAGCAGGCAAGTTAATCTTGAAGAAGAATTGGAAAGGTCAATATTGAAGCAGCCCTTAGGATAATGAAAGCAAGAGATACACATCTTCTTTATGCCAACAGTGGACAATTGCACAAATGAACAGCTCCAAATGCTCTTCTTTCTCAACGACTGCACTAAATTTTTCCATTTGCAAGCATGTCAGACTATCAAATTACCACAGGCCTGCTCCCTAGTGACCAATCAGCTACGTACTAATTGGTATGCTTGGCCTGCCCTCTGTTTGAAACCTTATTACATTTTTAGTCCTAGAATGGCAGCTCCATTGTATAGAACTCCAGTGGACTACTATACATAGTGGGCAGCATTCCGTTTGGTAGCTCTATTATAATCAAAATCATAATCCATTTATTCCCAGTACTGGGACTCAAGCTTTACAATATTAAAGTTAAACAAGTAAAACATTAATACAAATTGCCCAAAGTTAAAAATGTAATTAGATCAGCTAGACTGTTAATATTGCATAAAGCAGCACAATTAAAACCACAGTAAAAATAGCATCAACAGAAATAGCCTAACGCCTTCCCCTGCACTTCATTCATCTGAAAGGACTCTTGACAGCCAGATGAAGTTCCCGAAACAAGTAACACAGTCTGTGTTTATTTCAGAGGTTGTCTGTCCCACCCTTCATCAAATCTAAGTGATCTGGAGAAGTAAACTGGCATGTCCTGCAATTTGCCTCTCTGTAACCACAGCAAGTATATTAAGGGCATTCTAGGCTGACTCTTTTCACAAAAAGAAGCAGAAATAAGCACTGAAGGAGGAGAGATTGGAACGATTTCAGCCAACTAAAGGAATGTAATTTACAAGCCAACTAAATCTGCATCAAAGTACAGCCCAACAGTCTTCCTTTGTTAAATGTATAACTGATGATGATTGTATGAATCTTGGTTCTTACCTCTGATCATGTGCCTTGGATCTTGATGATTCTGAATAACTATCAAATGAGGGAGAGTAATTATGCTTTGAGTCACCTGTCTCCTCTTTACTTTGTGAAGGGGTAACTGATTCTGATTTCCTGTTAAAGAAAAGCAAGCAGGTTTGCATTATTTTGAAGAACAAACCAGCTGACTGATTTAACTCGCTGAAGAAAAAGCCTCAGATATTCTAGTTACAGTAAAATAAACAGATAAGAAACATTCAGTGAAGTATCAGTGGACACAAGCAAGCAGAAAAATGTATGAGATCTGTTTTCTGCAAAAAGCTGCTTGTGCATTCTGAAAACAGGTCTACCTTCATCCAGTCAATGGGAGAGCAGGAGAGAATTCCTGACACTTGACACTGCAGGGCACCATTCACATATTGCAAGAGCTTCCCCTTCCAACACAGGACAAAATGCTTGAGAGAGTGTAGAAAATTTCATCCTGCCTTGGGGCCTGAAACAGGGCTTTGACATGGCAGGTAGAAACTGGTTTCATGGGGCTCTGCATTCAATATGCTAAGCTAAAACGTGCACGCACACCATTCCATTTCTTCTCTTCCCCTGCAAAACTTACAACAAAAGGAGATGAATTCAGGATTGTGTGAGGACTTCCTTAAGGCCTTACAGTAAGTCAGACAAGAACACCGTAAGGCAAATGCCACAACTAAAAATGCTCTTGTTGTCTTTCCTTAGAAATTTCCTTAAACTGTTTACACAACTAATGTTCTACAAGTAAACTAAAATACCTGTTCATGTTATGGGCTTGCAGTTGCTTTATAAATGCTGAGTGGTGCTTCCGCTCTTGGTCAAACAAGGTGGTAACTGGAGCTGAAGGAACATTGATGGCATCTGAGATCTGCGTTCGCGCAAGTTCAGTCATCTGAAGAAAGGAGCACAGAGAGACATCAGTATCACAAGTGCTGGGATACTTTTCTTGGGTTAATGCCTTGAAGTCTCGGCAAGTTATAATTTTTAAAAATCCACCCCTCAACTGGGAAATGAGGTTTCCTTTCCCAGTAAAGCTGCTGCAGCAATAGCAAAAGGCTGATTTTCTGCAGGAATCTTTTAACACAAGGCCAAATGTGCTAAAGATTTCACAGCAGGATCTCACCTCCCGTATCGCACGAGCAGCATCTGTGGTCAGCAGAGCTGCCTCCACCTGCTGAGCTGCCATCTTGCATGTTGCCTCCTGAAGAGCTTCTGCTGCCTCCTGCTGAGACTGCACCAGCTGCTGCTGCGATTCTGCATGGGCCTAGATAAGGTGACAAAATGAAGTTGCTGTTTTTCATTTATTTTCAAAGATAGTGCCAACTCACCATGACCTGAGGAGCCTCAATATGGAAACTCAGACTCTTGACATAGGGAAACATTTCTCAACAATAGAAGTCTATTTTGTTGCATGTGCAAAAAAACGAAAGGGAACGGTATTACACTGCCATATTTATGGAATAAAGATGGCACTATTAAGTTGGTGGAGCATACTTGAGGAAGAAAGGTCCTTTTTCCAGTTACCAACTCAAAAGGCAAAGGCTCCTGAAAAAGGATTCCAAAGATAAATCTTAGAGCTGAGGCATTTCCTTCTCATATCAGAGAAGGAAAAACTTCAGGTATTCAGGACCAAAGGTGCCTAAGGACTTTCAAGGTAAAGTCACCGACATTCTGAATTGTGCTCAGCAGCCACTAAAAATGTTTCAGGACTGGTAAGATTCTTCAATGAGTTCTGTTGGTAACTTAGCAACTCTATTACTTTACGTATAGGAAAATGTTGTATTATTCTTATTCCAATAGAGATGCTAAGAATGGGTAGGAATCAAGTCATTAAAATAACAGCATCTCAACACAAAAAGCAGCATTTAAAACTCCAAGAGAGCCAGAGCATTCACATAATAACCAAAATAAAAGACTGGCAAGAAAAGAGTTCTAACATCAGCAGAGAAGTCATAATTTACCCTCTCAGAGTCAGACTTTCCAAATATGGGGAACTGGCAGGAGATGCAAGTGGAAAAGGAAAATGATAGAAAGCTCAGTTGGTAGGAACTGTGTTCTAGAAAGAAGAAAAACACATGCTACTCAACTGGGACAGGAAGCTAAATTGGGGTGATGCTCCATCAGGAAAGGGAATGATAAAAAGTTATCATTGCGCTGTTTATGCCTCCGAAACCTAGAGCATGAAGCTGTTCTTTTATGTTTTTCCACAGCAGCGGAGAAACAGGCCAGCAGTTAGCATTCTGCACGAACACAAGTTTCCAAGCACTCTTGAATGGCAGGTTTGCATGCAGCATATTGCAGCAATCTAAACTGGCAATTACAAGACCATTGATAACTGTAGGAAGGCTCTCCCTGTCCCTTCCTGGTCAGCCACCCCACACTGAACTTCAGTTTAGCATCAAATCCACATGACTTGATTATCCCTCTCATGTTATAACCATCCTTCGCCATTTAGAGAAAGGTGTGGGAAAATGTACTATCTTGGAAAGACAGACTCCTTACTCCTGAGAGCCTGTAGCTCTCATGAAAGCCCATGTGGTGTAGTGGTTAAGAGCATGGGACTGGGACTCAGGGGATCTGGGTTCTAGTCCCAGCTCAGCCATGGAGCCAACTGGGTGACTTTGGGCCAGTGACAGACTCATAGGTGGTTACTGTGGGGTAAGATTGAAAGTAGCAGGATGAGGATGCAACCCACTCCGAGTTCTTTAAAAAGAAAAAAGCAGGATATACAGCTCATACACACACACACACACACACATATATGACTTTCCTCTAAAATGGGTCAAACTCTTTTTGCTTCTTAACCTTCCCATTTGGGAGACTCAGACTCAAATTCATTCGTACCACTTTCTCCACAGGATACCTTTTCCTATTACTCGCAAGGCCACCTACCTGAGCTGCCTTCTGCCTTGCTTCTTCCAGCTGCCTCTGGCTTTCCAAGGCCTCTTGCTCTGCCTTGAGCCTCAGGAGAGCCAAGTTCCGCTCATGGCGCTGCTGTTGTGCCTGCAGAGTAAGCTTAGTTTAGTTTTAGCATTTCAATTTATATCCTGTCTTCTTGTTTAAAATTCATTCAAGGCCGTCACACTAATTTTCATCAGCTAAGGAAAAAAATTGCCTCAGTATCTGATTCCTAAATATTTAGACTCCCTTTTGCTTCACAGTTTTCATCTTGATCCCACCAAACATGATTTTAGACATAGAAACAGAGAAACAGAGCGAGTCAGAAGGGCCCTACTGGGCCATCTAGTCTGACCCCAGCTGCAGCCAGTTCCACTCATGACATCCCTACCATAAGCACGTCCAGCCTATCCTTGAACACCCTCACTAATGGGGCTTCAGCCAAGCCCATTCCATACCCTAGGGGTCCTAACTGTCAGGAGCTCCTATACAGAACAAGTAGAAGGCAGTGTGCAACAATTCAGTATTTTTCTCCTTAACTGATTTTCTGTGTGATGAAAAAAGGATTAAAGCCTCAGGGAAAAACATAGGAAGGCTATGAATGGAAGATGATAACATCTGGACATCTGTAAAATTCCATGAATGAGTCCTGGCAATGGTGTGATAACGGCCTCATCTGGAAACACTCCTACGTTGCTACAATAAAAGCAACATCACTACAATAAATAGCCCTATTATTGGGCTTTTAAATTATAGTCACAGGTATTTCTGAAAACTGTAGTTACATTAGATCCCAAATGTATCCCATCTGGAAAAAAGAAACTTCTAGTTTTGTGGCTTTAATAGGAATATGCCACTATTAATGCCACTGGATCTTCAGAAGAATGTTCTCCCAGTCCCGCCTCCTTCCCAGCTGAGATACTGCAGAGCAAGTGCAAACACCAGTAAAACCAGAAGCTAGAGGAACTTTCTCTGGTTACCTTAAGCATTTGAGCCAGTGAGACACTTTCTTGCTGTGCAAGCGATATACTCCGTATCCGTTCTACATCAGAGATCTGGCGCATAGACTCCTCAATGGCACTTAAGTAGTTAAGCTCTGCTGACATACGATGCTGGAGACCAGAAGGTGAGAATCGCATGGAACCTATAAAATAAGTACCCACTATTAGGTACCTAGATGCATGTACTCAAAGCACAGTTCTTAAAAGCTACCAAAATAATATTGTGCTCTGTTTTTGACTAGCTCACCACTCAGAGTGCCTACTCCCATCCTGCTGGTTCCAAGGTTCATATCAGAGAAAGCAGTACTTGGCTTGGGTCCAGGAGCTACAGTCACTGGAGAGCTTGGAGATGTGTTTTTTTCTGCTGTATTTACTACAGGTTCTGACTGTTTCTGTATGCTTGGAGACTGAGGTGAGCTTGCAGTCCTTGGAGATCTTAGTTTTTCTGGGAGACTAATAGAAAAATCAAACCAGAATTGAAACAACAGCTATTTTTCCAAGATGAAGTAGTCACACAGTAGTAGCTAAAACCCAGTTTGACAGTATGCTCCCTCTCACAATGCAAAGGCCTAGTAATATCTGAAATTACCCACAGAACGTAGGTTGCTGGGAACCCGAGAAGGGTTGCCATTTTATTTGTGGGGGGCCTCCCATAGGCAACTGCTTGACTACTACAGATGGGATAACCTTTGGTCTGATCCAGCACAGTTCTTACTTTACTGCATATGAATCAACCTCTTGCTTGTTCATTCAGTCTCTCTGTTCCTCCATTTACAGCTAACCACAGTGCCCTGTTTCCTCCAGCTGAGAAACTGTGATCACCAGCTTTGGAATTAGCCAGGATATTAAACCAAGATTTGAAAATGTACAACCTGGGCTTAAAATCCTGAGCCTGTTCTGAAGGCGGTAACCATGATTTCCCGGTACAGACAAAATGGAAAATTGTGGTTAGAATCTTCCTATCATGTACTTAGAACTATAAAGGTTCTTATATTATATACGAATTCAAGGGCAGACGTTCAAATGACTCAGCCCTGGTCCTATTAGTGGTCTGCTTTACCTCATCAGGGAGTGACCAGAAAGCTCTTCTAAAGTGCTGTCAGAATCTGGGTTCTGCTCTTCTCTGTTAAAGGCGCTGCTGTTAGGCAATGGGTTCTTTGCCTGTTGCTGTCCATAGTCTGCCTCTGGGGATGGTTTGCTTTCTTCCCACAAAGGTGCACTTGGAACTCCACTAAAAGATTCCAGCTCTGTAACACACAGGTTGGCCAAAGAGAGTTTAAAAACAAATTAAGAACAAAACCAAGAACAAGCAAAGCCTTTTCTCGCTTGACTACTAGACTGGATGTTTTTAAATTTCAGAAATATGTAGAAAGTTTCAACTGAGGATCAGGGCTTCAAACACAAAACTTCTTATGCAATTAGTTGCCTAACTCAGAGGGCTCAAATGCTGCATTGTCCAAACTCAGACAGCATCCTACAGGAGTGCTTAATTTGCTGTAATAAGCCACTCTTGATAACCCGTGGTTTGGTTGAGGGGTTGTTCAGCCCACCATGAACCTGGGAAAGCAATTTAATTGTGAGTTGCAGAGATCAGCTGGAGAATCACTCAGCCAGAAAAGCAAAGCGTCCTGCTGGCTCTTTGCAGTCTCGCCCATGCTACTCCTACTGACAGCCTCTCCATGGGTGATCAAGTGGCATTTTGCAGCGATTGCCTTTTTTCCCAGATCAAGATAACTTGTGCAGTTGGTCTTTAACCATTAAAGCCCTAATCAATCTGTGAACAGGGCATCTTAAAAACAATCTCTTCTTGCATAGACCTACTCACACACTCAGAGTCAATGTCAGAGATACTGCTCCATGATTCCTCTTTCATAAAAATGAGGCAGGTGGACATGTAAGAGGTTTTCTAGGCCAGGGTCCCAAAAACCTAGTAATGGAATACTGAATGTCTGTGTTGGAGTCATAACTTGCTGCTTTTGGCAAAAAGTGAAGATCTGTTTGTAAAGACCTTCAAAATACGTTAATATTATAATGCTGCTAGAAAATAGCATTAAAATATTTAAATATAAAAATAAACTATCTTGTTTGATGTTTTTAAAAAGTTTGTAGTGGCTTTGAGAATTCCTTAATATTGAAAAGCAGGGTATGAAGTATCATAAATTAAAGTAAAAAACCTCTAACCATTATTTAAGGTAAGGCTATGCTTTTTTCTCCCCTTTCTCTACTTTAAAAAAAGCTGAAACATTACACAATGTCTGGAAGACATCGAGAATGTTCAACAACTGTTGCATTGTTTCAAGAATGTCTCTTTTTGAAATAGCATTTTTCAGCATACTTTGGATTTTCCCAGTATGAAATATAAACACATACACATACACCCCTTGCCTGTGAACATCTTGCTATGATGTCACTCAAGACTATTCTAAGAAGCAACAGTCCTTTATCACCATCTACGGGTTATTGTTGAAGAAAGAAAGTACGAGGGACTTCACCATAGTAATTTGTAAGGCTCTGGAGGAGTTTCACAGCAACATCCCTCTGAAAGGCACACCCACTCAGCAAAGATATATGCTTGCACTAGCACAAACTATTTACAAAATGACACTTACTTTCCTTTTCCCCCCTTTTTTTAGAAGATGCAGATGAACGAGAAGAACTTGCTGATGGTGGCCCTGAAGAATAGTGGGTAAAGTCTACTGCTTGGAATTCATAAGGTGACTTCCTGCTGGCTAGCTCTTCTTTTAGGCTGGGGCTGCTGCTGTTGCTGCCAAGATAGATAGGAAACTGAAATACAGCTAATATTTCTCAATTACACAAATGCATATCACAGTGAAACCACCTTGCAAATTAACCATGACAACTCTTTTAGAAATTAATATTTTATATGCTTTATAAAACCATAGGAAGGACAAGATCAGGACTTTTAACTGCTTTTAAAAATAGCTGAGTTTTAGAGCACACTGGGAACTATAAAAGATACACATCTGGGCTGGAGCTTTAATCTGTAATGGATTATGCAGTAGCTGATTAATCTATGAGAACTCTTAGAAACAAATTTATTTATGGTTGTTATGAGAAATTAAATCACAAATGATTCCTCCTCCTAACAATGTAACAGCATCAAGGGGTTTTAAAATTCCGAAAGCCTCAAATATCCTCAAATTGATGCATCTCTTGAACTTCAGTAACATGCACACTGATTCAAATCACTTATATTGCAATCTTATAAATGACTACTTAGAAGTAAGCCCCACTGAATTTAATGAGATTTACTCCCAGGTAATTACTTATAGGATTGCAAGAACGATGTCTTAAAAGGTGAGTAATTAAATAATTGGCATTCCTAATTTCAAACCTTTTGGCAAATGTTTAGGAAACTCAGCAATATTTACAATAATTCTGAATGTGAGAATTTTGGTTTTTCAAAGGCAACTGTGTTAAACACCATTACACCACAAATGAAAAGTATCAGGTTTGCACTGGAAAGCTGTTTTAAACACATGCACTTGCATCTGTGCCACAATGTACTCTTCTATAAGGAAACATTTCTCCCATTAATGAACAAAATCAACCCTGCAGCATATGACCAAATGTTTTTCAGCACAGAGGAATTTTTCCCTTCATTTGTAAGTTCACAGGTACCTGGGCTCAGGAGCAGTTTTTTTGTCTGTTGCAGTTCCACTTCCCTGAGATGAGATGAAGTCATCTTCATAAGAAACAATGCCAGCTGAGGGACTCATAACTGGAAGCAAAGGTCGTTGAGTTGTCAAGCCTTGTCCTGACCATTCTTCAAATCCTGTAAAAAGTGGTCATGTAATCTGAATTTCAGCAGGATCTACTAATCCCAGCAAAAGCTCAGCCAAAAGTATGCCACACAGAGATCCCAAAGCTATTAAAACTGGAACTCCAGAGTAAAGTGGTAGGTGCCAACTTTTCCAAAAGAGACACTATTTATCAACTAATATTGGTGTCACTCAAACTAAGTTGGAGGTTTATTGCATCATGAAAAGAGCTAAATCTCAGGAATTCAAGTAAATATCATGAGCAAGGAGTCTATATCCTCAAGGAGTACAACCCAGAACCTTTCAATCGCCCCTCTTTTAGAGAGCAGACAAGGTCCAATCAACATCATCCTCTACATAGGGTTAGGCTACCCTGCCTTCCCAGAGTAAAATGGAAAAGCGAAGCAACCACTCAGCCTCCAAACTGCCAATGAGGAGATCCTCAATGTGTAACAAATGCTAGAAAAACAATGAACAGTCAGCCATAAATGCAGGACAGGGAGGATGTGCCCCAAGAATCACTGGCTGACCAAAAGAACTTTGCACAAGTTCTGTCATACTGACACAAGGCAGGGCCATTCTGGAATGGCAGGGTAGCCTTGTCCTCTGGAGAAGATCAAGCTGATGGGACCCTGCCTGCCATTCACAGGCAGGACCAAAGCAAACATTCTGAGGTACCTTCCAGAGGACACAGGAGTTAGCAATAAATCATCCATTTCCTTACCTTTTCCATAAAGTTGGTATGATTTTGTAAAAATGTTGATGACACTGTGTGGACTTCCCTTGCACAGGTCTTCCCATGGCTTTGGAGCAGTCCTTATCTGTGTGAAAATAGGCAAGAACTTCTCTGCCTCTTTCTGGAATTCTTTGATGGGCTCACAGATTGTTTTATTTGCGACGCAGAACTCTTTTTCCTTAAATACTTCGACCATCTTCAAAGGTGGGTACTCATGCCTTTCTTCTTCCTCTTCAGACAAAAGGCCATCACTGAGTGGCCCCTCACTGATTGAACCTACACTGCCATTCTGAAGAAATGCAGCTCTGCTTTCTCCGACAGGGGAACCAGTTTGCTTCTTGGTCAGGTTTCCTGGCATGCCTTCAGGTCTGTGGCTGCCTGGAAGGCTGATAGCAGCAGTATGAGGGCTGAGAGAATCTGGGAGCTTTTTAAACTCACTAAGATTTCCCACTCCAGGAAGGCTGTCATCAAAGCTGGTGTGAGAGATGCAGGTACCCAGCATCTTCTGAAGCCTGGCTGAAAAGACGTCATCTTCTCTCACTGGGGAGCTGCAGGCCTTTGCCCAATTACCATCACCCTGGTCTCCTTGCAATAAGTTATGCTCAGAATTCCACAGTGCACCATGGTTAATACCAGCTCCAGCTAACTTCTTGGCCTCACTTTCAATTCTGCTGGACAGAGAGGCTGCTGTTGCTTTCAGGGCTTCAATACGGTCCAATTTACTTTTGTACTGATTAATGGTGGGCTGTACAGCAGATGTGATAAATGACTGAGATGCCAGAGGCATGGAACCCGCAGCAGTGCTGTGGCTCTTCCTGGTTGATAATACAGAGTCAAAGTCTGTTTGCAAGACACCCATGTGATCCAGGGACAAGAGTTGGGAGAAGAGGCCTCCATTCATGACAGAAGGCTGTGAAGAAGGAAGCTGGGCTTTCGAACCTAGCCGATCTGGCTGAATCCATAAAGGCTCCAACATGTTATTCCTGGTGGGGAGAAACATTGAATTCTCATTAAGTTTACAAGCACAGAGTATGGGAGACTATGAATCTGACTGAGAACAGGATGCATATGTACTGGGATATACCTCTTGAGTATGCCCCAGTCCAACCCCTTGAGCTCCCCCTCAAAACCCCCATTTTAGTGGGATCCAGAGTTAGACAGTCAACTCAGGTTCCCATCAAAAAGGGGAAGGGTATGAAGGGTTTAGGGAAAGGAGGAAAGATAGTGCCTGTGGGGAGCTAAAGGGCACAGGACCTCAAAAGGTGAGGATTGTGCTGAGACAGGGACAAATCACCCCAAATACCCCCCTTCAGCAGAAAATCCCTTGCTGCTTGGGTTTCTCTCGCTCCTTTGGCTTTTCTGACCTGGTCTGCCTGTGAGTGAGCAGCGGGAAGATTCCCTTGCCTTTGCAGGGCACTTTACAGTAGACGGATTTGCTGCCACTTATTGTATGAGATTCTCCAGATACAGAATTCTTAAGTGCCAAATCTTAAACATGCCAATGAATTTAGGAAGACAGATTTAAAATCTTCCACTGGTATACAGATGATGTTGCGAAGCCTATACATAGTTGTGACGGCTATGTTGTGAGGTCACTGTTCTTCCTGGCAGGTTACTAAGACCCCCAAGTACACCCCAGTTCATTACCCGAGAAGAGGATGAGGAGGTTCAGAGAGGGACATATCGCTGCTGGAAGATGCACTGGGTGGACGTTCCTGCACTTTGTTCTCTTTGTCAGATTCACCAGATGGCTGATATCCAGGCTTGAACTGGGAAGACAAATGAAATTGTTTTATAAAAGACCTACTATTAACAGACAAGAAGAAACTCTTAAAAACATAACCAATTCCAACTAGCTAAGCCAACCACAGGCCTTGGTTTGGCAAGCATAGTAAAACAGGCTAAAGAAGAGCGGCCTTTATTTGGAAAATGTGCTGCACTTTCCCATTAAACATAATGCCATGAATCCCAACTACTGCAAATGGAAGGGTGTTCCTGCAAGCGGACTTCCTACCTCTTCCTGAAAAGCCTACCTGGAAGGTCAGGCAACCTTCTAGAACTGCACTGGATGCTGGTAGTGCTCCAAATCAGGCACACTTTCCATGAGTTGGAGTAAATTTGTGCAAGGTATCCGTGCAATATCTGAAGCAATCCCCCTTCCCTCAACAGCCCCCACACTTACGTATTTGTGTGGAAGTGGGTCAATCCTTTCCTACCTCCTTCTGAAATCCTTTAAAGGGCTCACAGGTAGTTTTATTCGCAACACAGAAATACTTTTTCTTCAGCAATGTTGTATCTAAAGGTGGGAATTCATTCAGGTGGGTAGAACATGCTGTTCGGCAGAATCCCCTGGCCTTCAGAGTGGCCTTCTAGGCAGAGTTTGGAGGACTGGACTAAGGACAAAAGTTCCCTTGTGCAACCTGCCTTTCGTTTGCGCTACTTAGATTCCAACTTTGCCATAAACAAAAAGTCAAGTAAACAAAAGTTATTAAAGGAACCTCCACCTAGAAATCCCATAGCGCCATGCTTTTTTGGATTTTACTACATTTATATCCTGCCCTTTCCCAAGGAGCTCAGGATGCCATAAGTGGTTCTTCCCCCACATTTTATCCTTGCAACAACCCCAGAAAGTGTATTCAGCTGCAATATTTTGACTGGGTCAGCATCATCCAGTGAACTGGACAGTCAAGTGGGGATTTGACTTTGAGTCACCCCACTTCTTGAGCTTCTAATCAAACCCTCCAATCACTCTACCTGACCATTTCACACAGCAACCAGAGGCAACTCTTCTCAATATTCTACCCATAGTTTACAGAGATACATTTCAGTTTTGATGTTACTAAGCAGGTGCAAAAATTACTATATGTTATTTTCTTCTAGTAATTCTTAACAGATTTTTTTCCAAAAATGAACATGGGAAGAAGCTTTCAATCAGCCAGGAAGTACCCCACCCACTCTTTCAAAATAGTTGCATGTGTACCTCCTGCACAGGGGGCTTTGGCTCCTCCAGCAAGGTTCGTTCCAGTAACAGTTTAGAATAAGTTGCTTGCAATTGTTTTGTGGCTGACTCAGGAGCTGGAGTGCTCTTTGCCTTATGAGCAAGAGCTTCTCTCTGTTTCTTGTAAAGTTCCTGAAGTCTTTTATTCTTTTGTTCTGTTGCCTCTTTCTGTGCTTTCTTCTCTTCATTTTGCCTCTTCTTCCTTTCCTCTTGTTGTCTAGCAATATACTGGCGGACTTCATCAGTATCATAATGCCGTTTCTTAGATGTGACTTGAGGCTCTTCATTGGCAGAAAGCCCATCCGGTTTTCTTTTGGTTGGGCTATGGCTCCTGGTAAAAGCAGAAGTTGCTAATTTTGGCTGCTGGCTTTCTTCATTCCTTTCTTGCACTGTACCCTGAGAGACAGAGTCCAGTTGCAGGTCATCAAGAATTCCACGGATCTCCACTGGCAAGAAATCCTTATTTACATGGTCTTCTCCCAGTTTTGCATCCTGAACAGTAGAATCCTTCTTCTTTGTGTTATTCTCTACTCTTACTTTACTCCGTGATCGTTCAGGACTTCTTGCAATAGTTTTAATGGTGACATCCAATTTGAAATCAGATTCTGCCTTTCCAGTGTGGGATCCTAGAAAGTGGGAAACATAAACACATCATATATTCATGGATGCTATGTAGGGCAGGCATGTTAGCAATAGCACTTTGTTTTAAACCAATCACACTGACATATATAAGAGGTGAAAACATTTAACTACATTACGTTTAACTACCCTAAGGTTCCAGACAGAAAAATGTAATTTGGGAAATGCAAGTGACCAGTTAACAGAACAGGGGAGCAAGTTATGGATGGAAAGCATATGGGCTCTACAACTATGGAGATGGGCCATTAAAGATTACCACTATGCATAAAAAAGTAACACTGGACCACCCTGGTTATCCTGCTTAAAGCCACGACAGAGGTTTGGGCATTTGTAGTGTAAAATGATTCTGAACCAAGCATGAGTTCATACCACAGAGGTCTCCAATGTGGCAGCTCTTCATAAATACAAAGCAGGAGACTTAGTCCTTCCACGGAAACTAGACCAAGCATCATCAAGGGTCTCAACAGTCTTTGTGGGACAAGATTGTGTTAGCAGAATGCCAGGCAGAATGCAATTAAAGGGTGGAACTGGACATCATACCGACCCAAAAATTCTGATAAGTCCAGGCCAAGGAAGAAGAAGTTGAAAATTATCTAACTGGATTTCCAAAAGGCAATATAATTAAGTTTTATGCTCTCATGAGAGAGTTACTTTGATCTCTTTGGTTGCAGTCCCTGGGGTGAAAAAGCAAGTCTAGTTCAGTTATAGTGCCTTATGTCCTTAGGCTGTTTTACTTATTAGAAATAAACTGAGCAGCTTAATCCAGGCAAGGTCCCAATTCCATTATCCTATCACAATTAGAGCTGCATGCGACTTGCTGCACAGAAACTCCTCTGTCCCTCAGGGTGGATGGGGAACTTAGTCCCATCAGTGTAATCTTCCAATAGGCAACTGAAAGATAACTGTGATGCAGCATTATTTCCTTAGCACATCATATGCAGAGAGAGTTCATCTGATGCCACAGTGTTAAATGAGGCTGGAACTGAGAATGGTTTCACTGCTGTTAATTGGCAGGTTTCTCTAACAAAGAAAACTGCAAGCAACTGGATAAGACACTTTCTGTGGCACAAGGAGACTTTCTGCACTCACCTGAGCAGCACCTCTTAAAAATTACAGTAGAAAACAGTGATGCAATACAGAATTCAGCTCACCAGGTTTAGTGGCCCGATCCTTCCCTATTCTGTCACTAGATACTGGCTGCTTGTCCTGCTGCTCTACTTTAGGTGTGGGACCCAGTAGTTTCTTTGCCAGTCTTTGTCCATCCCGCCAGGAAGATGTACTTATTGCATTGGTATAACCTAAGCAAGGAACCAAAGAGAATAGAACACAGGATAATTTTTCAATACTTCTCGGAAAAAATAGTTATTGATGACAAAATTCAGGGAAGAACAAAGGTTGTTTAAAGAAAACATCACCGACAGCAGAGGGTTGCTTCCTAAAGGGCCAGCCCTCTCATTAAGCAAAACAAGGCTGCCTCATTAGCTGACAGATGCTGGGCACTGTGGCACGGCAGCATTTCCTCAGCTGGTCCTCCAGCCCCCGCTTCCGGCAGTCTTACCAAACTGTGGCAGCTCAGGACCAGCTCAGCATTCCAGCAGGTATCAGACATGAGCACACGCTGCTCCTCTGGTACCTGTTGGTGCCACTGCTTCAATACAGGCCAAGGAAGCTGGCTGAGCAGGCAAGTGAGCAGACTCTAGCAGAAGCGGTGCAAAACAACCAGGAAGTGTTGAAGGACTTAGCAGCGTGCACCTGTTAACTGTTTTATTTCACTTGTACTTTATTTCTTTTTCTTGCTTTAAATATTGTTCGGGATTTCTGTTTTTATAATATTGTTAGCAGCCCTGTGCAAAGGTTTTCTAACACACGGAGTAAGCATTTATAAAATAAATATATGGGAGCATTATCTTGTCCTTCATCTTAGGCAGAAAATGTGCTGGCCTTAGTGTAGGATAAGGAAGGAAAGGAAATTAAACTCTACTCTATTTCATGTAGGAGTGGGCTCTCCAGATGGCCTACAACTCCCATGATCCCTCACTGTTGGTTATGAGGCTAGGACTGAGGACAGCTGCAGGCCAAACATCTGGAAGGCCACAAGTTATTTACTCTTCCTTAAAGTGCACAGGCCAACATTTATATGTAAAGGTTAGACTTAAATTCTCCTGCACCTGGTTTGGAATCAGGATTCGGAAGATGTGCCACTTTCTGAATTTTGCGCACTGTTCTAACTGCTTTTCTCTCCTTGGTTTTTGCAGGAGGTGCCTCTTTCCAATCTTTCATATCTTCTTCTGAAAAACAGTGAGAGACCCATTAGCATAGCTAGAAGAATGGTGCATTATAACCAAGGCACACCTACTATCTACTCTAGACTATCAGAACTATAGCAGCATGCCTTCCTAAACAAGACGAAATTTCTGTAGCTTGTTAGAACTGTAACACACATCATCATGCACTGAAGCCAGAAACCTTGAGCATGAGACGTGAAGCTTGATGTCCATGATCATTCTGGGCATTTAATTTATAGGAAGTCTAAGAAATAGAGCTGTGCATTGTCATCTGTCAATTTACATGTTACTTAAGTCTGTTAGACATGTCACAGAACTTTGCTTTGCATATGGATATTATTAAGATTAGGCTTAGTACTCACCTGCTAACTGGAGTTCCAAGTCTCGACATAACTCTCTGCTGAGATTGAGAAATTCCTCTTCCCGCCACACCTTTCCATCGGGAGTACGAATCTTAGCTTCCGATGAATTGAAACCTAACATTGAACAAACAGCTATAGTTGGGAGAGTTTACAGAACTAATAGGTTTTAAGCATCTGTTATATTTGTTACCTAAAGATACTCAGATTCTGTACCTGCACTATATAAAACAGATGAGCTGAGCGATGTTTATGATTACCAGAAAAATAATATAATGTGAAATTACTAGAAACAAAAACAAACAGCTTCCTGAATTGCAAAGGGAGGCAAAAGCAGTGCAATGTCATAATACAAAGATATATATGACTGGCCAACGTCTGCAGACATGTGGAAAAGGAGACCTTATCTTGGGCATTGACTGGACATAGGTGGCCACTAATTTCAACATCTGCTGTAACAGAAAAGTGTCTTAGTAAAATATGCTGGTGCCATGAGTCAACAAAGACAAAGAACCCCAAAGAACTAAACTCAATTATTTTTGAAAAGAGAGTCTCACAATCTAAACCTTGTTGATTGATCCTTAATCAAATATAACCAAGTGAACAACAACAAAAAAGCAACATAGAAAATCCAAATGCATTCTTTGGATGCTCAGAAACGAATGAAAACTTCATTGGTTTAGAATGTTTCAGTCTTAGGTGGGCACGTTACCAATCCCAAGAACTGTAATAGAAATCACAGCTTTCACGAGTGAAACGAAGATGTTTCTCGGCAAACAGATTCAGTTCAGGAACAATATACCTTTATAAGAAGGACCAGGAGGTGCAGTTGCCACTTTTCTGACTTTAGGAGTCACTGCATTCTCAGGAGCTGCAACAAGAATGGGATGATCTGCATATTCCAGACGATGCCCTCTGCTACTTAGTTCTTCTGGATATTCCCACTGCTTCCTGATTCGTTCTTTCAGCTTTTCCAGTTTAGCATCATGCTGACGATTCCTCAAGATATCTAGTCTGTGGGCACTGGAAGTACTGGCAGAAGAAGCCGAAGATTCTACCAACTGTAACTCTTTTAGTTCAGTATCCTGTGTTGTGGTGCTCAGAGATGTTTTAATGTACTCATCTCCTCTGGATCCCTCAGTCTTTTCCTCCTCTGATCTTGTAGGAGTTACAGCTTCAAAGAAAACATCAGAACTTTGCAAGGCATCAATCGCCGGTCGGTCATTCAAGTATCGAACAACAGTTTCATCAGCAGAAGATGGGCTTTTGAAATCTCTGCTCTGCTCACCTTTTCCATAGGCCATGGAGCTCATTCCTTCAGTCTTCTTTATGCTCCCTGCATCTTTAAGTTTTAAACATCTAGATTCCGGTTGGCAAGAGGTTTTGTATGATGGGGACCATGCAGCATCTCTAACAGAAGCACATTAGAAATAAAGGTGGGGAGAAGTAAATAACTCTAAACAACATACATTAGACAAAAAAATAGATGTTATATTGAATTTCTCTTAGGTGGAGCAGTTTTCACTGAAAAATTATTAATAGTTCTCAAATTACTCCTTATTTTTATTTAATTTCTTATAATATGGCTTTTAACTTCAACATAAAGTTACTCTTCAGAGTAAAGCATATGTATAATACTTCCTTTAAGAGGAAACCATTCCTGAAAGGATTTACAAAGGGGTGGGAAATAAGTGATTAGGAAATGTTCCCCCAAGCACTGATATTTACATTCAGTGGTGACCTGGCACATCTAAGGCTCATCCAGGACTATTTTACCCACAAGATACCACTGCATATCCAACCCCTGCTCTCGTCTGCATGTTATGCAAACCCCACAAAGGTAGTTTATGAAACTCTCCCATATTCTAGGGTTATAGGAGGATGGTTCAACCCCGACATTGCCCTGATCACTGGGTTCACGCAACATGCCAAACTAGAAATGAAAAATGATAGCATGCACTGCATCCTCACCATGGATTCAACCATCCACAGAGGGCTGTCACGTCATGCAAGCTGACTGGTTGGGTAGCGCTGCCCAATAACAAAGGCAGAGCACTAATTTGCTTTCAAACTGACCTGAAAGAAACCAGAGGCTCGCAAAATTCAACGTGTCCACTCTTTCTTACGTTGCTATCCAAAGTGGTAACACGAAGAGGGCAGCGGGGAGACCTCTCCTTCTTTTGACTGGAAGACCTGGAGGCTGAAGCAAAAACGAAAGAATCATTGAGGCACCCCTGGGGGTTCACGAAGCCCTTAAGAAGAGAAATTCATCTGAACTGTTAAATTAAATCCCGTCCAGGTTTTTACCTGAACATAGGAGGCCTAAAAGTGAGTTTCACAGTGGGTGGCCCCACCTCCTACGTCTCCCGCTCTCGTGCCCCACCACCTCTAAGTTCAGACATTGAAAGAAAATTCTACTTGCATTCACTTGAATGCCAGAAGAACTCTCCACACAATCACAGACATCTTACCAGTGTTCCCAGTAACCACAGAGTTGTACTCGCATTCAAGCAAATGCAAGCAGAGGTCCTTTTCAGTTCTTGCCAATTCAGTACAGCAAGATAAGAACTGGGAGGGCAGGAAATACCCAGTGCACATAGCCCCATTGCTCTACCCACTTGAAATCTTCATATGTTCAAGTATTCAGGCAGTTTCAAGCTTCCAGGAAAGATAGCAATATGGAGCAAGTAACACACTGGTGTTTAATATCGATAAAACATTAGAAGCATAAAATAAATATATACAATCCAAACAAACAAGTTTATTTTGTATTATAATTCTGACTTAAAGATCCACACCCTACCATTTTGATATTCTGAACAAATTATGACCAGTAGAACTCTGTGAGAAGAGCAAAAGAGAAATATATTTTCCTTGTACAAACATTTCTCAAGAAATTGCTTTAGGCCAATATTATCCCTTTAATTTTATGGACCACAAATAACATTTCTAAATTAAGGTCAATTCTCCACTTTACTACACAATATAACAAACAATAAGGTCAGTCTTTTTTACTGGAACAGGATTAATTGTTACATGTCTAAATTGCAGCACAGCTTCCACTAAACCCATGGAAAAATTCGCACTATGTGGCTTACTACAGGGAGCTATTTAGAGCACAATCCAATGCATGTTAAGCAGAAAAAACTCCTACAACTCCCAACAATCCTCAGCTAGTGATGGCTGCAAATGATGCAAGCTGTGGGGCTTTCTCTGTCTAAGCATGCATAGAAATGTGCCCTAAGAAAATTGCTTTAAAGGTCATTATACATTTCCAAAACTGGTATAAATATATGGAAGACTCTACAAACAGAAGCAAAGATATGAGTCAAGCTAATGGAAACTAAGTTCATTGCTCAGTAGAAAAAAACTTAGTTCAACAATTTCAAATTATAATGTTGCTAATATAGAAGAGTGGAACAGTGACTTTTTCTGCTCAAATGCTGAGTACCCATCTAGGAAAAGTGTACGGGCTGTATTTTATTTGCAGACAGAGCCAAAGGCAAGGTGAGCAGGGCCAAAATGTGATTCTTACTGATGTCATGCCTACTCACAAATAAGCAGGACAAGCTTCTGTATGCCTACTCAGAAATAAGTAGGCCTAAATCACTGAGCAACTTCCTCCCCAGGCCATCCCTGTGTACCTTGAAAGCAGCTGCCTGCCGGCTGGGATGAAAGAAACAAAGAGGGTCCCCCAAAATGCAGACCACCTCAAGAAAGGATCTTGTGAAAGCAGTGTAGCAGTGGTAGCACCATGCCTTCATTGCCAGTTATGTGTTGCCAGGCAACATGCCCCTAATGTTGCTCATAGCAATTACTAAGGTTCTTTTTCTTCTTAAAAGGCCAGTGTTGGGGAGTGGGCTTTCAAGCAGGGAACTATTTACAGCTTGCACAGGAAAGCCGGGAAAGACTCAACAGTGCTCCCAGGCTATGAGCAAGGGAGTAAGGCCATCACTGGCGAGTCCCATCAGCCCCACCTTAGCCTATGAAAAGGGTCAGGAAGCCATCAATAAGGGCACCTGCCTTAAGCCACTTGGCTGGCTCTGAACAAAGCCAAATGGTGGCTGGCTATGTATGTCTGTGCGTGCAGCTCATCCATCTGCTTGCTCCATGCTCTCAATTCCCCCACAGCGGCTAAAAAAGGAGGGGACAGGTGTTTCTATTCACTTTGCAGGAGGTCTGTTATTTCTCTTTCGATGTTCAGAGAAGTAACATTTTCACTCCACAGTAAATATGGAGGAACCAAGCATGAGGGGAGGTCGAGTTTCCTCCATCTGCTTGGTTATCTGACAACAAATTCATACAAGTTCCCCAAATGACCTCTACGCTTAGCCCCTTGCAGTGCTTTTAGACATCGGTCAACACCTTTACAGGAATCTCAAGAAACAGTACTTTCTCACTGCCCAGTGTTTAGACCTCTTACCAGGTACTTTGACACATGACAGGAGGTTTGTTTGTTAGGCCAGATCTTCCAGTGTTCCCATTACCAAATGCGTGCACTGTGTGTGGCAGGCATCCCAGTGCAGGGTAGTGTCCAACATTAGCCCTATGCAGACCACATCCATGAAAATGAATGAGACCTAAGCCAGTCATGAAGAACTTTAGTCCCATTCATTTCAAGGACTCTACTTTATGTAGGGCGAACATGGGATACTATCCTCAGTGTTGAGCACCCATGAGTTCATTTGTGGAAAGGCACTTCTATTCTCAATACATACCTTTCCTACTTATTTTCCTGGTAGTACCAGCAGATGGCTTCTTGCTGTCCATGACAGAATCCAACACAGCGGTGCTGGTAGGAGCGACTTCCAGTTTGTTCTCAATGTGCTGCAACTAGACAGACAAGACAATGGCATATTTAAAATCAGCTGTTGGGTGCCTAGAGCTGTGTATGCAGCAATGCCATCAACTGTGCATGAAGAACACCATCTTCACTTTTTCTCATGGAAGACAAACATCTTCAATGGGCAAGTCTGTACAACACAACAACCCAATCTGCCAATAAGTTATGTAGTGTGATTGGTATGTAGAATAATCCACAGTACACCCAACGACTGATTTGGTTTATTGTGGGTTGTCTCCTCACAGGTATCCCAGGGGACCTGGCTGCTAAAGCCATCTCATCTCCAGTCTTTCCAGTCACTATTCTTTTTTCTTTTAGCAAACTCTTTGCAATATTTGACAATGGCAATGCCCATCACTGGTTTACCACCTTTTAAAATTATTTGCTAAGCATCAGAACTGTTTGCAAATATTTTAATACATCATCATCATCATCATTGGCAGCAATACAAACATGTGATGGTACGAACTTGCAAGTGGCCAAAATGAAAAAATTTGCCTGCTCGGTGTTGTTAAAATGCATGGATCAACTGCAGACACTGATCAAACAAGATTGCAAACAGCTTCTTCTGCTACTTTGTTTCTTGGTGGATAGTTGTCAAACATGGAGCTATCAAGTGAAAAGCAAAGCCCCCAAAAGATCTCTGCAGAATTGGGGTGGCTAGCATATCATTTCCTTCATAGCAAGATCCTTTAGTGTAAACCTGGTAGTTCTCAGGGTCCTCCACCTTTTCCTGAGAATCTGAGTGCTTGGGAAAGGAGAAAAGTGCATCACGCACCATTTACAAGAAAAGGAGTATTGCCAGCTGTCAGAAGACAGTTTTCTTTTAAAACAGGGTTTTTACAGGGCTAAAGGAGGCTTTCTGACAGAGAAATATGCAGCCATGAAAGCTGAGACTGAACCAATGATGAATGCTCGAATATTGATGGAGCCACTGTCACCGACAGTGGCCCAGGTAAGCTTGTCAAGAGGAGAAAGTGGTTTTCCCCCTCTTGCCAAGCGGTTTGCTTGTTGCTTCCCACAACCCATGTTGGAGTCAGTTGCCTCAGTTTAGATGACATGACAACCCACTGGTTGAGGAAAACATGGGTTGTCTGAGTGGCTTATTGTCTAATATAAGGCACCCTGTGATAGTACTCCAGGTTCACACAACACAGTATCACACTTTTTAATATGTTCAGAATTATGAAAAAGAGTTAGGTCCAAAATGGCTCTATTGGCTTTCGCCCATTTCAGTACTAAAAGAATACTTACCGCTGCCTTAGTCTGTGAAAAAGCATCCCATGCTGTGGTTAAGTCTGTACAAAGAATTCAAAGCAAATTCCTATCAGTTCAACCTTCACCTCCATGTCAAATATTTTGCAAGGCTTAATAATTTTAAATTGTTATCTCCTAGTTATTGCATTTTTCTCTGCATGCATAATTATTTGACACTCACTATACAGAAACAAGTGCATCCATTTGGCAGGAACTAGGAAGCATACAGAAATGCATTCTTTAATTTTTTATTTGAAAAGGGCTGATTATATTCTCTTCTAACTAACTGCAATGATGCTTACTGCACAGGAGAACTTATTAGACAGAATAAGGAGTTTCTTAATCTTAACAATTCAGTAACATTATACAAAGATGCAAATGAAGAGTGCTTTAACACTGTTTAATTCAATCTTTACTGAAATTTTGAAAGTGGCAACCTGAATGTGAATCAACAAACGCTGGGAGCAAAAGAAGAACATCAACATTCTGTGGTCTGAATCATGTACCATTTTTATTCCAAGATGGATTTGGAAGTCACCACTGCACATACGGCAAAGTGCACAGTGTAAGCACATGCTGCCAATTTTTAAACAAACACTTGAGAAAACTACTGGCACAAAGTTAGGCAATAACAAATAAACCCAAACCTCGGATGGAATCCCTGTTCTGGGAGGACCTTGGATTTTGCAAAGGCATCTCATTTGGTTTGTTGCTCCACATCCTGTCACTTCACCTACAGCACAAACAGAAACATTCACTGAAAGGGTGGGAGTTAAAGAAAATAAAAGCACATAAACAAACTCAGGGAGTAAAAAGTGTATTTTTACCTTTATGAGTGCAGAAAGCTAGATCTCAATCTATAAGTTATGTTCTATCAAGCCAAGTTCAAGACAGTAATGAAAGAATATAAGTAATGTCATGCTACCAAGATCTATTTGGTCAAAAGGTCTAGCTGCCTTTATAAATAAACATTCCATTTTGGTAAGATGGCTCAGCCATGGCTACCTCTATTCTCCATAAATGCAAACTTTTTATAAGCAACAGTGCCTGAAGGATCAGATCCCACAGCCTCCAATTCACATGGAAATCTTCTTTCAAAACTATGCTATTACTCCAAAGCACCCTAAAAATAAATCTGCAACTAGATTTCAAGTTTACCCATCTGATTTTCTGATATGCTTTCTTTACTGATCGGTGATTTGAATGATGTAAGTGGATAGAATGTTCCAATTTTGTCTCAGGATCCAAAATACTGAGGGATGATTTGGTAGGAAGGGAATAAGTGTTTTGTTACCAATTTTGATTGTATTAAATTATGTTGATTCTTAATACCTGATTCTGAAATCATACAGCCAATAAGCTATATGTGAGCTGTATAACCAGTGTCAATGTCGCAGAGAACATACGGATAGCTTCCTTCCCCAGTGGCAAGATATACTGAGCACGTAAACCAGGCAAGGTGAGTACTAGTGTATAAAATTATAAACGCAGAGAAAGCAGATAGGGAGATTTTTTTCTCCCTCTCATATAATACTAGAACCTGCATTAATTGCTTACATAATATTTTCAGATTAATATATATTTACCCTATTCATACAACAGATATCGATAAAGGACAAGCTTTGTAGTCTGGGGGTGCTCCTTAAGCCATCTTTGTCACTTGAGGCCCAGATGGCTTCAGTGGTTCAAAGTGCCTTCTATCAGCTTTGATTGGTGGCTCAACTATGCCCTTATCTGAACAGAGACCCATTTGACCTAGTATTGCCAACACAGTCAGGGAGCAACTTTCCAGGATTTCAGGCAGGACTGCTTGCTAGCTATACCTTTGGATGCTGGGGACTGAACCTGGGACTTACTGCATGCTGACTGGGTGCTCTACCCATGGAGCAGTCCTCAGTGTTCCAGAAAGTGAATAGTTCCTTAACTGAAAATCAAGTACCCTAAAGTATTTATGCTAATCAGTCCAAACTATCTTTCCCTTCTGTCTGGACCATATTAAATGTAAAACTGGTCAAATACAAGAGTGTTCTTATTTAAGATTAAACAATTTGTTTATGGTTAAGCCTAGGTGAACTTCACATTCACATGTTCCTCCCTCTTCCTGTAAGCATTTCATCTAAACTTATACAAACTGCAGTTCCCTTAACTAGGCTTTAAGGAAATAAACCAATTACAAACTATTGTTTATGCAGTAGTTTTCACACATGTGCACACAGACACCACAGTTCAGGGTTCAGACAAAGCACTGAACTGTAGCTATTTGAAAACAGAAATGAACCTCCTTATATATGTGCTGGAGAAGAGAGAATGGGGAATGAACAACCTGTGGATCACCTACACATTCCCACAATGATAAACCATAGTTATTACGTTTAAACAAAACCACTGCTTTACCTATGTTACATCTTTGGTCCTATGCAAGTAACAGTTAACCATGGCTTCATTATTTTTTTATGTTGTTGCTGTTGTGAAGTTGTGTCCGACCCATCGCGACCCCACAGACAACATTCCTCCAGGCCTTCCTGTCCTCCACCATTCCCCAGAGTCCACCCAAGACTGCTTCGGTGACTCCACCCTGCCACCTCAACCTCTGCTGTCCCCTTCTTCTTTTGCCATCTATTGTTCCCAGCATTAGCCTCTTCTCCAGGGAGTCCTTCCTTCTCATTAGGTAGCCAAAGTATTTGAGTTTCATCTTCACTATCTGGTCTTCTAAAGAGCAGTCAGGGTTGATCTCCTCTAGGACTGACCGGTTTGATCGCGAGATCCAAGGGACTTGCAGGAGTCTCCTCTAGCACCACAATTCAAAGGCCTCAATCCTTTGGCGCTCAGCCTTCCTTATGGTTCAGCTTTCACAGCCACACATTGCAACTGGGAAAACCATAGCCTTGACTAAATGCACTTTTGTTGGCAGGGTGCTGTCACCGCTTTTTAGTATACCGTCTAGATTTGCCATAGCTTTCCTCCCCAGGAGCAAGCGTCTTTTAATTTCTTGGCTGCAGTCCCCATCTGCGGTGATCTTGGAGCCCAGCAAAATAAAATCTGTCACTACCTCCATTTTTTTCCCATCTATCTGCCTGGAAGTGATAGGACCACTCTGAACATATTTCTCCAGGGACTGAATTTAGTTAAACCATTGTTGGCACTAACAGTATGGATTTTTCAATGAGATTAGCCAAGAAATGGTCACTATATGAAAGGTATTTGGTTCAGGAAACAAGATGAGAGCACAGATTCAAGACATGACAGTACAATTTCAAAATTATCTTATGTAAATCAGTTTCACCTTAGCAAAGTTTAACTTAGCCATGTAGAGTGTTAAACAGAGTATTGGACTTGGACTAGTGAAATCCACGTTCAAACCCTTATTCAGTCACTGAAACCCACTGGATGACCTTGGGTCAGTCATTTTTTTCTAGACTTTCACCAGTCAGTTCTCTCTGGCTTATCTGCCACATAGAGTTGTTATGAGAATTAATGTAATCCATATGTGTAATCCTGGATTCCTTGCAGTATAAAAAAAATACTTGTAGTCAGCATCATTAAAAGGCAGTAGAAATGTGGGAGAGGGGATTTCCATGAAATCAATGCATATGTGGGTGTTTTGTTTCTTTAATAGATGTACATACAGCTAAACACATTTGATGTTGAAGTTTAAACTAAGTCTGAACTAAGCACACAAATCTTAACTAGATATCACGCTGTGGAAACACTAGAGATAAATTATACAGCCAAGAAAGAGAACTCAGTACAGGACTGACAGTTTTGGAAGAACCTTCACGGAGCTCCTATCTAGCTCTGCCCACACAAACTCTAAAACTTGGGTATTATGTACACAAAGTCCATAAGTTTTCAATTTATTATTCACAGTCTTGAGAGCAACACTTACATATAATGCTGAGATTCTCTAAGTACCAGTTTCTCTACTGCACAGCTATTAAATTCAAGACAACTTTATGAATTGACAGTGCAGAATGAAGCACACATTCTCTAACAGGAGAATTAGCATATTACCAGTTTCTTAGTTTCCTTAAACAATGGAAAAACCAAATTCCCTTAGATAAAGACCTATGAAGAGGTATGAGTTGCAGTAGTGGAGAGCACCATATCACGTGCACCTGATTTCAAAATTCACAAGGATTTCATTGGACAGAGAATAAAAGTAATATAGCATTCAAATAGTGTGTACAGAGGAAAAGTTGGTGAGGTTTTATACAAACAAGTTAAGTCCCTAAAAATGCAGACTATGTGAGTAAAATTCAACACCTAACTAAAGTACTGACCAGCACAGGCCCAAAAAAGATAACTTGACCACCAGCAGACTAATTTTCAAGAAAGTGTATAAATTCATGAAGCAGGTACTTGGACCCACAGGTCATACAAAGGCCCTTAAAAAACGCTGCCGGTATTTCCTTGAACTGATTCGTACAACACATGACCTCTTCCCAAATGCACTGCTGAACAGCTTAAACTTTTAGGATATTCACCCCATCCTTAGCCAATAGCACCTCAACCAACTCTTTTGAACCCAGTTTTCAGCACCAAGATAAACTTATTTCACATGTGCCATGGCCACCTTTGCCTAGACCTAGTTGTTCCATTGTCTCGTGGCCATGTAGCAACATACAAAAGGGCTAGAGCCTTTGGTCTATGCTAAGCTTGCAACTAATTTCACTGAATGACCCCAGAGAGCAGGCAAGTTTTGCCAGTTCTATGATACTCAGGACAGTCTATGCAATATGCCCCACAGTATTCTGCCAACAATCCTGCAAGGTAGTTTAGAATGAGACAGGTAGTTAAACAAGGTTTGGACTAGAGTCTTCCTAAGGGAAATCTAACATACTATCTACTATACCTAAGATTTCTTCACTTCTTCCCTCCTTGCAGCTTCCTACGCAGTGTGTGCTTGCTCTGTTTTGTCTTCATAAAGTGTCACAAGCAGATGACCATTCTCTCAAGGGTAGATTCCACTGGGGCCTTTACCTCCAAGTAAACAGATGTAGGATTGGATAGTTATCTAATCTCCTTTGACAACAATGTTGTAAGGTAGGTAAATAAGATCCCACTTTTAAAGAACTAGCATGAGTGGTGTGACAAAAAGTAAAAAATTCTTGAAATATATTGGATGAAGAAAACCAGTGAAGGTAGCACTAGATAATGAAAGTGTACAAGAGCCGCTAAAGAATAAGAAGATTGCAGATAATCTAAGTTTATGTTGGGTCTTCATAGCAGAAAATGCTCAGCATATAGTCCATACCTGAATTACTTTTTCTGGGAGGACATTCCCAAAACTAAGTGAAATGGAGATAACATGAAAAGTTTTGTTTGTTTGTTTCATCTATGTTATCCTTCTAGAAACATGTCAAGGATAATTTACAATGGAAACAGAAAACCAAAAATACAACACCATCATAAGGACAAGAGTATACTATTTGGACTTCCAAAAGGCTTTTGATCAAGTCCTGTAATACTAGAATTCACAGTCATCCAATGAAATTGATTCACAGTAGAGTGAAGACAAACCAGAAGTACTTCTGATACACACAACAGGTAATTTATGGAATTAAATGCTCTGAGTTATAATGGCTTTAAAAGGGGAGTAAACAAAGGCATGAATGCTAAGTCCACCAACAGTTATTTGACATGGTAGCTAAAAAGAACCTCCATGTTCAGAGGCAGTATGCCACTGAATGCCATTTGCTAAGCAGTCACAGCAGGACAGTTATTGCCTTTAAAAAGAGCCAACCCTCCTATGAACTAAGATCAGACTTCAGTCTCCACAGCCATCTAGCCCACAGTAAAGGATCTTCAAAGGGTCAGTATCACAGCATTAAAAAAGTGAGGGGAAGAGCTGTTCTCCTGCCTTTGGTGGCACATCTTCTACCAGCTCTGACTTCACATCTTGCCTGTGGACATCTTGGGTTATCTTGTCAGTTATAGTGGGAAGCAGGATACCGTACCTGAAGCATTTTTGAAATGTTCCAGCACACCCTTCTTATGGGAGAAACCAATGGAACTCCATCTTAGCCCTACTTGGACAGTCAACTTGTTGCGCACATGAAAAGCTGGACCAAGTGTGGGGCTGCACTACACATTCCACTCCTGAGACTGACCACACTGCATGCCCCCTCCCACAGACCTCCATGTGTGGAGCATGAATATCTGCAGAGGAGAGGACTTCATGTGTTCAGCTGTGCACTCAGACGCAACCCTGTGCTATTCACAGTCTACATGTAGCTGCCAACGGGAGGGATGACCAGTATAGTGTAGCAGTCCTGAGTGCTGGACTGGGACTCATGAGATTTACATTCTAGTCCCCACTTGGCCATGAAGCCCATTGGGTGACTTTGGGAGGGTCACTGTCTCTCCGCCTAGCCTACCTCACAGGGTTGTCACTGTGAGGATAAAGCAGAGAAAGGGATAATCTTGTAAGTCTTGTAACTATAAGTGCAATGCAATAATTAACAATACTATATCAATGTTGGGGCAGAGCTACCTGGCGTGACCTACTCCCAGCTCATATCTAGATATATACTGCAAGTATACACGGCTCAATGACATCTGATTCACAAGCAAGATTCCTCAAAAGCAAAACCATTTTTTATAATGTAGGTCCCCTTAGCCCACCAGTTCCTTGGAGAGAAACACCGTTCTTCTTTTTGGTCCTGTGCGCCTGTTCTTCCCCGCAAACACATCTGCGTCCACCTCTGCGTCGCGTGTGCGCCCAAACCCGCAACTCCAAACCACCTTCTGGATGTCAAGCGCTTCCTAAGCCGATTCCAGGGGAAAATGCAGACTTGCGAGCCCGCCCGCCTTCCTGCTTCCCCGTGCAACGCTTCGGCATGATTTGTCCTACAAGTTCAACGCATCGGGCAGCCTTGCAGAGGCTAGAGCCCCTCCGCGCTCCGGCCCAGGAGGGCCCGCAGCTTCTCCAGCGGGGCAGAGCCGCCTCCTTCAACCAGGAAGAGGCGACTGACAGCCAGGTCGAGCAGCGGGGCAAGAGGCGCGGGGAGGGCGGCGGGGACGCCGAGCCGGGCTACCGGGGCTGAGGGAGGCGCGAGCAGGCCCGCGCCCCGAGCCCCCGGCGGGCGCCCCCTTCCGCCGCGCCCCCGCTGGAAGCCCGGCCTTGGGGGTGCCTGGCCGGCCGGCCGGCCGCGCCGCCTCACCTGTTCTACCGCCGCCTTCGTTCTTTCCTCCTCCTTCCCGGCGGCGGCTGAGCTGGCCGGCTCATCTCGCAAGGCGTCCGGACGGGGCGCGCAGAGGAGACGGCGCGGCGGTGGCAGTGGCGGCGGCGGCGGCGGCCCAAGAAGTCGCTTCAGCGGCGACGCCGCCGCCAGCCCGGCGCCATTACCGGCCAACAACTGACACACAAGCACCGGGGGGGAGGGGGAGGGGGAGGGGAGGGGGCGGTGGCGGCGCGCGGTAGGGCGGGAGCCGCCGCGGGAATCTCGCGATACTTCCGCCGCCAGAGGAAACCGTGGACCTTCCAGACATGGCGGCGCGCGGCTCATCGGGCCTCGCGCGCGGGGCTCTCGGTCGCGGAGGGCTTGGGCCGTACGCCTTGCCCACCGCACCGACTATTATTATCATCAGTAGTACTTAGTAGTAGTATTATCGTATCGGCAGTAATATAGGTAGGATAATAGAGCGACTCGCACAGCTCTTTTATCCTCACAACAACGTCCCTATGAAGTAGGCTAGGCTGACAGTGAGTGACTGGCCCAAAGTCACCCGGTGGACCTCGTTTAGTATATTTATATCTCGTCCTTTTTCTTTCAAAGAATTCAAAGCAGCTTACATACTTCTCCAGCTGCTCTCAGTCATCTCCCCACAACAACCCTGTGAGGTAGGTCGGGCTGAGAGGTTGTGACTGGCCCAGTCACCCAGTTGGCTCTTGGCTGCCCAAGTCCCAGCCCAGTATGGTGCCGTGCTGGCTGTCCGTCCAGCATTCTGTTCATGCAGTAGTCAACCAGTTGCCTCTGAGAATTGGGACAAGAACACAACAGCACCCTCCCACCTATGTTCCTCAGCAATGGATATTGAAGACATACTGCCACTGATTCTGGAGGTAACATTTATTATTGCATTTATATTCTGCCTTTTTTCCTCTTGTGAGGAATCCAAGGTGGTCATGCAGTTCCATTTTATCCTCACAACAACCTATTAATATTAATAGCTTATATGTAGCAACTGTATTAAAACACAAGAGAACTAAATACTGCAAAGACAACAGCCTGCCAGATGTATATTAGTTCCACTTTGGAAGTATATGGGTAAAGGATTACATGAAAGAAAGCTTCAGAATAGGGCATCTAATAAATTGTTCAAGAGTCACACCTTCAACCCTATTTATTTTTTTTAATTGTGGCAATCTTCATTACCAAAGTACATGGCAGTGTTCACAATTCATTAGAACAATTACAATAAAATACAAATATAAACCAAAAACCAAATATAAACCTACTAAGCTAGGTATTAAAATCAACAAATATCTGAATTGTTTTTAACAGTTGGTGCAACACCATCAAGGATGGTGCCTGTTGTGCTGCAGTTCACAGAGAATTCCAGGAGCACCACACAACAGAAAGGGTCCTGTAATGAACCCCTACTTTTCATATAGACTCACAGTACCTCCTAGAGTATCTGTCATTTGGCTCTCTCGTGGGCAACCTGTTACTTGTAAGCCACCTTGGAAGGTCTTTGGCAGTTATAGGTGGCATATAAATGTATGAACAAACGAACAAAAACTTTTGTCTAGCCTTATCTCATTTTTGCCGTTTCTATGAATCAATTTATATATGCCTCCATATGTTTATAAGAACCAGTGTGGTATAGTGGTTAAGAGCATGGGATTGGGACTCAGACGATCTGGGTTCGAGTCCCCGCTCAGCCATGGAGCCAACTGGGTGACTTTGGGCCAGTCACAGACTCTCAGCCCAACCTACCTCACAGGGTTGCTGTTGTGGGGATAAGATGGAGGAGAAGAATGATGTAAGCTGCCTTGAGCCCTTTGTAAGAAAAAGGCAGGATATAAATCAAAAAACAAACAAACTAACTAACTATATGAAGAGATAAGATCTGTAGACTTATTTTATTAAAACATACAGTTTTTGTTTTTTTAAAAAAATCTGTAAATGCATAAAGTGGATATGCTACTGGTGGTTGTTTTTTTCTTGAGAAGACTGACTGGTTCCAGCCACCTTACATTTTGAGATGTACATTACAGATGTGAAGAAACTGGGTCCAGCCACTAGGTAATTTTCTGATTGGCTGGCTAGACCACTGACATCAGAAATAGATTAATGTGTTATTGGTCAGACCAGCCACCAGTCCGCATTAAGGAACTGGCTTTTACAGAACTGAGACCTTCATAAAAATAAAAATTCAGTCTCTCTAGAGTTGCAGGGAAGATAGATTCCCTCTCTTTTGTGTGTGTCTGGAGATTCATCTTGACTGGTGGTAGCCTATGAAAATCTTTTTCTTAGGAACTCACATAAAGAAGGGGTTTACCAGAAGCAAGTCATTCACCCCTCTAGTCTTGCAACCAGCTCTTCCCGTTTGTCTTAAGTTTCTTGTAAAGCCAACATAAAAGACAATCTAGTTACACTCAACCAACATCTTAAACCCAAAGCAAAATTTTGTCTCATTAACAGATGAAAAGTAGGAATCACAGCAATGGATGGTTGCTAGCTAGCTTCTATATGCACACATACTGGTTGGCATCCTATCAACAATAAATTTGTTTACACTAACTGACCTATACCTTGGCTATCACAACTGTGCCTCAACACTGAGCACTTCTCCTACCTCTTGCTTTCCCTGATTTTTCCCCTTCTTTCTGATTTGGGCTAGCCACAGTTGTGATAACCAAAGTAGGAAACTGGCTTGCACAAACCATAGCTTGCTTCCAAACTAGAATTGTAAATCCAATTGGAAGCCCAGTTCATGATTATCCCAGTTCAAACACAACAGCAATATTTGGTTTGCCCTACCAGAAAATGAGCAGGAGGGAATCTGACCACATATGACCAAGAGACTCTCCTAAGAGCCATAGCGGAACCAAGCAGCTATCCAGTTGTTAGCTAGTAGAAATGCAATCTTGCATTGAGCTACATAGTTCCCTTAGCACATGAGATTTGTGTAGTATACTAGTTGGATTTTAAGAAGTTTAGTTGGCAACTGTCTTCCTTATTAAAACAAAAACTGAGCCAGAGAGCAAAAAGAAACACTCATAAGCAACACAAAATCTCTAGTGAACAATGTTGATTATTCTACTTCTAATTCCTGCAAGATGCCACTTTATCACTGAATGTTCCAGTCAAATTAATAGAGCATCACTTACATTCTTGAACATCCCAGTTCTCTTTAATATATAATACAGAACGTTTCCATTAAAAGCCAGTATCTAGCATGCTTTGAGTTAAAGTTGTCCCAGTGCTAACAATCAGGAGGCATTCTGCAATTACTTCACCTTAACACATTTTTAAAGGTAGAAGTGGTAAGAAAATATGGAGGATTATGAGTGGAAGATGGACTGTAGGCTCTTCCCCATAAAATTCTGTGAATGAGAAGGGTGATGGCACAATGAAAGCCTTGTCTGGAAACACCCCAGATTTAATTTTCTGAACATAGGTCCTTCTCCTTAAAGTCACCATCATTTTCTAACCACAGTGACTTACCTTGCTTTTGTCCCTTCCCTTATAGTATCCATAAGAATCTACTCAAGGATATATTTTACTCTATCTCTAAAAATAGTGGGTGAAATCAAATAAAAAAGCAAGATTCTCCCAATTCCTACTGATGTCAAAATGCTGAATGAAGCAAATTAGAAAATGCATGCCTGCAGCAGGGGAAATCAGAAAGTCAAATTTCGGTTTTAATTATCTTTTTTTACAATTAGCTATAAATCAATTAAGTACTAGTTTAGAAACCCAGAAGAACATTTACCTGCTTAAAACAAGGACAGATGGTAAGGGAAAGAACAGCCAAGAAGTAACCTCACATTTCAAGCTGTTTCAATGAACTTTCACCAAACTGCTACAAAGCAAGTGAGTTGTAGCTGGACAACCCTAAATACTAGAGAGTACTATCAGGGTGGGTGAGAAAGGCTGTATGTAATGAAGCTTGCTATCACTTTACACTGGTTGGATTATTATGGCTGGGGGTGGGGGGGCATGGAAAGTTTTCCACTCTGCTGTACTCTTGCACACTCTTCCTAAAAATAGAGGTAGGCAGCTGGATGCTATAGCTGAAACCAAAGAAGATCCATGAACGGCATTAGGAAGCCTGCTGGTATTTTGGGAAGGCCTGTCCCCACCTGTTGAGGCCAGAATGAGGATTATCCACATACTGCCAGAAACCCATATATTACAGACAAGATTCAAATCGGATGAAAGAAAAACTGGTGCCCAAAATAAAGTATTTTCTTAGGATGAAATGCAAAATTAATTATTCCTCATTTTAAACACTTAAACGCAGATACATATATTCACACTGTATCACTATTGTATAGTTTATTATGTATGTATTATAGCTTATTTGCAGTGGGTGGTTTGTGTCATCCAAACACAACATGTGTCCCCCCCCCACAAGCAAATTCCAGTGCATACCTTGCAATAGTTTCTGCTAGCCTTTTTTTGTTGAACAAGGAAACACTGAGATGCAACCGTTCTCTTATGTTCCAGCCTCATTTCTCTAGAAACTGAAACTTTCTAGGTACACAGAACACCAGAAATGTATGCCAGTGACCAGCAATTGACACATGTACCTCCTGCACTTCCATACCACCCATGGAAAAACTACTTAAGTAGTTGACTGCCATCTATATAACAGCTATATCATACCTATTAGACAGCTATATGCATATTCAAATATATATGCATACATATTAGGCAGCCATGTTAGTCTTTTTACAATAGAGATTAGGTAAGCTTTAGCCAAAATAATTACACGTCATGTGATTGTACAAATTTTTTTGTGGGATCTGACAGGCAGGACCTCTTCCCCAAAAGTTATCCTTCCCAAACTGCAGCCCTGAGACACGCTACCTTGTTCAAATTCAGACTAGGAAACTACAGCAGCCTCAATGGAAGTATCTCCCAGAGGAGTTTTGGGCTGTTTTCTCTGTGTGTATTTGGTTGTATAATTTTCTCATGTCAGTGTTCAGTTTATATTTGTTCTATGCTTCTTTGTCCTATCCATGGTCAATCTTCTCTCTTTCAGACATCCTTAACTAGGAAGTCAAGCACGATCCCATCGTAAGCATTGCCTAGCCTCCTTTCAGCTTGTTTAATGCCATTCTTTGAACTCTTGACGCCTGAAACTAAACATGGTGGTGAAAAGCAAACAAAAATACATACATGCTGAGCACTGATATTACTTCTTCCCTAGATTTGGAATCAGAACTTTTATTAAAATGGTATTGGAACTCCATAGCACAGCCAACAGCTTTCTAGTACAGCCATTTTTATTCATATACTGCTCCTGTTTCTCTTAAATTTATCTTTATATCAGCACGACAAAAATAGCACTAAATCATTAGTAAATTGCAAATGTGTAGGAAGCAAGTGTTTTAAAAACATCAGCTACTTAGGAATTAGATCATCCAAAATACAATGTTCATGGTAAGGAAACCTGCCATGGTATACAAAGTAATACTTCTTTTGCTACCATGTTTCAAATCAGCATGTATTGCCTATTTGCAGTAAGCACAACTAGCTAAAACCCAGCTGTTGTAGAAACCAAAAGTCCTCACAAAAACATTCTGCCAAGCGACTCCTCCTCACATTAAAAGTAGGTAGATTAGCATATATGGCAAGTCGTTTGCACTACTCCCATCTAGAACACCACTGTGGTTAATATGTAGGGAATTACGGTTGTCACATTACACATCCCCTAATTGCAAATCAACTAATTTGTTATGATACTCAATTATTTAATTGAAGCTTGCTTAATTCATCGAGGGAGTAGTGGCCTTGAAGTGCCTGTACCCATTACTTAACGGACGAAAGGCTCAGGATGTATTACCAAGACAGACAGAGCAGACACCGTAGCAATTGTTCTGTCTACTCATGCAACTGAAAATAGACTGACTGCCACAGAGAAAGCATAAAGAACCTCAAAGCAGAAGTAGCATAAACAGCTCTAAGTCCATTTGATTACTTCACAAGGAGGCCCTGTATTTTAACATATTATGTATAACTTCATGTACAAAAACTATAAAGTGTAGCCTTGGTTCCCAAGCTGTTAATGAAATTCAAGGATTGATTCCTATTTCATCCTCCCAGCTGTAGCCATGTGTAGACCAAAAAAAGCCTTCCTGAAGGTGAGATGGAGCACAGATGATCACTGAAGACGAGGTAAAATTGGGTGGAATTTGGGCCATTTGGAGGCAAATCTCCCTTCCAAAGCAGTCCTATTCCACAGTTTGGAGGAGGGTGCTCTGGGATGGCTCTTTGGCAGGCATAGATGGCTGCAAGTCAGGGGAAAAGCAACAGGAAACTTCTGTGAATGTCCTTAATTATCACAAGATCCAAGCCAAATTATTTAACATTTCAATTTTCCAGCACTCAGAAAACCCCAGACTAAGGTCCTCTCAGGACAAATGTTAATTTAGTAACATCTTAAGAATATACTTGAAAGTGTAGTGTCAATGCAACAAATGAGGATTATCCAAAATTGTGTGGATGTATATGAAAACTATTTAACACACATCTTACAGCATTTGATAGCCTGAGAAATTTGTTCGCGTTCAAGACTTTATGGCAGGCGTCCTCAAACCTTTTCAACAGGGGGCCAGTTGAAAGGTGCCAGCGATGGGCGCAGGCCACCGAGGTGGTGCGGGGGGGGGGGGGGTGCATGGAGATCGTTTTCATCAAGTGAGTCCAAAACGATCTCCTTGCTCACAAGCTGCCACCTCACCATGTGCACACCCATGCACGCTCGGTGAGTCCAAAACCTCTATGGCGGGCTGGATAAATGGGGATGGTGGGCCGAATCCAGCCCACGGGCCACAGTTTGAGGACCCATGCTTTATGGACTAGAGTCCATCAGATACACAGAGTAATAATGAATTAAAAAAAAACCTCCATGCATCTGATTAAGTTGGCTAAAGCCCACAAAAGCTTATACCAACATAGACGGGTCAGTTATTAAGAAGTCACAAGTCGTCGTCGTCTTTATAAACTTGTCAAATAGTAGCATCTTTCTGCTAAGCATACACTTGGATGCAAACTAGATTTCTTGCTATGTAATCTATGGAAGAACCCTCAGACATCTGAGCTGGAAGTCTTTGGCCCCTTTGAAAAGGAAAATAGCAATGTTTTAAATGTCCATCAGCAAACTTCCTATAGCAAATACTCTCCTTCATCGGATAGGAGACAAAAAAATCTGGTCACTACAATGCCTGCCCTGCTAACCTTCTTTCTAAAAGACTGTACTGGTCCTGCGCCGTGCTACTTTTGAGGGTTGTTCAGAAGCCACAACTGTCCAGAATGTAGCAGCAACAGGACATCTGTTTTACATGAGTTTTATCAATCACCAGTTTCTGGACAAGGTACATTAAGGGCATTACTAGTACCTGAACTTAATGCCCCTTAATCTGGATCTGAGACACTTGGGAAAGTATATTCAACTACCCACATCTTCCTGCTCTTTACAATCTAATGCAGATAATCCTTGATACGTCAATCTTCTGGCAGGCTGGGAGATCCCACAAAACTAAGTCCCTTAAACTGGAGGGCTTAAAGTCTGAAACAAAGGGCTTTCAAAACTTGGACTTTAAATTAATTTATACAAGATTTTTTATGGTTAATGTATCACTCTGTTTTCATTACATGCTGTATTTTTCCTTGCATCACAACGTTCAGACTATTTTACTGATGAAGTAGTTTAATTCTGGTTTTAATTTTTATTCCCTTGATACAATATTGTCAAGTTTGCTATGAATTAGCAGTAAAAGAAAGCTACTGATTTTGGCTTGTTCAAACTAACTTTTTTAAACTGTTGATGTATTATAAAAAAATTATAAATTTTTGGGTGTCACATATTAGTTAAATGAGGCATAACATGGAAAGTACAACATTATAACTATAAAACTAAAGCAATGTTTAATGACTATTAAAATAACTTCAGTATATTTCCAGGTTGTCTGCTCTTTGGACATTTCAATACCACATATATTAAAAGCATTTGCCCTATAAGACCATGGTAGAGATTAAGAATGTATATAAAAACTAACACTTTCGCACATCTTGAGTATCTAAATATCACTGTTCAGGAATTCTTTCAAGCAGTAAAGGCCAATTTTAATATAAACCGGTAACACATTTGACTTTCAGTATGGAATGTGTAGCTAAACAGCAAGCAAAACCTCCCTTGAGTACTTCAGGACATGACGAGCAGTTTTCCTGAGCCTTCCATGGTTAAGATTCACACTGCAGATCCACCTGAAGAGAGACAATGCCATTCTGGAGTCTTCAAAAAGCAAAAGCAGAAGCAACTATTCTGAAAACATTTCTAAACACAATAAAATCCATGTGGCTCAGTGATTTAAGAGCCAAATAGTATCAAAGTCCTGAGGTGTGTATACAATAATTCACATTTAAGTATTTGTTTTCACAAAATATTAAGATTTTAGCTGCTATATAAAATCCATAGGGTTGTCTGGAATGAGACATTCAAAATCTGTTCACTGCACAGCTTGGAAATTATCATATTAAGATTTACGCAGAAAGCTGCGTGGAAAAGAATCCTAAGCAAATACTATGTGGGAACTTATCTTAGACTGCAATAAATGAGTTATTCCCATGCAAAGATACCTTTAATCTGTGCTTATCCAAAATAACCTTTCCAATTTAATCTCCATAAATCATTCAGAGAGGTCAATTACTCTGAAGGAAAAAAATGACCAAGTTAAAGCACAGCAATCCAAAATTCCTCTTTTGGAATAGTCTTGAAACTTTATAAGAGTCCAGGGCTTGTCTCTTTCAGTGTCTTCCTTCACTCCTGGTTGGGCAGAGCAGAAATGCAAAATGTGTACTCAGAAGAAGGCCACATATGTCCTCCACCTGAAACTCCCATCCCTAAGGGAAGACCAAATTGGTCTGTTTGACAGTGGGCCAGCACAGACTGAAGAGCCTTACTGTTTTGGATTTTAAGGGATAAGGACTGTGCAACAGTCCCAAATTAGACTATTTTGTATAAGTGTGCCTTATGTATCTCATGCAGATTTTTAAAAGAAGGAAAGGGCTGCACAGGTAAAGAAAGGGTCTGCTACTATATGAGTTTTTGACTGCACTGTTGCTTCAGAGCATTGGACTGACCAAACAGAAACAGATGTGACAGTCTGCCACAATTAAAGCAGAAACTTTTTTGAGAGTCTGCAGTTATAAAATTCTTAGTCCATTCACAGATCTTGGTAAATGGAGCAAGACGTAGTAAGTTCTTAGATGTCTCGGACACACCTTCTATTTTGCAGTTTATTCTAGTAAACTTCAAATACAAAAGGGTGACAGAACCAACTGCTTGATTTCCATTATACTTCATTACCAAATAGCTCTCAATCATAGGGACAAAGAAATTTTATAAGCCAACTTCATAAAGAACTGGATGGCCCTCATAATTAAGAAAACATTTCCAGTTACAGGTCTTTGGGCTCTAAAAATTGCAGGAGTCCCAACTCACCAGAGCCATGTTCATGCTCTACACATTCTTTACACAAATTCCCAGGTTCTTGGACAAGAAGTTCTATTTTGACAGATCTGCTTAGTGAGCTGGAAATCCTTGCCTTATTCAACCACTAACAGAGGTATGTGCTCCGCTGTATTCCTTTTTAAAAAGTTATTTCACCTGCAAGCACTTCTCTTGAGTGGGAACATGTTCAGGCCTCACAGGCAAGATCACATGGGATATGCGGCTCCACAGTCCACTCAGTTTGTCTGTATCCATGTGGTTGTAGGAACTTGGCATGCTTGAATCGGTAAACTTAGCCCAGAGGAAATCCTTCACTTTCTCCTCAACTTCCAATGGGCTGAGACTCTTTTGCAAAGACTCCTCTTCTAGGAGGACAGTTAAGAGTAGAGCTACATCCTTAAATGCTGCATTTTCATGGTCGCAGTATTTGTAAAATATCAGGGTGGATCCTGCAGGCAGCGACTCAAACCGATGCACTACTGCCACCTTCTTTCCTTCACTGAACCCAGAGCTGAGCTCTTCGTCAACAGCAAGTTTGACAGCATCACTGTCCAGAGCAGCTTTGCCAGCCCCATCAATTTTAATCATAGCAGTGCTCTGAGAGGATGAGAAGGCATCAGCAATGTTGTTGCTTAAGCACTTCAGGGCAGCTTCAGCTTCTTTTGCGGCAGTGAGCAATAAGATGGCCGGTTCCCCACGAGGCTGCGAGGAGTTGAGACGTTTTTCAAAGGTGGTTTGGATTTTCTTCCACAGCCATTCATCTTGACCAGGGTATGTGTTCATAAGCTCTTTCATGCGGTTCTGAAATGATTTCAGGGCTTTATCATCAATTTCCATAGTACAGAATGAGTAAATCATATAAAATCCAAGAGTAGCAATGCAAAGTACACCCAATGTCAGAATCATCAAAAGTAAGTTCCTCCCACTAGATGGTGTAGAACCTAGTGCACACACAGAGGAAGAAGAAGGAGGAGCTAACAATACATGCAAGTTTAATTTCAAATCAGCATATTTAATTATTCTAACCAGTATTCCACAATCATCTGAAATAAGTAGAGGGGCAGTTTGGCAATTCAGAAGAATCTGACCGTATGAAAGAAAAAAAATGCAAGGATCTCATTCTTACCAACTTCATGAAATTCTAATTTAGATCCATGTTTTTACAAAACACCTCATAATTGAAATGTTGTGACTGAAAATCTTTCACTGTAGCAAAAGGATCCAAACTCAGTCAGTGTTTGCCAACTCTGCCAGAGAGCCAGTGTGGTGTAGGGGTTAAGAGCATGGGACTGGGACTCAGGCAATCTGGGTTCTAGTCCCCGCTCGGCCATGGAGCCAACTGGGTGACTTTGGGCCTGTCACAGACTCTCAGCCCAACCTACCTCACAGGGTTGTTGTTGTGGGGATAAGATGGAGGAGAATGATTTAAGCTGCCTTGAGCCCTTTGTAGGAAAAAGGCAGGATATAAATCAAAGAAAAAAAAACTCAGACCCCTCTCATTATTTGTCAGTGCAAATCCATTTTTCTTGAATAACCTCTTTTCAGTCGAAAGCCTACAGGCTCAACCAGTAAACTTGCTGTGTTAAGTAACTGAAATCTGTTTCCTTCCCAACAAGAAGTCTGGAAACAAACGGTTGGCTGGGTGGAACCAAGTTCCTGCTCACAGATAAAAAAGGGTCTCTTACTGGGAAAGAAACTCAAAGGGTTCAATCTTACTCTTAGTGAGCTTTAAATGCTGGTCTTCTGACCTGAAACAGGCAGGACAATGTATTAACTGGTTTTTTCTGACTTAAGATGGTTCTTTCAGTATTGCCCCCTCTGCCACATCCTGCCATTTTCTTAAACTTCAGGACATTATGCCAGCTCCAGCAAGCTAGTCACCCAGGTACCTGCCATACACTGAATCAGACTATCGACCAACCTAACTCAGCATTTTTACCAGCGATGGGCAACTTGTGGCCCGCCAGATGTTTTGGCCAACACTTTCCTTCATTGTCCACAACTTGCTATGCTGGTTAGCACCATGGGAGCTATAAGCCATTCCATCTGAAAGGCCACAAAGTACCCGGGCCTTGTCTGCACTGAACAGCAAAGGCTCTCCTAGGTCTCAGACAGAAGCGGTAGCAACAGAACACGAGAGCTTCTGTATGCAAGTCATGTGCTACGACCAGAGCTGTGGCTTTTCACTGTCCAAGGGCAGCCAGAACAATTCAAGCCATCAGAAATAATAGTTATATCTTCACACCACAAGGAATTCCACCATTCCTCCTCATTCAAAATGAAAGGTTCTATCTGTGTTTTACTATTCGGAAACTGTCCACACATTTAAAGTATTTGCCAGTTAAATGTTATGGGTACAATTGTGGACTCCTGCACCTGTTCCAGCTCCACAGAGGAAAATCATGCTCTCTTACTTCCCTTCACCAACCACCATCTTTCAGGTAAGATGATGAATCATGAGCAAGAAAGCAACATTGGTCTATGCAAATCTCTACACCTGCTATGGAGTTGCAGGGTCCTCAAACATTTCAGAACAGAATTTCATTGGTGGGAGAGCATAAACAGACCCAGCTACTGCCAAACATAGTCATAAGGCACAGGAAGGGAGAGAATCTTACTTTTGGGAGCAGGTGGTGGTTGCGTCTTCCGTGTATGGTCTTTAATTTTTTTTGTCTCCTTATAATGCAAGCGAGAATCTAATATAATTAGACTAAAATCAGTTCCAAGAAGCATGTTTTAGACACACAAAAACAGGTTTAGAGCCTTTATAGAATTGAATAAACTTCAGTCAAGGTTTTTAAAAGATGAAACAATGCCAAAAAAACCCAGCAACACTGACTCAGCAGTGGCGAGAGCATACACACTGAAAAGAGCAACTCCTCTTTCAAACTCTTGCCAACTCTTCAAAAGAGTCCGGCCTAATGATATGAGATGGTTCAGGCTAGCTGTCTAGCTGCACATGTGGTCATCTGTGCATGCACACATACAGGAAGAGTCTACAGCTGAACTTTGGTGAGAACCCCTCTCCCACCCTCAGCATCAGTCTATAGGAGGCATTTCTGCGTGTTCCTGCCATTCATTGAAGACCAACACTGTGCCTTGGGATAGTGGAAGAACTTTTGCACTGGCGGAAAACCATTCTCTGTGCAATGAATGAGCATGTCAGTATATGACAGCAAAGAGGGGACGGTGGGCGGGTGAATACACAGATGACCACTCAAAGGATGAGTTTCAGGCAAGCAACCTGCCTTCTGGTTTCTCCGTGGTTTCTGCACATCACCCAGATGGGCAACTCCTGAGCCTCCATTTCTGGAGCTGTGTAGGCAGAGCCTGCATGTATGATCCACAGAGTCCATGAAGAACATAATACTACTGATTTATATAGTGGCTGATGCAATCTTTCTACTAGTAAGGTAAAGAGAAGCTAGCCATGTCACAGAAAGCATTTCATTAATTATTCTAAGAAAACAGCTTGTAAGGGTCTTTTCCTCAATTTTCCCTACTGGAAAAAATCAGAGCAAAATGGTGCAGAGAGGGACAGAGAAGATCACAGGAAATGTATTCCTTTCTCCCCACCCGCAACCAGGGCCTTTGCATCTCCACGCTCTGTTGACCTTCTTGGTTTTTCCTTACTTAAGGTTCATTCTGCTGGCTTAATCTACTGAATGCTTCTCTGTGCAAGAAGATGATTAAAGATCAAAAGGTGAAGGAGTCTGGTTTGAGACAACAGGCAATAACTGGGATTTTCAGGGATTTTCAGAGAGACAAAGGCTGGTATAATGAAATTACGGCACTGCCACTTAGACACAACTCAGGCAGGATCTTATTTTTTCCTCATGGTAGCATCAACACCATACCGATGAACATTACATCAATCCACTGCTAATCTTGGATAATTGGCAGATACTGGGGGGGAGGGGAGGCCTTTTTGCACTCATCATACACACCTGAAACAATGATTTGGTTTGCAGCTAATGACAATGCAGAATATGGGTTGAGCATGAAAAGTTGTTGAATTGTGGCACATCTTTAAGTACAAGCCCAGCATTATCACTTAACTGTGGTTTGTTAACCATGAACACACACCCCAACAACAAACCATGGGTTCTCTTCCTGCATTATTCTTCAGGGGTAACATCCCACAGTTAAAGTGTGGTGTTCACATGCAAGAACAACCTATACTCTAGGTGGCTATGGGCAAACCAAGCCAATATAAACATCACATTTTTACAAACTAGACCTCACACTTAGTTATCCCTTCAATTTGTTTGTTTATGTTTTTTGTAAGCCGCCCAGAGACTTTTAGTATTGGGACAGCATAGAAAAACTTTAAATAAATAAATAAATTTATAAGAACATAGTCAACACCTTTTCCCATTCATTCCATTCCCCAACAACTAGAGAGATCTTTCCTCTTAGACTCTCTAACCCTTATCTAGAGATCTATTATAACCTTGTAAAGACTGTATAATCATATCACGTAAAAGAATGAACACAACTTCAATTAAAATATAAAAATATGAAATACAAAGCAAGCAAGTTGCTGTGTCATACACATGGCAATATGGCAGTTGTACACATACCTTGCGGTCTGGACCATGAGGTTGCCCTCTGCTCAAATCTTTGTGTCTTTTGTTCCAAATATTGTGGATCTAAAAATGTGAAGATAAGAATATGTATGATTATATTAAGGCAACAAAGAGCCAGTGTGTCCGATCTCTTAATTATATGTCCAAGCACTACCTTATAGGAAAAAGGTTTTGATTTGAATCTTATGCAATGCACACAGAACCCTAAGAGTTGTTAGAAATGTACCATCTACACCATGAGTAGGCAACTTGTAACCCACCAGACTTCTATCAACTTCTATCAGCCCTGGCCATCATAGCCAAAGGTGACAGATGATGGGAGTTCTTCCCCCTCCATCTGCTTAGGCCTAAAAGTCACCCACACAGTCCATACACTGAGAGCCACACTGGATTCTCACAGGTTCTTTCCCCACATTTCATATTGCCTAGATTTCTAGAAAATTACAGAGCTTTTTAGAACAAAAAGTTCAAATAGATAAGAGTACATAATTCAGTAGCACATTAAAAAAACATTTGAGAAATTGCTACCTGTCCTGGTTGTCTTAAAAGTAGTACTCCTAATTTCAGGACTGTTCTCGTGTTCCTTTTCTGTTGCCTCATCTTCTAAAAGGATAAAAATATTAAAAGCAGAATTCTAAGTCACTTAAAGCCAATAAGAAGCATGTTTATTAACAAGCCCTTCAATTCAATTTTGGTCAACTATGTTGTTCAACAAACATATTGGGAAAATGGATAATTAAAACAAGTGCTTCATACCTCAAGAAGGTATTTTTCATTTTAATTATGCATATGTAATATGCATATAACAGGACCATAAAACAACCCGTAACTTAAATACATGTCCAAGGATCCCCTACTCCATGCTGTATTGTTATCATTTATTTTATTGTTGTTGTTGTTGTTGTTATTATTAAACTTCTATAGCACCCAATAGGTGAAGTTCTCTGGGCAGCTTACAAAAATCCGCTAAAATATTCATTATAAAAACTATCCATAAAAATACATTTTAAAATAGAACACTTTATAAAAACATTTGGGAAAAAAGTTGTGTGGCTTTAAAATTTTGTATGACTTTTAAATGTTTACATGCATTAATGATTACAGGACACATTAATGTTTACAGGACTCAGCAAACACTGTGAATTCCCTAACTATAAACAGTCAGCAAAAGGAGTATTCAAGAAAAAGAAAGTCTGCTGGCACCTTAAAAACTAAGCAATTTGGTGTGGCCTTTTGCTTTCATGTATTAGAGGCCCACTTCCTCAAATGTCTAAGTTTTATGCTCAGTTGGGAGAAATGAAACCAAGTTTACAGGCTGTAAACACTGAGAGTAAGAACTGCAGGAGTACAGATTAATATCCCCATACAGGGTTCAAATACATTTTGTACACATTAGCCAGAACTGGTTTTCAAAATGCCCACCTGAAAATTTGAGGTTGCCCTCTTAATACCTAAGCACTTGTCATTTTATTCCTCCATTCTGACTGCACTTCTTAGTAATGCTATTTATACATTACTGTTTATATCTTTTGCACTTGCTGCTATATATTACGGTGCTAAAATGCAATCCTGGGACATCACTATTGTAGCTCCAGCATTTTCCATTTTTTGTACTTTGTATTATGCTTAATCTGATGCTAAGATAAATAACCTAAAGTTCCCATAATTGTGGCCCTGGTACTGTACACATTATACAAGATGAAAAAATAATACAAAATAATATTCAGACACAAGCCAAATACAACCAAATAATTAAAATCAAAACCAATCAATCAATCTACAACATGCTGGCCTTTGCGACGCCACAAGACTATTTTGTTACAGATTAACCAAGGTACTCTTCTTGGGGGAAAAGAAAATCCAACCTGCTTTTTTCATTGTAGAGCGTCTGTCTCGAGCGTAAGAAGATTCTATTAAGACAAGAAATCATGCATAAATTATCAGTCTAATGAGAAGAAAGACAGTATGTTGCCTGCAGTGATATTTCACATAATATCACGAGGTGAGAACTACTTTCACTCCAGCAGCCCTCCATCCTCACAACTCTTACGGAAGTGAAGTACAACAGTCTTACTGGTTTAGATAAAGGAACAAGGAATTGCTACTTGGGCATCAATCAGAGCCTCACACAGACAAGTAAGTCACATTTTTAAAATCTACAAGTACATACTTGCAAGCCTGTTCATATCACATCACAGCATTATACCAGAATAAGCTAGACTGATTAAAGTCACAATGCAGAGCCTTCTCTACATTGGTACCCAACTGTAGAACCCTCTTCTTAAGGAAGTTAAGCCAATCCCTTGCTAAGTTTTCAGTGGGCGTTTTAAACACTTTTATTCTGCATGGCTTTTGAGCCATTTTAAATGCTCTGCTCCAAATAAAACTAGAATGTTGCTTTTAGACTGTCATAGTATTTAACCCTTTACCTGTACGTGGACTTCGTCTAAGAGGTGGTCGACAAAGTGTACCGTTTATTCCAAGGAGATCTGTGTCTTCTTCTGAAAGGAAATAAAGAATTGCAAGAATTCAGTTATCAAGTAGCTCCCACCACTCAAGTCCTTCAAACATTAAGAGAAAAATGTATCTAGTTACTAGGTAATAGTCTGAGAGAGTGCAAATCAGACATGAGAATCATACAGGACAGAGAACCCAAATGCTCTCTAGGTTTTCATGACTTCCACGGATACCTGCTTGCAGCCCATATCCACATCCATGGAAGCATACAAGTGCAGGATGGCCCGATAGGCACATATTTAGTACCTACCTTGCCCACACATATTTTAATTCTTGCCCATAAGAACCGTGGACAAAGACTATGCATACTGGATCTATGTACCTGTCACTTAAATGTTACACTGAATACATATAAGGTGCTGATGTGCACTTTATACTTTTGCAAATATAAGAAGGTCCTCAAGCTGACGATGTAATCAAGAACAGCTCTTAAAAATGCAGTACCTGTACTCAGCCTATTTCTCTCCCTCCCCTTGCCACTGACTACAGAACCATGGAAATGCAATCTGCCAAGTCTATTTAGTTAATATTCTGGTTGGCTTCGGGCGTCGTCACTACCTTTTGCCTTTACTCAATGGCCGCATTCACACAGCACAATAGTGAGTGACTCCATACGAGGAGGCACGCGGCTCAACCACTCCTGCTTGGCACCTCCTGCAAGCAGACGCAGCAAAACGGGCCACAGACTTTCCATCCCTAATTCTGTCTATTATGCCATGCAGTCCAGGAACTTTGGCTTGTGTCTCCCGGTCACCCGACAAACCAGCCATAAGGCAAGAACAAACCATGGCTTATGAACCTGGCTTGTCTGAGAAAGGTTAAGGCAGAGTACTCAGTCTGTACATGAAAATGAACAAATCACAGAAGAAAGAGCCATGGCTTGTGTAGCTACTCCTCACTGCTGTGGAAGCAATCGGCATGCCAGCCGATTCATAGTAAGTGATCTGCCATGTGCATGCAATTTGTTTAGAAAAAAACATAATCAGATGAAAAACAATTTCAATCCTTAAATTAATTAGCAACATTTTCCAGTAACTGAAATTTTCCATATTTTCCTGTAAATGTGAACTTGCTGAGACCCATACAGAGGGCAAAAACTAGAGTGAAAGAATTTGTCATTTCAGCTGTATTCAGATAACCTAGTTTGCACGTCATGGTGGTAAATAATGGTTAATTAATTAACCCATGATCTATTGGGACAGGCAGAGTGTGCAAACCAATTCCAGTTGGAATAATTGACCTGTGAATAACCTGTCCTGAACTAGAATAATGTAGTTTAAGGGTTAAACAATGCATAAACCCATGGTTTATTATTAGGTATACTCTTGGTTGTTTAGCCTATAAACAAGCCAGAGAATCCAGATTTGGATGTCATACACATTTATGAACAGATTTGGATGACATATACGTTTATAGGTTGCTTATTCAAACTGGAAACAGCTCACCATGATTCTTGCTTAATTAATGTACTATTTGCTGCCATGAATTATACACATGGCATCAGAGCGTACATCTGAAATACATTCCTAAAAGTTTTATTAACTGTATGCTGTAATAAAGAAATACCTGACTTACCTGTTTCTGCTTGGCAATCTGTGTTTTTGTTCGGTGTTCTCAGTCTAAGTTCAGTTGCAGAAAATACATCTACAAAATTCAGAAAAAAATCCTTAGAAATAAAACATTGAGCAAACAGATGCATGTACAAAACCAAAGAGCCCTAAATTCTGAAAGTAAGCTATAAAATATATAAAATATGAGTTAAAGAGCTCAACATTCAAAATTGGAAAAGAGACTGTCTCTTTGCCCTGCAACAATTCCTCACCATCTTCTGAAAGTAAAATAATTACATTAATATCATTTCATAACATTACTTCCCCCACAAATTCATGTTCTTGCCAGTCACTGATAAGAACAAAAATTTGTTCAATGAAAGTATCTTTATAACAAAACGAGAAGAAGCGTCCAACACCCAATGGTCTTATTGCAGCATGCAGAGGTTTGACTCTTACTGTGGCCCTTTAGGCTTCAAAATGCCCAACCTAAAACAATAGCTGCACATTCTACTGGGAATAGGTCCCAAGAGTACAGTCACACAAAGTCAGACTGAAAAAAAGCCAGGCTGAAAAATGTGCCAACTTGCAGTTCAAACATTTGGAAATCAATAAGAGAAATGTAAATAAATTATTGGCAGGACATGATTCTTGATTGGAGGATGCTGTGATTTTAGGTCCTGCCTATTCTTTAATACATGTTAGTTCATGCAAACTGCACAGAAACCTGGGAAGCCACCAACCAGCTGGCGAGAAAAGGAGGCTGGCCTAAAAGGGGTTCCCACGCCTGGGGCTTTGCACTTCTGCCCCAAGCTCGCCTTTCTTCCAAAGCAAAGAAATGGGAACGAGAAAGGGAGCAAGCCCTCTGCAAGGCGGCCTGTTTAACAGGGCAAGCAGGCACACCGCCTCGAGCTCCTTCGCAGGACGAGTGGGGTGACAATGCGATAGACATACATGGTGCTCAGGCCCACACAGGCGCCATCCCGTTAAACAGGTCCCTCTGCTAGGCATTTCTCCACGACCCCCCCCCGCCCCAAAACGCGTCTCAAGGTCATAAAGCTGCTCAAAGAAATACAAAATAAAGAACTTGCACTGAACTCAGTAAGAGGTGTGGGCCTAGAGCAGCCGTCCCACCCCGCGCCACCGCCCACCAGCCCCTGTCACCATGCGAGTGATGGGACCTGTAGTCCAAGATATCCGAAGAGGCGCGGGTTGCGGAACGCCTTCCCGGCGGTTTTACCCTGCTCCCCACCCGCAACCAGCGGCTTCCCTGGGTCATGTCGGGCTCCGGCCCCGCACTCTCCGGGCCGCCCCGGAGCTCCCCTGCACATTCCCGCGCACCTTCCGGGGAGACCGACTCCTCCGCGGGCTCCTGCTCCTCCCTCTCAGCCGGCGTCGACGGACGCGGCCCGGCGGAGCGCAGCTGGTAGGCCGCCGCTCGGCGCGCTTCCCCCTTGGCGCGCTCCTCCATGGCCGCCGCCTCGCCCGCCGCTCGCGCCCTCCGGCCCTGCCTGCGCCGCGGCGCGCCCTCGTCCGCCGAGTGCTCCAGCACCTCCTCGGAGAACCTCACTTGCCGCCGGGGCGGGCCGCCCGGGGGCGCGCGCGCAGCGGCAGTCCCGGCGCGGAGCGACTCGCCGCCGCCATCTTGGGAGGCGCGCTTCCTCAGCGGCGGCCGCGGCGTCACGTGCCAGAGGGGGCGGGCCGGCCGCTCTGCGCCTCCCGCTCCGCCCTCGCGCTCGCCCGGGGAGGCCGCGGCGGCGGCGGCCGCGTCCCCGCCCCGCATGGGCGCCGCGCCAGCCCGGCTGCCGGTGGCCGTGGTCGGCTCGCTGCTCCTCGGGAAACGCGGCGGCGGCGGCTTCCCCGGCGCCGGGTCCCTCCTGCGGCCTGGGCCCGGCCCGGCTGGGGCGCCGCGCGCCTTCCCTCCGCTCTGCGAGGGGCTCCGCGCTAGGCCGCAGGCCCGCGCCGCGCAGGCAGCGCCTCTCCTGCCGCGGGACGCGTCCCGCGCTCCGGCTCGCTCTCCTGCCGCCGCTGCTCTCGGCGACTTCGTCGTCGTCCTCTCCTCCCGCGCCGAGCGCTTCTTTCCCTCAGCAAACAGGCGCGCCGCTCGCGGACTTGATCCCGCCTGCCTCGCCCCCTCTCGGGGATGCCAACTTTTGACGGGCAGCCGCCGCCGCCGCCGCCGCCGGGCCTCGTCGTGCGGCGTCCTCAGGGGCTCCCGTCCGTGTCCCGGGGACGACGGCGCACCAGCCAGGGGTGAAAGCCGGGGGTGGGGGATCCGTCCGGCGGCGTTCTTGCCCGGGAAAAGGCGCCCCCAAGCCAAGGGGGCCCTGCTTGGCCCAGGGATTCGCACCGGGGGAGCGAAGCCCGGCCCAGCCGCCGCTTATAAGAGCAAGCAGGTCACCAGGAGAGAGAGGCGTTTAAAGCAGCCTGCCCTCGGACCTGCGGGCCGGCGAGAGCAGAGGCGCCCGCACTGTGAACTCCTCCCCGCCACGACCCAGACATGCCTCTTCGGAGTAGGCGATGCGAGAAGCTGTGCCGCTTGCGCTGAATGGCGCTACGGTTTCAGAGTCTGCTCTTTCCGTGTAAAGTGATATCTTAAGGGTTATTGCTGTATAAATAGAGCCACAGTGGGATCAAGGTGCTTGACTTCATGACGCATGTGTTCTTGTTGTTGTTCTGTGTCATAAAGTTGTCTCCGACTTAGGGCAAGTGCATGAATGAGAGCCCTCCAAAATGTCGTGTCCGTGACAACCCTGCACAGCTCTTCTAAATTCCAGGCAGTGACTTTCTGTATGGAGTCAGCCCATCTTCTAGTTGCTCATCTTCTGCCTTCAACTTTCCCTGGCCTAGCATGATGAGCTTCTCCAGTGAGACCTGCCTGTTGATGATGTGCCTGAAGTACAATAGCCTCACCTTTGTCATTTTTGCTTCTAGGGGAAGCTCTGGCTTGATTTGATCCAGGACCCACCTGTTGGTTCATCTGTCATTCCGGGGTGTTTGCAAAACAGACCAAATCACAGAGCGGGGGCACACTGAAATAGGGTCCTTTCTACTCTCACAGATAACACCCCCGCAAGACCTTGCCCCATCATACTCTGTTGGACTTGGCCAAAATAAAGGAAATGTCTGGAGGTTTCTCCAGGCAGCCTCAACAGGTTATAAGCTATTTGTGTTCACTTTTCCAGACGGCCCAGCCTTCATGGGGGGATGCCAAAGTCATGCCTGAGATGGTCTTTACAGAAGTAGAATTAAACTCCATTTTGGACAAGGCATGGAGTGAAGTCTTTCTAACATATAGAAATGCAAACAATCACATTCCGCCACTGACAGCCGGTGACTCCTGAGTAGAGTTGAACTCTATGGGAAGAGGCTAGTTCGAACAAAGCGGAAGGGAACTCCTTGGACAGAGGGAGGTTTTTGGAGATTCTTGTTGGTACAGATAAACAGAAATCTGGCCAGAATCCAGACCTGGTTTGTGTCTGGGAGATGCGGATCCCGCATAAGTGTGTGAGCAACCCCCTCCCCCCACTCCACCTAAGCTCACGCCAACTGCTTCAGTGACTCCATCACATTCTCTGCTGTCTCCTCCTCCTCCTTTTGCCATCTATTGTTCCCAGCACTGGGGTCTTCTCCAGTGAGCCCTTCCTTCTCATTAGGGGCCAAACCTTTTGAGTTTCATCTTCAGGATCTGGCCTTCTGAAGAGCAGTCAGGGGTGATCTCCTCTAGGACTGACTGGTTTGATCTCCTTGCGGTCCAAGGGACTCTCAAGAGTCTCCACCAGCACCACAGTTCAAAGGCCTCAATTCTTTGGCACTTTCCTTATGGTCCAGCTTTCACAGGCATACGTTGCAACTGGGAAAATCATGGCCTTGACAGTATGCACTTTTGTTGGCAGGGTGATGTGTCTGCTTGTTAGTATGCTGCCTAGATTTGCCATAGCTTTACTCCCAAGGAGCAAGCATCTTTTAATTTCTAGGTTAAAGTCCCTGTCTGTAGTGATCTTGGAGCCCAGGAAGTTAAAATCTCACTGCCTCCATTTCTTCACCACCTATTTGCCAGGAATTGATAGGACCAAATGCTATGATCTTAGTTTTCTTGATGTTCAGTTTCAAGTCAACTTTTGTGCTCCCTCTCACCCACATCAAGAGTCTGTTTAGCTCCTCATTTTCTGCCATTAGAGTGGTATCATCTGCATATCAGGTTGCTGATATTTCCCCAGACTATCTTAATTCCAGCTTGTGATCCATCTAGCCCAGCCTTTTGCATGATGTGCCCTGCATATAAGTTAAATGGGCAGGGCGACAATATACAGCCTTGCTGTACTCCTTTCCCAATTTTGAACCAATCTGTAGTTCCATGGTTTGGTGGATTCTGTCCCAGTGTCCGGGTGCAATATTGGCTTTCATGGCCTGGAGGGCATGAATGGGCAGTTGAATCCTAGCCCAGTGGCTACAGTTTGGAATCACCAGCCCTTCAGCCTTTCAAACTGGCTACCTTTGGGACCCAGGGAAGAAAAGAAAGTGGGTTTCTCTGGCTAGCAGGTTGTTCCCTCACACAGAGAGAGGCGCTCAGGTTGCTATGAGAATTCTGTTTGCCCGTGCTTCAGTTGAGAAAACCACAAACCAGCCAGTCTCATTGTTTGAGGTCTGGGGTGCAGAAAGGCTTGGGATTTGGTGTTTAAACTCTCAGTTTGTAATCAGTGCAGCTACCCACTTTCCTCTTCCTCTTAATGTGTGCGTGTGTCTATGCTAATGCTCTTTTAAGATCTCTCCACTTATCCCAGTTTTTGTTCTGCATTAAATTTTGTTCCCCAAGTTCTTGTGCACTAAGCCTTGTGTGCAGCTCCTTGAGAATGCTGGGGGTGAGGTGCAGTTTTTGGAAACAGCTTAGAGGAAGAGCCAGCTGTGTCTAACCACCCTTGCACAGGGGAGGGGGCAATTCACCCATCTTTCTCTCAAACACTGGCTAGGGACTTGTCTGAATGCACCAGAGACTTTAATGCTTTTCTTACTACAGTACAGTGGTACCTCAGCTCACAAACACCTCAGTTCATGACCAAATCGGGTTGCAAACAAAGATTTCATAAAAATTTTGACTCAGGTTGCGAACTCCGCATTGGGTGGCGACCGTGATCATGGCCATCTCCCCACCCCCCAGAGTGGGGAGATGGCCACAATCGTGCTGGGGGCAGGGAGGGAGGGGATGGCTGAGATCACTCCCGTCTTTCCTGCGCAACTGCGATCTCGGCCACCTCCCCCCCACCCACATGCATGATCGTGTCCGCCTCGCCCCCAATGCGCCTGCATTCACGCCCATCTCCCCGCCCCCCCAGCGCACTGGGATGACAGGCACAATCCCGGTAGTGCTGGGGGTGCCGGGGAGATGGCCACGCTCGTGCTCAGGGTGGGGAGGGGAGATGGCCATGATCTTTGTTGTTCTTTGTCATTTGCTTCACATTTTTCTGATTAAACAAATAGTTACAGAACAGATTAACCTTATTTACATTGAACCTTATGGGAAAATTTAACTTGGCTCATGACCAATTTGGGTCATGACCAGAGTCCTGGAACGAATTAAGTTCGTGAGCCAAGGTACCACTGTATTTAATTGTAAATAAACCTAATTGCCCTCGCAAGAAACTGATCATTTGAGCCTTAATTCCGGATTTTGGTGTGATAGGGAAGCTCTGGCTTGATTTGATCCAGAACCCACCTGTTGGTTCATCTGTTAGTCCAGGGTATTTGCAAAGCTCTCCTCCAGCAACAAGTTTCGAGCGCATCATTTTTCCCTGTCGTCTTTCTTCATTGCCCAGTTTTCACACCCATACAGTGTTGTGGGGGATACAGTGGTGTGGATGACTGTGGCCTTGGTCTCCAGTGAACCATCCATATATCGGATGATCTTTCCTAGTTCCTTCTTTGCTGCCCTTCAAAGTTCCAAACTTCTTGGAATTTCTTGGCTGCAGCCTCCATTTGGTTGACTGAGCCAAGGTAACACAAAACCTTTCACAAATCTGATTTCTTCCTTGTTGGCAGTAACACCCTGAAATTCTTCTGTAGTCGTGATTATTGTTTTCTTAATGTTTCACTGCAGTCCTAGCGTCTTTCACTTTCAGCAGGAGAGAGTAGGCAGACTCAGATGAGAGATTCATGAGCAATAAGACACATTGAACTTTACCCAGATTATAAACCCCACATGGGGGTGGACCAGCAAGGAAGCCACAGTTTTGAATCCTTGAGCTGAGCAGGGCTGTCAAGGATGAGGGGTTTTGGAGGGCTCTCATTCATGGGGTTGCCCTAAGTCAGAGGTGACTGGGCCACATATTGACAACTAGCTTCCTGAAAGGCAATATCAATATTATCATGCAAAATATGCTCAGGGCTCCCAATCAATAACCCGAACCCTAAATATAAATTTGGGCATTACAGTTAGAACATAATAATCACGACTCCATGCTTCGTAAATGTTTGAGTAGACTGCCACCCCGTATCTTATTAACATTTTATTCAGCAACGTGATTTCTGCTGTTGAGAGTCAATTAAAAAAAATACCTGTATGACAAACTATAGCTGCGATTTAAAAAAAAATTACTAAACTGCTGAGAGAAGTCAGCAGAGCAGACAGTATTGCACATACTTTGAGCATGTTTGCTCAAAGCTTGCACAATGAGTGTGCATAGAATTGCCTCTATACAGCGCAGTCTATACGTGTCCACTCAAAAATAATTCCCATTGGGCTCAGTGGGGCTCCCTCCCACCTAGCTGAGACATGCTGGGCGCTGGAGGGTGATTTCCCTGTCTAAACATGCATGCATTGACACATGTCAACCTCTGTCTTCCTCAAAATTAGCTAATTATACATGGAGGGCTCTTGCTAAATGCAAACGGATAAAAAAGAGAACCCTGACATTACATTCCTACAGGAAACACACCACAAAAATGGGGAAGAAATGCTGCGGGGAGCAGGGGCTGACAAGTATATATGCAGCCACCAAATCAACTAAATCTAGAGTTGTCGGTCCAGAAGTGTGACCTAATCGTGACAGGAGTACCAAAAAAACCTTCTGGGCAGATTTATTTTCCATAAAAGGCACATTGTGATCCAGTAATGATTGCACCGGGATGCAATCTAATCTCCTCCACCTTAGATGCTTGTAAGGCTCTGACCTGGGTGCTGTGGCTGCGCTTATACCATATGTTTTATCTAAATGTCTGTTTTTGGCCATCTAGAGGAAGTGCCAGGGAGGGTGCAGAAAAGAGGCTGGATTGCGGATAAAGTGTCAGTGCTAGCCTCCTCCCTGCCTCCAAGACACCCCTCTTTGTCCTTTTCAAGACCCAGCTGTGAGGGGATTCTGGTGAGGCCTCGCGTATGCTCCCCCCCCCCCAGCAATGTTGGATGGTGAGAGGATTGTACCCTTAATGTTTCTGTACCTTGGAAGACTAATTGAACTGGACAGGGCTTCAAAAGTTCCTGTGTGCAAAATCCTGTACACTTCCTGTGTATTAGATGCCTGGTAATCCCTTTCTGCCTAGCTCTAAATAAAAAAGCTTGATAAAGCCAATTACCTTGAATTAGCCAATGAGAAAGCTGGTTAGCGTACGGTTTTTCTTATGCATAAAGTGGCTCTTTGAGTAGCAAACATACAACTTGTCAGTGGTTTAGACAAATTCATGAAGTATAAGGCCATGGATTTGACAATTGCATGGAGGATAACCGAGCTATCAGTCACTAGTTGTGAGGGCTAAATATAACCTCCTACCTCAGAATCAGGATTTATCTGAAGACAAGTTGCTGGGAAACAACTCTTGTAGAAATAGGATACTGGCCTAGACTGTTCTTTAGTATTACTGAACCCTTCTTACATTCTCCAAAGTTGTTTCTGGAACCATGGCATATTTTATTCATAGGTCCATTCATTCACAGGTTAGGTCTCTCTAACCCATTATGGTCCTTTGAAAGTGTCAGTAAGCATGTGGACAATGTCAGTCCAGTAGACATTGTTTACTTGGACTTCAAAAAGGCTTTTGACAAAGTCCTTCACCAAAGACTCTTGAACAAAATGAGCATTTATGGAATGGATGCGGACGGGGGGGAGATCCTCTTAAGGGTCAGTAACTGGTTAAAGAACAGAAAGCAGAGAATGGAAATAAATCATATTTTCCCACAATGGAGAAAGGCATACATTAGTGTCCCACAAGTTTCTGTACTAGGACCGATACTTTTCAACCTATCTATGTTTTGGAATTAGGAGTGAGCAATGAAGTGGCCAAGTTTGCCAATGACACTAAACTATTTAGGGTGGTTAAAACTGAAAAGAAATGTGAGGCGCTCCGACGGAATCTCTCCAAGCTGGGAGACTGGACATCGAAACAGCAAATGCTTTTCAATGTAAACAAGTGTAAAGTTGCGCTGGTTGGGGCAACATATCCCAGCCTCGAGTACAGGTTGATGAGATCTGAGCTAGCAGTTGCTGATGAAGAAAGGGATCTTGTGGTGGTGGTGAACAGCTCAATGAATATATTGACCCAGCACACAGCTGTTATGAAAAAGGCACGCTCCATGTTAGGCATAGCGAGCAAAGGAATTAAAAATAGAACTGCCAAGATCATTCGTACACCCCTTTACACAAATGTTTGGTGTAACCACACTTAGAATATTGGTTGGAGAGAGGTAATAGGAAGTCCTTCCACAGTGCATACTTATGCTATGAACATCACCATAAAGGGGGACTGGACAAATTCATGGAGGAGGAGGCCATTGGTGGCTGCTAGCCTGGCTGGCCATGGGCTGCCTCCGTCACCAGAGGCAGCATGGCTACATACACCATCCACCAGGCAGCCTGGGCAGGTGGAGCTCTTGCACCCATCCTGCTTGAGGGAGCCTGTGGGCAGCTGGTTTGCCACCATGTGAACGGTGTGCTGGACCAGATGGCCCTTTGGTCTGATCCATCTAGGTTGTGACCAGATGGCCCTTTGGTCTGATCCATCTAGGTTGTGACAGGCATCACTCTTGAATGGATGCACACACAGCTATTTGTTTTTGATTGAACTTGCATATAGTTGAAACATCTGAATATATTCTGTTATATCGATATTTACATATAAGCAATTTCTAGAGGAATTTAAAAATTAGATTGTTTTGTTGACATTCACAATAAAACATAAATGGAAAACGATATTAGCACCAACCTTGCTTTCTTTTTGGCACCAAAACAAAGCATTTTGTTGTGCTGAAACATTTTTTAAATGTTTAGTTTATTTGGACCATCTACTTTACATTGATTATGTACCATCAGTCCAATCTTATGACTTTTTCTATTCTTAAAGCAGGAATACTATCGATGCAACCGGACACTAAGAATGAGTATAAGCATGTCATGATACCTCAGTAACTGCAAACGGCTGACAAGCAGTTTGTCAGAAACATTTTCTAGCTTATTTTCTATGTCACTTAAGTTTGCCTTGGGGGAACACTGGGTCTCTGCTTCAGATTCTGCAGCCATGGATTCACTGAGCTGCCTTGGAGAAGTTTCTGCAGTACAACCCTATTTAACCATCTGCCGAGATTGTCGTGTGAACAAACACTGTACATAGAAAAGGAAAAAACGGACCAAACTAAATACTTTGGATTTTCTCTGAAACCTTTCTTCTGATCCAGCAGAGGTCTGCTTACATTATTATCAATGTAATCCTACATATGTCTACTTAAAAGGGATCTAATCCAGGGTAAATGGGGACAGTATTGTGCTGTGTTCTGCGTAAGAATCGGCCAGGGGCTGGGCCTTTGGAATGCTCCTGCCTTTTGCCAAGCTCCAGCTCAGCCACCCTCCCTTCTCTGCAGCAGGGCCTTTACGCTCGCTGTTGCAAAAGGAGAGGCAAGATCTCTAAATTCTCCTTTTCCCTTCCTTACGAGCTTGGCTTGCCAGGCCCGCGCACCAGGGGAGCGAGACAAATGCCCTGGGCTACACAACTGCCAACGAGACAGAGCGCTGTCCTCTCTGCGTCTGGTTACCCTAAGCGAGCGAGTGAGAAAGAGAAAACTTTGCCCTTTCGACCCAGACTGCCAGCATCACTTGAGAGATAAAACACTCTGTCGCTAATGGAGGAAGGGCAAAATGGACCCGGGCAGGCTGCGATTGCCCAGGCCAGGCTCTTCGCAGAGCTTATCTAGGCGAGGAAACGTCACTTCTGAGAATCCATTGTCCCAGGTTCCCGTTTCTTTTCCGTGGGCATGGCGGAGCAAGAAAACTACATATCCCAGCATCCCACTGGGAAAACGCTCGCTGCAGGGAAAAGTCATGTTGACGTTGCTCAAAGGCACACCCGCGGGTGTGTGGCAGGGGGCTGGGCTGCTCCGCTCCGAGGAAGTTGAGCCGGAGTCCTCTGCCTGCGAAGCTGCCTCCTTGCCGGCGGCAGGGGACGGGGAAGCACGGCGCGCAAGCACGCGGCCTGCCCGAACTAACTTTCTGCGGAGCAAAGCGGTGTCTCGGTCTCACTTCCTGGAGAGAGCACGAAAGAAAGGCGGCAGCAGGAGGAGAGGACAAGGTAGGCGAGCGGGGAAGTGGCCAAGCCGTGGCACGAGTCCGCGGAGTGAATTTGGACTTGCATCCTTGGACAGTCGCGGTCAAGTGGCAGACTCGCAAGCTCAGCTTTGCGCTCTGGAAGAAGGAATCGAGCTGGGGCACGAAGGTGCGGCGGCACTCTCATTGCGCTTTCTCTTTCCTCCTTCCCATACCTGTCATCGTTTCGAGCACACGAGAATGCCTCTTCCTATACCCCTCTTCCTATACTCCTATACCCCTATAAACTGCCCCTCTTTGCAGTTGATAGAATGAGGGGTAGGTCTGGGGCTACATCAGCAGTGTGGAGACTGCCTTTTCCATCTCCAGAACAGGGCGACCCAGCTATGTGGCTATGAAGTACTTGGTATGGGGCCAGCAGTACTGGAAACTGGGTAGTGGTGCCCACGATCTTTTCCCCATTTGTGAAACTCGAGGCTTCAACTTTACCAGTCTTCTGCCCCAGGCTGTGTGGTGCCCCGAAAGGAGTGTGCCTTTTAGTAGTGGGACATGCTGCAGTATTTTCTTTTCAGCTCCCACTTAGTATGTAATATAAATTTAACAGTAGAACTTATCCGCCCTTTTAAACAAAAGAATGTCAGAGGCTATATTTTCATAATCATGCAATGCTTTAGCCATTTTCAATAGGCCTTTGATGATGACTTCTAACTCCAGTAGATCTCATTGTATATTTTCTGCACTTGTTTTGTGTAAACTTTTAAAATATAAAATCGTATTAAAGCAATTAAATCAGCTTGCTTTTTTAAGAATGGAAAATACTAGGTGCTTCGTAAAGAATAATGAAATTAATGCTCTTTTCTCAAATATGAATATTTATGTAGCACCTTTGACCTTCCTTCCAGTGGAGTTGGGCGGAGATTGTCCCAGCATTTCCACAGTCTCGGTCCAGTTCTAAGACTGAGAGGAAGCATGTGTGTCATTCGACAGGCCTGCCAGACATCACTGTCAGAATGTGTTCAGCGTGCCTGCAAATGCAGCGCCCCCCGGGGATACTCTGCTCACCGGTCTTTGTCTCAGGAAAGTCCAGAAGGATGGCTTTGAGGGCTGCTGGGCACACTTGAGCAGCTGGACCTGTGCTCCTCTTGGATGGCCAGGCTGGCGGGAAGGAATGGAGAAGGCTGGCGACCACCATTTTTGGCCAGGGCAGCACGGCCAGACAAAAACTGTATGCCTTAGTTCCCCTGTAGGATAGCCCCTACATGGGAATATTTAAAGATATTCCCTCTATAGGTAAAAAAGGGGGAGGTGCAAAATATATACAGTACAACATAGAGGCATAAGGCCCCAATTCTAAGAGTGCAACAAGAATGTGAATGCTTCTTTATTTGGCTATAAACTAACATGGCTTAGAGTGATCCCGGGACACCTAGACATTGTCTGGGGAGTCACTGGATAATCTGAATTCCCAAATCCAAGGTGAAAGACTGTGCTCTGACCCCTCCCCACCATAGTCAGTATGGGGAAAAACTGGACTGGCTGTCTCCGTGGTCAGAAAAGCAACTTGGAAAGGGTGAGGGGGGGTATTGAAGACTTTCCAGTGGACAGGCAGGGTGGAAGGCCAGCAGTATTTCCTCCTCCTCCTCCTCCTCCTAAGTGCTTACCTAGCTGAATTGCAGAGCGAGGTTCAGAAAGGCAGAGACTGCCTCTGCTGGCCCTCCTCTTTGTGCCGGATGCTCGCAAGCCTCTGAGTTCAGGGAGGTGCAAGCCACACACTGAATTCTTAAGTACTCTCCTTTGATGTTTGTCCATCCTTTTCCATGAGGATCTTGTCATCTAACGGGTTGTGAGTTGTCCACGGTGTGTCCGCAGGTGGCTGATAAGGCCGATACGGGCGCAGAGTGTTCTGCCAAAGGTCAGGCAGACATGTGTGGGCACCACTGTTGCAGCGTTTGCAACTCTGGCTTTACGGAGCGCTCGCTTCTCTTGTGCTAAACTCTCCTTTACACCATATAAGAAATACATGGAGAACTAACAATGATTAGTTTTTTTATTTTATGATTAAATTGCCCTTTTCCTGATTTAAATCAATCTACCCCATTTCCTTTATCTCTGACTAATGAGAGGATTCCTATTCCATATTGTTTGTTTTTCCAAACATGTATTTCTGACTCATGTATCACTTCATATTCTGTAGCATATAATTGTGTATGTTCATTATTTCTTTTGTATATTGCACTGTTCTTTGTCCTAAACAGGTTCTTGGCACAACATTGTTCATAATAATATGTACTCTAATTCATTCAATATTTTGTATTGTCCAGGTTCACAATACTTTCTTTAATGATTATAGGCCATGAGAGCATCTCTTATGGAACACCTTCTTTAAGTTATATTCTTTGTGATTATATTAGTTTTCGCTGAATGGTTTTACAGATTCACTCGGAGGCTTTCTGATCTTTCCTCCAAAGAAGAACTCTCCCTGTGGCCATCCCATTTATAATGCAATTTGTAATTTAACAGAACTGAATATGGATCAACATGTGAATCCTCTGTATTTATGAGAAATTTGCACTCCCTTTTCTGCTGATCCATTAAGGGAATCATGCAATGGGACAGTGCCTTTAATGGACTCAGAGAAGGGTGGGCATCCAGTGCAAGTGAGGGCTGCATCCCTTGCTCCCAAAACCCTCCTGCTCGCAAGACTAAGGCACCTTCAGGATTCCTCATATCCTGGTGAAGCCCCTCTTCTCCCCTCCCTGGTTCCCCAGCACCAGTTCCAAACTAGGGAACTTTCCCCTCTGCCCGTTCCCTGGCGGATACGTAAGCAGAAGTATGCCAAGTGCAGCTTTGGACCCAGCCCAATATGTTGTGATCCATGCAGTTCTTGAGTTTTTAAAGCTCTTTTTGAAATGCACATTCCTTTAAGAGGTATTATTCTGGGAGGGCAGCAACAGCTTGAAATAACAGGCTTTAGAAAAGCGACAGGAAAACTCCAGTTGTGTGTCAGTCCCGAAGCACACATATCCAGAAGTGGTTCGATTTATTTATTTATTTATTTATTTAAAACATTTCTATGCCGCCCCATTGCAACAAAGCCTCGGGGCGGCTCACAACAGACATAAAAATACAATCAATAATTTAAAAACTGGTACCATCTCGGCTATATATTAAAATCTATAAATACAATAATAATAAATTAACAGTTAAAATAACTTTTAAATACAAAGGTCTTCACCTGGCGCCAAAAAGCAAATAATGACAGCACCAGGCGGACCTCTCTGGGGAGCGCATTCCATAGGTGGGGCGCCACCGCAGAGAAGGCCCTCCTCTGGGTACTCACCCTCCTAATATCCTTCACGGAGGGCTCCCGGAGAAGGGCATCCGCTGCAACTGTCCAGCACGTTTACAACTGCAGCTTTAGTGAAGAAGATGTTACTTAACAAGGCATCATTTCTGATAGTATTTTTTCTCTCTCTAGGTCTGTCTTGTTTTCTAAGACCACGGGTGATGTTATGTCCAACCTGCTTGCAACCTGCCAAACCATCCAAAATAAATAAAGGTCCTCTTTTCGATTGAGCTAGAAGGTGCAACGATACGAAGCACAACATCAGATCTCAGGAGAAGATGACAGAGGAAAGCAAGGAGACTGCTCCAAAGGGTATGGCTGGACAGAACATGGTATAACTGGTTTGCCCCAAAATCTCCACCACAAAGCCACTTTGGCTTTCTGTTTAATGAAACCAGAGAGTGGCTGGGTGCACACAAAATGGCAAGCCAGAGTATGGGTTGAGTGTGAGGTGGTGTTGAACAGTGGGTTGCCCCTGTATCGGGGCTGTTGTGTTGTAAGACTGGCTAGTGTTTGCCTGTCACACTAACAAACCATAGTTTGTTAACCTCAGATAACCCATGAAAAGAACCCATGGCTTGTTGATGGTTGTAAACTGTGGGTTGTTCATGGTTAACCTTTATGGTTTGTTAGCATGGCTGGGTTCACACAACGAACAGCCCACAATAACAAGTCACAGTTCAATGACAACTCATACTCGACCTGATATAATGTGAAACAGGTTATTAACGTTTTAAGAAGACAGGGCATAGAAAATGTTCGATCTTCTGAATTCACAACAAATGTCAAAGCTCTTAAATTCTCTTAAATTCTCCAAATAAATGCACAGGACCTCTTTCCAGTTTGAGAAGAAGCAAGTGTCTAAGTAGTAGGAACTCGGTAGGCAGCAAATGTTTCACTCGCTCTGCCATCAAGAGCAACGCAGCCAAGCGAAGCCACGGTGTTGTGCGGCACACCATGTGAGGTGGTTGGTTATATCAGTGAATCCTCTTAAGTTGGGTCTTTGCCATCACCAGTTTTGTCTTCCCAGTAAACCCAGGGCAGTTGCTGCTGGGTTGCTGGTTTGTGCCTGGACTGTACAATCTGGCAACCAGCACACTGCAGGAGGGGGGAAACATTTATGGCCCAAGGTCAGGATTCCAGTCTAGCAGACATTCTATGTGAGTTTGAGTTGCAGTGCTGTGTAGGGCCAAAGGCAGAGTGGGTACAGCCAGATGCCTTATTTCTTTTAAAACAACTTCAGATCCACATGAGGTGCAATTCCCTGCATGAATTCAGTGGAACTTAATCCAGGATAACTCCGTGTAGGTTCCACGCAGAGCATCTCAAAACCAGACTTTCAGATACTATCCCCAAATCCAGCAAAAATCCAACACAGAAAAGGAAGAAACTGAAGTAGCACTTAGCTATTTTGCGTCAGCCGTTCCTGATTAAAAGCTAATAGGATCCCCCTTCCCCTGCTCCTCAGTCAACCCTGAACTGAGATAGTTCTTTCAGAATTCGCTGTTCTTGGCCCTTCTATCAAGTTAGGGCTGATGCTGCTACACCTTTACTGTGCAACCCATGGATCCAAGCAAAGCTTCTCTTTCCAGGTCATCTTTTTCCCAGCCCTACCAAACTTTGCGGCTAAATGACAGTTTCAACTAACTTCACTCCAGCACAGAAATTATTTTACTTTACTGAAGCTCCTGAAAATCTCAGACGGATCTGGTCGATGGTCAGACTTGAAGCTACTGAAGGAGCTCGAAGTGAAATCTGAAATCTTGAGATGCCTTCTGTCTCAAAATACCCTATTCAATGGCAAAGCCCGCCCTGTTCATTGTTTTAATTAATATAGTTAGTCAAACAAGAGCCTTGCAACAAGGCTTACAAGAATAACAAAACTAAATTTCCAACAAAAACAGTTAAGGCTGTAATCTTGTGCGGGTTCAGACAGAAAAAGGTCCTGCAACCCCCAGTGTTCACAGCCAGCTTGGGAGTGGAAGGACCCAGGCTGTCTAAATATGCACAGGATTGCTTAGTCAAGCTTAACTGCGATATAACTAGAAATGGTTTGAAATCATGGCTGTACCGATTTGCTGGATTCATTAATTCATCTATTAATTAAAAGCATTTCTATACCATCCTTCACTCAGTCCCAGGATGGTAATACAATAAAAGCACAGCATCAGACAATTAACATTAAATAAAACCCATCTTAAAACAAGCTCAGAACTTAACATATTGGGAAAATAAAAAGGTTTTGGCCTGGTACTGAAATGAGTAGAGTGTTGCCGCCAACAACACTCCTCTCTGAAGATAAAATGAGCGGAATCATACGTAAAGCAAGGTATTGCCTTTTTGCAGAACTGTAAATAGATTCTTAGGTAGGTAGTGATTGAGAATCCCTTGCTCATCGCATGGCAGGAAACTATTTTATTTGTGGCCCATACAGACTTCCCGGATGGAGAGGAGCTGACTCTTCAGCATTCACACAGTGAGAATATCCTTTCCAGAACTGAACAAAATGAAACTGAAGAAGAAAAAGTGTGTTCTTTGCTGGAAAGGCACTCAGATGCTCATGGGATTGCAGAGACAGAAGCCAGTGTCCCTGCAGGATGCAAGACGGACCTTTCTCAAGGTTCAGCTGCCTTACTTGACAGTTCTGTAGGCAAAGATGCGGTGAATTCCCCTGATGCAAAGAGTGAATGTTTGACCCAAGAATCCCTGCTGGCTTCTGGAGGGGAGGAGAAAAATAGCTCACCCACGACCATCCTAGAAGAACAAGCAAGAAGCTCAGCAGGTCAGCAAAGCCAACACTCATTGATCTATCCAGAGATTGTCTCTCCAGGATTCAAGGTGGAACTTCCGCAGAGTTCAGCTGCCTTACCTGGCAGTTCTATTGGCAAAGATGCGGTGGATTCCCCTAATGCAAAGAGTGAATGTTTGACCCAAGATTCCCTGCTGGCTTCTGGAGGGGAGGAGAAAAATAGCTCACCCAAGACCATCCTAGAAGAACAAACAGAAGGCTCAGAGAGCCTGCAAAGCCAAGCCTTATTGGACTATCCTGAAGAAACAAAAGAGGAACTGATTGAAAAAGAAGAGAAAGCATTGGTTCAAAAGCCTGAAGACTCAGAGAGGAAGAGATCCTGGAGTGAAGGTAAGGCAACACCCTCTTTGATCAGGAAAACTAATAATCTTGCCCATACTAGTTTGGCTAAACGTTGTTTTAACTGTTCTCAGGAAAGAGATCAGTTTAAAACAACCCTACTCAGACTAAGATCTTGATAAACAGCTGGAATAAAGTTTGCAATGTGTGTGATGTATAAAACTGATTCCAGTTACAGGATTTTTAAAGAGTGGGTATAATGTTAAAAGTCTGGGTTTGGTTCTCCACATGACCCTGCAGTCATGTAGGCATTTATGTTGCTGGAACTGGGAGATGGACTGGAAGGAAGGCACCCCCCTGCCTTGGTGGCCCCTTCATGCTCACCTGAGTTTGCACCCACACATTTTTTTGTTTTTACATTTTTGAAAATGTGAAAAGTTATGCACAGGATATGCTAATAGATGCTCCACACTTTTATGATGGCCCTGTGAGCACCTGGGCAACTTCTTATGCAAAAAATGGACTGTTGCATAGTGACATAATGCTTACGAAGTGATTTCTTGGATTTGCTCTATATTTTGAATATTTTGTAGAATTGCAGTCTTGTGCTTGTTTTCTTCAGCAGTTCTCCTATCTTACCTCCTAGCTGGAAAAGGTAAGTACAGAAAGGCAGAAGGACAGATGAAATCTGAATGGTGATTTGTTTACTGTTTAGCTGGTTACTTCAATGTTAAGTCCAAATTTTAATAAATCTGAATGTGCATTTCCTGAAATCTAATACACACATAATGCTAATCCATGGTTTATTTAACTCATGGTTAACACATAGTTTGTTGTCCTGCCCAGAGTTTGTGTGGCAGACTGTGGAACAAACTGGTTTATTTTTTTCATTCCCTGAATTGTTTGTTTCAATCTCCCTTTGTCCATTCACTCCCTGTATCTCAAATGCATTCATTCATTCATTCATTCATTTTTATCCTGTCTATTCCCAGTGATTGTAAAGCTGTAGAACTGATTTAAAAAAACACTGCTGTCACCGTATCTGTAGTCTGGCAAAAGAAGCCATGAACAGTCCACAGTTCTGGGTTCACATGCAACAAAAAGTCATGGTTTGAACAAGCCAGAGTTCATAAGCCAGAGTCCAGTTTACTTTCTGGACTGTCTGTGGTTAGCAAGCCATAGTTTATTAGCACAGCTGGGTGCACACATCACAACTTAGAATTCAACAACCCATGCATTAAATAATTCATGGATTAGCAATATGTACATACCAGGTCAGTGCACACTACAAACATTATGGACACATCTATTATGATATTGCATTTATATCCTGTCTTTTTTAATTTGTGTGAGGAACCAAGGATAGCTTTCATTGTTCCATTTTATCCTCACAACAACAACCCTGTGAGGAAGGTTTGGCTGAGAGTCTGTGACTGGCCCAACGTCACCCAGTGAGTGCAATATGACCTTTATAAAGCTCCCAGACCAGTCATCTACGCCTTCCCCGTACACACCCTGTATCACAGCCTGTCCTAATCTCGAGTCACAGATATTGCTGAGAAACAGCTCCCATCCTCCTGGCTGAAGATTATAGGGTCTGTAGTCCAACGACTCGAGGCCAAGAAGGGCTGCAGTTGGTTGGTCAAGTTAGGTGTAATTTTGTTCCTATTAACACTGAAGTGCCTTTTTAAAAAAAAATCAGGACACACAATACACCAAGCAGAGACTGAACTCTGCTCAGAAGGGACGAGTCGGTGCCTTTCACAAGGAGAAAATAATCAGAGCACAGGGCAGCGGAAGAATTCTCAGCCGACTCCTCGAGGTAATGCTGAAATGACTTTATACTTGATTATCCCTTCTAATTCTTCCATTGCTACCCTTCCAAATCTTAGCCTTCTAATTTCTTGGCTGCAGTCTCCCTTTGATTGCGGACTGAGCCAAAATATGTAAATGTTTTCATTATATCAGTTTATTCATTGTTGACATTTGTGTAATCCTTCTGTAATCATGATTTTTGTTTTCTTAATGTTTGGCTATCCTCCTGCTTTTGCATGTTCTCTCATTTTCTTCAGGACTTGTCTCAATTCCTTGCCGCTTTGTGCCAGTAACATGGTATCATCCACATATCTTGAATTACTGGTGTTTCTTTCACCAGTTTTCCCTTTCTCTGACCCTAATTCAGCTTTCTTGATGATAAATCCTGCATGCAGTTTGAACAGACTGGGAGATAACATGCACCCTTGTCTGCCACTGTTCTCAGTATGAAACCTTTCTGTTCCTCCATATCCTGGTTTAACAGTAGCTTCGTGGCCACAATGCAGGCCTTACATCAGGACAATCAAGCGCTGTGGCACACCCGTCACTGTCAGGGCCAGTGCCTTTTTTGTCATAGAACGCACCGGAACAGAGTTCCGGCACCTTTTTTCAACAGATTTTCCAAGTTTTAAAAATAACTTTTGAAAATTTGATGTTTGGTCCACGTGGATTTGAATCGTCCTGTCGAGCGTAGCAGGTCGGCGGCAAAATTATTAAAACGGTCCATGCGGGCTGCCTGTGTGTCGAATCCGATGCGTGCGTACTTGGTCCGCGCTGGTTGTGATGGTGCCGCTCGGCTTGTGACTGGTCGTGTGGTCGCGCCCTGAGTGCTTACTGCGGGCGGCAACGTTATGTGTCATTACACAACTGACGTGTGTGAGTGTGTGTACAGTGATTGACTACGTGTGAAAGGTAAATAATTTCATGAGTTCCGGAACCTTTTTTCTTACAAAAAAAGCACTGGTCAGGGCCATCCGTAGCGTCTCGTGATCCACATAGTCAAATACCTTGCTCTGGTCTATAAGCACAGGCTGATCTTTGCGCTCCAGCAGCCAAATGATATCTGTGATCTTGAGTGCCTCTTCCTCCTCAGAATCCCGCTTGAATGCCAGGCATCACTTTGTAATGCTTCTGTCCTCTTTGCATCTCCTTTCTTGCAGATAGGAATGTATCTTGAACGCTTCCAGTCTCTGGGCCATTGCTTTGTTTCCCATCTTCTTGACATATTCTTGCCAGGGCTTGACAGTTTCTGTAGCTTGGGAAAATTCTGTTAACATTCTGTCTACTTGAGGAGCTTTATTCCTCCCCAAGTGCTTTCAGGGCAGCGTTTGCGTCACTTTCTAATATTGCAGACTCTTCCTCATAGGATTCCTCTTGAACAAGTCTTTCACCATTGCAACTCTCCTGTATGGTTTTTCCATATATTGTTTCCGCTGTGTCTTTCCTTTGTCATGGTCAGATAATATGCTGTCCTATTGGTCTTTCAGCATTCCTAATCAAGGTTTGAATTTATCTTTGATTTCCTGGACCTTCTGGGAAATTTCTCTTGCTTTTTTCTTTTTTGTTGTTCTTTTCTATTTCTTTGCACTGGGCATTGCAACAGTTATTTTTGTCTCTGTGTGGCAGTCCCTGAAAAGTTGCATTTGGAATTCTGACCCTGTGACTGTCAGCTTTTGCTCGTCTCTGCTAAGCCACATGAATGTTTCTTCTGTCATCTAGGCCTTTTCTTTCTTTTTTGCTACAGAAATTTCTTTTTGGCCCTCTTTCCTGCTTTCAGTCCACTTTTCTTCTGGTTCACGATCAATTGCATTCAGTACTGCAAATATGTTCTTTATATGGACCTTGAAATTCCTCAGGAATGTTATTTCTGTTGTATTTTGGCATTATGCTGCTCTTAGTAATCTTTTTCAGATTTATGCTGATTTTGATAGTAGCTCATGCTCACTCCTACACTCTGCTCCTGTTTGGACAATAAGAATACAGGTTCCCCTTGCTATTTCCAGTTACGTCATCTGTGTGAGTTGTAATGGGATATCCATGTGTACAGTCACCTGATCAGTGGCCTGGAGCATGTATTTGCAAAAAACAGATAAGAGAGTCCAGCTACCTGATAGCATTGCTGTGGCTTCCCCGAAACTCCAAGATTTCCTCACCCCATTAAGGTGTCCATCCAAAAGCAGGGAAATAGGAGAGCAGAATAAGGTGGTTTGTTTGCTTTCTTCAAGTTTCAGAGAATGCTAGTTCCTCAAGAATGCAGGCTTCTTAATCAGGGCAAAACCAAGATGACAGATTCAGTGGATTTGGGAACTTATGACATGTTGCCCTGAGCCTATTGCCGTGGGAATGTTCCGCTCCTTCCTGAACTTTTCTCTGTCTCTCTCTGCTCCCCATCCCCCTCCCTGGGTTGTTAGGCTTACCCTGGTCTGGAATCGCTGTGGGAGTTCTGGTGCTCCTCGGTGCAGCCTTTTTAAGCAGCAACGGCTACTATACTTCCCAACTCGCAAGCATGCCAAGAAATCCCATCGTGGAAACCTTCCTCTCCAGGTTTGATCTCCTGAAGGACAGCTTTCCAGGGCAGAGCCCTTATCTATGGGGAAGGGTTCAGAAAGTCCTGAAGAAACACCTCAGCGCCTCTCATCATACTGAACCAGCCATCTTCATCTTGACGGCTGCCCGGGAGGCCGAAGTGACCTTGAAGTGCCTGAGCATCCAGATTGCGAATGCGTATTCGGCTTCCCTCCAGAGCAGCACGGTCCAGGTGGACGGAGTGTCGAAATCCACTCTGAACAGTGACCAGGCCAAGCTGGCCATGGACGAGGAGCTGAGCGCCGGCTTCCAGGCAGGAAGGAAGGCGGCCACGGTGCATCGCTTCGAATCCCTCCCCGCGGGCTCCACCCTCATCTTTTACAAGTACTGCGACCATCAGAGTGCAGCCTTCAAAGATGTGGCTCTGATCTTCACCGTTTTGCTGGAGGATGAGAAACTGGAGCCCAACATTGGCTTGCAGCTCGTGGAAGAGAATGTGCGGGATTTCCTCTGGGCAAAGTTCACCAACTCCGCTACGCCCAGTTCCTACGACCACATGGACACAGACAAGTTGAGTGGGCTGTGGAGCCGCATATCCCATGTGGTGCTGCCTGTCTCCCCCGTGCAAGCGATCGAAGACCAGGGATGCCTTTGGCAAACCCAGCCGAGGAGTGACGGAGGCGGCCTTTGAGGAAAAGCAAAGGAAAAGCTCTGCGGGATTTGCACCAATTCAAAGATAAGCAGCAGTCCTGGGAGCAAACTGATCAGTTCCTCATTCTGATGTTGGCTTTGGGTGTGACTCCTTTGGCAGCATGTACACTAGTCATGGGTAGTTTGTGAGGCTGATCAGCATTTGCGGCACAACCTGGGCACTGTTTTTTTTTTTAATTAGGATGCAGAAAAGAGGGCAGCACTCTCCTCTTGCACATGGAGGAAAACGGAAAGGAGACAGAAGCACAGAAATGCCCTTTTAAACATTAGCATTACACCGATGCGAATTCCCATGTGGAGGTGGATGAAATCCTTATGGACAAAGCACCTTACAGAACACTCGAGAGATTCCAGATGCTTACATTAACGCCTCAGAGAGAACCAAGCGTCGCCGCTGTACCAGCTGTGGCGTCTTGGAGCCTGTTTGCACAGCGAGGTCCGGCATAACCTCCATCGGCTTTCCCTGCTTTGCTGCTTCACTGGAAACACTACAGAATACTGCAGTTTGTTCAGCTTAGGTCAGCCCAAAGGCTGTTCCCATGTGCTGTACTAAGAGGTAGGACAGCAGCTCAGGGTATGTGGGATTTGTGTGAATGGAATGCGTTGAATTAGCAAAAACGCTTCAGGGTCATGCAGCCTCCGTGTCTTCGCGGTAGGAAGCTGAGTAAGTCAGAGCACTTCTCTGTTAGTAAGGAATGGTGCCACAGGAGTAAATGTTTTGGGGTAAACAGGAAATGGGTAGGTGTAGGATAACCTAGAGGCGATAATGCTCCGGTCCTTTTTGCAGATTATTTGGATGCAAGTCAGGTAGGTAGCACCTTGCGGATCCCACAGGACAGATATTGACCTCCAAGTTCAGACATGGCGTGGAGAATCGCAGGCCCCATTCAGCCTGCTGGGGGGCAGTCTCCTTCTCTGGGGTGCACAGACAACCATGTTCCTTCACCCACCAATCATTGGGTGGGTTCTTAGACTGTGCAGCGCTTTTCCACATTCTGAAAAGCTAAGTGACTGACCATAAGAGCTTCAGGGTGCGATCCTGTGCATATTTAGACACAAAAAGCGTAACCCGGCAAAACCCAGCCAGGGAATTGTCGGCCTTGCCTTCTGCCGAAGCTTGCGTCAGATTGCACGTTTAAGCTCCAGTTTGGCACTTTGCTTTTGGTTTCAGCTGCCACTGGAATGCAGCTCTTGAGAGCAGTCTCCAAAATTGCCCTGGGCCCTCCACCTGCACCAGGTATCTCTCTCCTACACCCCCCCCCCCCCCGCAGGACCACTACATCCTCTGCGGAAAGTTAAGAAGCAAAGCCAGGCTGAATGTGGGATGGCAAGTCAGGAAGCAGTCAAGGGAAAATAATAGTTGTAGGTAGGCATCATGCTCAAATAATAATAAAAAACAGCAGCTGGACTGTGCCATAGAGAAGAATTTTCCTGGGAGAATCTGCTGCAAGGTGGACCCTGACTAACTTATGCCAAACGAATGTCTCATTTTGCATTCTAATCAATATTTGCATTTTCCCCTGCGAATTTCTTAGCCTTCTGAGCCCCGTTTTTAAGTGGGAGACAGCCACACCTACCCTTCTCACATTGCGACGATTCTGTTGCATTTCACTCCTGCCTTGGCATCGTTATATTTCTGCACTGCTTGCACCTACAGTGTGATCCTGTGTCGGTCTCCTTAGAAGTAAGCTGCCGTGGGACTTAGTGCAGGATCGCAGTGCTGGGTTCGTCCTGCTGTTCCCCCTGCTTGTCCCCCAAGGAACGCTGTGCTTGAGCAGGATGAAACTCAGCCAGCTGCCCTGTCCCCTCCTGCATTAGACGGTGATTCACAAGAAACAGGAATAAGCAAAGATCACTGGAGTTCAGCTTGCTGCTTCAGAGTGCCCTGAATCCAGCCAAGTCATGCCTCTGGCCCAAAATGCTCAGCAAGGCAAGTTGTTCTTGCTGCGTTGCATTTATACCCCACCTCTTTCCCTCTTGTAAGGAATACAAGGTGGCTTATATAGCTCCATTTTATCCTCATTGCAACAACGCTGTGAGGTAGGCTCGGATGGAGGGAGTGACTGGACCAACGTCTCCAGTGAGCTTCATGGCCGAGTGGTGATTCGAACCCGGATCTCCTGGGTCCATGCAGCAAGAAGCTTCACCAACTCGTTTGGGCAACCTTTGGGCAGCTAAAGCTACAAGAACAGGCCAGGTTAAGGACTGAGTCTAGTTACCACACTGAGTGAATAACAAGGTAATTAAATTAGGTTTGCAATTTCAGAGTGACACTAAAAATCTGTGCAAGTACAGAAAAGGCACTTTTAAATATAAAAGTCTTCCTTTTTTGGTCAAGTAACCAAATGTAGGGATGCTAAGGTGATAAAGGTATAGGGCTTCAGTTCCAGGAACTCTTGCACAGCCCAGAACTTCCTCTGGAGGGCTGTGGGAACTCCCGGGATGGGGACGACACTCATGTTTAAGCTTGTAAGTGGTGGTGGTGGTGGTGGTGGTGGTAATTTAAATGGAAACAAAGGATACAGCTTTGCTTGGCAGAAACGTGTGAGTGTTATTTCTGATTTTGTAGCTATCGGCCACTTGTGCCTTGGACATGTCAGCACAGAATGCTCTGCTTTCCCTCACCTGCGACAAGGGGGCAGCACCTGTCCAGCTACTGTGGACGTTTTCCATGAGCTATTTCAAATAACACCTTCCTCTTTCTGTAAAGGGAGTTTCTGTAAAACCACAACTGATAAATTTTAAGAATCTTTTATATCAGTTTCATAATAAATCCACTGTTTTTGCTGTGTTTCACTCTTCCATTTGCTGAAACCTGAAAAGGCCAGGTGGAGTGTCCAGGTCTGATTTTTATCTCCTCAGGCTTGAAGTGCGCGGCCTCACCTTGAAGCAGCTGTCCCGTATCTTACTTTGCAAAGGGTAAGATTTATATGGTCTCTTTCAACCTTTTCACTCAGAGTTTGAATAAAGGTAAAAAGGTAAAGGTTTCCCCTTGACGTGAAGTCCAGCCATGCCTGACTCTAGGGGGCGGTGCTCATCTCCGTTTCCTGGCCGAGGGAGCCAGTGCTTGTCCGCAGTCGGTCTCCGTGGTCATGTGGCCGGCATGACTAAACACCGAGGTGCACGGAACGCTGTTACCTGCCCACCGAAGTGGTACCTGTTTATCTCCTTGCATCTGCATGCTTTTGAACTGCAAGGTTGGCAGGAGCTGGGACGGAGCAACGGGAACTCACCCCGTTGTGCGGACTCGAACCGGCGACCTTTCGATCTACCAGCCCAGCAGCACAGCAGCTTAAACCATGAATAGCTTCATCCAAAACACCATTAACATCATCAGGGCTCTTCCGTTTCCCTAAAATAGACACATCCTGAACCAGTTTTTTGTATAGATGCTATAAGACACCTTGGCTGGTTCCTCTTGAACCAGAACTGGATTTTTGGTGGGTTGATGTACTGAGTACTTCTCAAATACCAGAGGTTTCAAGTGGGAGAAGAGACAGACCATAAAGCATGTCAGCAGCCTTTGTGAAGGGCACTGGAACTCCCCTCGGGCTGTGGCACGCTTGGAAGGGGGAAAAGCAGGCAATATTGCGGAAAACACCTTATTTCTTGACTAAAGAGCACCCGACAATGCTGTTGAAGAAACACACTGGGTCGGTTGGGCCCAGGTGACTTGTGTTGTACATTGCCAGGAAAGACGGGCGGGATAAGCAAGCGCTGAGCTCTTGCAGTGATGAGAAGCTCCTCTACTGCTTCCCGGAAGAAAGCAGTGCTCTTGGTCAGGTTTGCTCCCCGTTTTTGCAAGGAGTGGCTGACTGCAGGAAGGCCTTTCGTTTATCTGTGGTGAAAGGCTGACTGGTGAGCAAAGAAAAGGAAGCCAAATGGTAGACTTTCTAAATTATTATTTATGTAAATAATATTCCCTGGACATAGAATGGGAAGAAGGGGGAGGGGTGGAGAGGAGAGTGTGGAGGTGAGCAAAGTGGGGATCTGGGAAATGGGGGCAAGGAGACATGCCCGCAGCCCCACAAGATAAAGCCACGGGTGCCTGCGGGCCTGAACGCCTTGCTTAGGCTCTGGGTGGTGTGGGCACATGATCGTGGAGAGCCGGGTATTTGCTTCCTGTTTCTGGAAGATGAAAGTCTGGCGGCACCTGCTTTCTGCTTGCTCCTGCATTCCTTAAACGCCTCAGATTTCTTCTTCTAATCGAGAGGCGTTTCGGAGGGCACAAGAATTTGCAAGATCAGTTCTTCACGAATGCAGCCAACTTTTCAAAAAAGTAGAATCCTACTACCTTCCTTTGGTTCTCTAACCAGTGAATAGCTGTTGATATTGGTTTGCATACTTCTTCTTTTTTTGCCACTGGACATGAGAAGACAGAATGTCCATTTCCAGCACTTCTAACTCTGCATCCAAAGATTCCTTTGCCAGTAATCCTCTACTCGGAAGTACATCCCAGGCAATGTAGTAGGGCTTGCTCTCGGGATGCAGGTTTAGGATTGCAGGTGTAAAACCTGGGCGTGCCACACGGCCTTTCGGCACCAGGGGATGCCCAAACCATTCTCACAGCCACTGTTCCAGTTGTCGGTATGAGCATGGCAGAGCAGCGCTTTTTAATCAACGAAACAGCGCCGTCACTCAGAATCTTGCGAGGGTGCAGTCGTATAGGGAGGCCCATGAGGAGCCATCCCTACAGGTGGTCATCCATCAAGGGGCGGCAGAGTGAAGGCTGATGCAAACTGGGGAAGGCAGGTGAGCACCTTGCAAAGGTTAGGGCGCAGGTGTGGACATTGGGAGGGGACCCTTCATCCACTGCTTCAGCAGGGTAATATTCAAAACTGTGTGGCTCATAGAGGGTCAAGCTATCTGCGGTGAGCTGGGCCCTGTGTCCCATGGTGTACAGCAGTGGTGGCGAACCTTTCAGAGACCGAGTGCCCAAACTGCAACCCAAAGCCCACTTCTTTATCGCAAAGTGCCGACACTGCAATCAAACCTGAAATCTGAGGTTTTGGTTTAGAAAAACCAACTCACAGCCAGTCCAAGCAAATGTATGTATGTATGTATATCCATCCATCCATCCATCCATGCATCTATCCTTTGCAGCGCACTGACCGGCCATGCGAAAGCTCGGACGAGTCGCAGCTAATGAGTCGCGGCTCGTGATGCCATCGCCTGGCGCCGCTACTCCTTTCCGAGCGTGCGCATGGCCCCTGTGTGCGCTGTTATCCGATGCTCGGCCGCTCGGGCGACTTGGCTCGCGTGCCGACAGAGGGGGCTCTGCGTGCCCGCTGCGGCTCACGTGCCACAGGTTCGCCACCACTGGTATAGTATTTCCTATTGGCCTAAGAATGCAATCAATATGCCATAAACGGGGCTTGCTTCCAGGACATTGCATAGGATTTTAACTTTAAAAGAAGGGGGCTGGGGGAAGAGACTGGATTCTATCACTCAAAATGGTAGCTCGACAACAGCAACTATTTTGCAGGAGTCAGAATCGTTATTTCCAATGGGCCTGCCTGCAAACCCCCTAGAAAATCCTTACCCACCTTGCATACCACAAATCAGCACTAGAGGGCGATACCGCTCCATTTAAAATCAGTCTAAGAGAAGGAAGGACAACCTCCGATGCAGAGATGGGAACTTTGGTGGGTTTCGACGGCCCATAGGCCAGCTCTGACCTAAAGCATTCAGACTATCTGGAAGGCTAGAGCGTTTAACTGAGAAGAGTTTCCATTGCCGTGTGCTTGTGTGGCTATCTCTAGGTCTCTGGGTATAGGATTGTATTAAAGCAGGTTCAACAGTTACCTTTATGTGCAGCACAACACGCTGAGTGAAGCTGGGTTATGAAATGTCTTTGGATTCAAAGAAATAACTTACAATGATAGTTAATTCTAAACATTTCTCCTGAAATACCTGCTCATTCTGTTTGCCTGGATGTCAGTCACTCACTTCTACAAAGCAGAAGTTATCTGCCACTTCCCCCAAGCACTTCTTGTGCTTTCTGGCTCTTTCAGAGCCTCTTTAAGGCTGATCCATACCAACACTCCAAGGCTGCCGTTTCCTCACTCTGCCTTCGGACCTGGATCCATAGCAGTTTTGCAATGCATGCAAGATCTTGCACGGCTCTGGGTGACCCAGCCCAGGAAAACACAGGTTCTCGGACAACTCCTTTCTGCTCCCTCACAAAGGCAATTGAAGTATTTCAGGATGGGAGCTTGGCCAGGTGAATGGTCCTAGGAGGATGGTGGAAAGAAACAGCTTCAGCAGCACCTCCATCGCAGTGGCAGCCCCAGGGGAGGGGGCCAATTGGCCAGCAAAGAGATTGTCTTTGTATGGCACAAGAAAAAACCAGAGCAGTCAAAAGAACACGTACAGTTCATTCAGACACGCGGGGAATTCTTCTGGTGTGTAGGTAGCCCTCAAGGGACTACCAAGATGGAGCCTGCACAGGGACGATCAGGCGAGCGGCAACACAACCAGGAGAATCTTCAGGACGGGCCGACATTAACGTGTCTAAGGTGTGCCCCCCAAAGGACAGGCCTATTAGCATTTCTACATCACGCCTGGGAAGTAAGACTTGTAACATGGATTCCTGATCACATTGGGAACCCCACCCTACGTCTGAAGCTGTTCTTACAGAGTCGGGTTTTTGGCAGCCATACTATGGCAAAGCTTCTGCCCTTTGTGCCCCGACACGTGCCTGCTTCCGATTGGGGAGAGCCAGGGAAGAATTAAACATTCCTCGTGTTGGGCAGGCAGCTTTTGAGGAGATCCGTTCTGGTTTTATGAATGCTGTGGCTGCTTTGGGAGCACTGGCCATCGCCCTGGCCTTTGCTGCAGGCAGGCACCTGTGTCCAGAGGTGACAACATGAAAGCTCGGTCTCACTGCTCTCTCTCATAGCTGTTGATAGAGCTGTCGTCTTTGAATTCATCTTATCTTTTTTAGAAAAGTCGTCTAAGTAATTGGGTGACATGGGGGTGTGCCGTGCCGTGCAGAGTACAAGGTACTTCAAGGCACGAAAGGACCAAAATTACACGCACTTTGCTCAGCACGTCGTTTTCCACCGTTGCTCCAGTTCATTTTACGATAACACCCCCCACAGCGGCCAGCACTGAGCCACAGAACAAAGGGATGCATGGAAGGCAGAAAAGTGCCGTTAATCAAACTGACACAGGTGCCCTTCCAAGGACACCAGCGCCTTGCGCGTGCATGATGGATGGTTTCCTGGACCACACGTGCCGAGCCCATCAGCCTCTGCAGGCCAGCCCCTGACCCAATAATGAGTTCCCATATGCAGTCAGGGCTGCGGGTGCCGTGATTAGATTTCCTCCAGCAGAGCACGGGGCATGCGCATGTGTTCAAGGGGGAATGTTCCTCTCACTCTGCCGCCCCGCAGGCCTCTGTTTGTGGTGTCTGGGCCTGTTTGTGGTGTCTGGGGCCTGCTGATAACCCCCAGAAATGGGGAGGGATGCATCCCCAATTAACAGATTAGAGTCAAAATTATAGCAAGGGGGCAGAGTTGGTAATTGCCTTCCTGACTCCCACTGAGCATGTTTCTCCTGAGTTGGTGTACTGGTTTAGTGGCATGTTTAGAACTTGAACTGGTAGACCCATGGGAGAATTGGTGCAAGCTCCATTCTAAAAAGGCACTCAGTGGGTTCCTATTTGGGAAGCTACATGCTCAGGAGCACACCATAATTGGGAGGGGCCTGGTGCAAGCTTGCAACCCAGGCCCACTCCCCCAGACAGCCCATGATCCCCTTCCATGCATATAATTGTACGGTTTGTAT